CATAAACATCAATATCGGAGCAATAACATGCGATATACATGCAGTAAACAATCAATAAACCTTCAATAAACATTCTATATCGAACTAATAACATACGAAATACATGTCTTTTGTCAATCAATAAACCTTCAATAAACATTCATATTTGAGGCGAAATACATGCAGTAAACAATCAATAAACATTCAATAAAACATTCCATATCGAACTAATCAATCAATAAACCTTCAATAAACATTCCATATCGAACTAATAACATACGAAATACATGTCTTTTGTCAATCAATAAACCTTTAATAAACATTCAATATCGGAGGCGAAATACATGCAGTAAACAATCAATAAACCTTCAATAAACTTTCCATATCGAACTAATAACATGCGAAATACATGTCTTTTTTCAATCAATAAACCTTTAATAAACATTCAATATCGGAGGCGAAATACATGCAGTAAACAATCAATAAACCTTCAATAAACTTTCCATATCGAACTAATAACATGCGAAATACATGTCTTTTTTAATCAATAAACCTTCAATATCGGCGCAATAACATGCGAAATACATGCAGTAAACAATCAATAAACATTCCATATCAAACCAATAACATGCGAAATACATGTCTTTTATCAATCAATAAACCTTCAATAAACATGTAAACAATCAATAAACATTCCATATCAAACAAATAACATGCGAAATACATGTCTTTTATCAATCAATAAACCTTCAATAAACATGTAAACAATCAATAAACTTTCAATAAATATTCAATATCGGAGCAATAACATGCGAAATACATGTCTTTTATCAATCAATAAACCTTCAATAAACATGTAAACAATCAATAACCTTCAATAAACATCCATATCTGAGCAATAACATAGATATACATGCAGTAAACAATCAATAAACCTTCAGTATATGCAAATGAACACTCCGAATAATTATGCAATTGTAAAAAAAATGTATTGTCTTATTATTGCATCGTATTGGGCCTTGAATTGTAATTTTATCGTCTTTGTATGACTTTATTTTTTTAAAGTCAGTCTTGGAAAGTTTTTGCTGGGTTTCAGACAAATAAATGCTTTTGTTTCAAACATAATTTAAACTCAATGCTGATCCACCTATTTCAAGAACAAAAATTACAAAATGGGTTTGAAAACTCATTGGTGGTGCATGCAACATGTCTTTTTGGGGAGAACTTTTACAATCCTTGAAACTGTGCACTTAATTGGTCATTAAAAGAACAAATAATATGAAAATTGATACAAGAAATAAAACTAATACCAAGTCCTTAATAGACTTCAGCGTATTCAGCACCATAGCATCATACTGTTATCTTGTTGTTCTGCTTCAGCAGAGGTTACATCAACCCATTCGAATTCATTGCAACTGGTGGCTCCCTAATTGCAGGCATAGTATATGCAAAATAATTCTGTCAGAGTTAGACCTAGGTTTTTTTCACCCCACATACATATTCTGGAAATGAAAACTTACATAGGAGATTAGATATTTCCAAAATGGCTTCCCTCGATTTTTATCTGATTTTGAAACCCGAAGCACCATTGCAGCTCCACAGTATCGACACCTCCTTGTTTGAGCTGGAGATGAAGACGAAGACATGTTGAATCTTCACTTGTACCTCTTCTCACTTGTACCTCTTCTCACTCATATCTTCTCACTGAAACCTCTTTAGACTCATACCTTCTCACTCATAGTTCTCAGTCATACCCCTTCACTCATAACCCTAAACTTCTCACTAAGCTCTCTCTCATCTTTGCCCAAATCGAATTATATCTTCTTCTTTTTTGTGGTGGGTTGGTCACTATGTGGACACCTGTACCATCAGAATTGTGGCACCTTTTACCCCAAAACCATATTATATTTCACTACCAAATATTAATATGAAAATTGAGGGGACACTGCTTTAATATATATTTATTTCATTTCATTAAGGACTAGTTGGATAAGAATCATCTCATTGCATCCATTGTAATAACATTACTAGGTTAGTTTTGGTGTGGGAAAATGAAAAAGTATCTGATGGGACCTTCTCTGACTAGTCAGTAATCCATCACATTTAATCAATGAATGTGATGGCGGGAAAATCCTAAAATGGCTATGCAAATAGGTTATGGTTGACTTTTTGACTATCTGACTCTCTTTGCATTTTGGATGACGTTTTCCCTTCTCTTCTCTTGAATTTTAGGGTGTTGGGTTCATATCTTTAAAAGGGTCAACTTGGAAAAACCCCAAGTGAAAACACCTTTTCAAAACACTACAAATAGAGGCTAAAACCAAACCAAAAATTCCATATATTCTCATTTCTCCTCCCTTCCACTCCTCAAATCATTCCATTCCAAAAATATTTCAATGAATTCGAAACATTTCACTACCCTCGGAGGAAGAGAAGGAAGCATCTTCATTTGGATATGCCCCAAGCCTTCATCTTGGAGTTAGCTTGGTTGTAATATGCTTTTACGATTTTTACGGTTTATATATATAAGTTTGTCTTATAATTAGTTGTAATATATTTTTACGGTTTTTATGCATTGTAGACTTGCTTCTCTTCATTTCTAGGTTGGCAGGCTACGTTGTACAAATGTTGTTTACATGTTGGGTTGTAATCAATTTTGTCTTGTGTTTGTGTTTCTCATAAATCGTTTTATATATAAATGTATGATATATATATATATTATAGTGGACTGATTACTGACATCATTGACTGACGAGAATGAAATTTTACTGACAAAGATACTTTGCACAACTGCAATCTTAATATTTGGTACGCAAAAGGCATGTATGGAGTGAGTAGGTCTTTTCACTGGTCCTTAGGAATGACCTTTTCCCACTTATAATAATTTAGGGTAAAAGGCAAGGATTGACCATATTGACTAACATACACTTGTGCAAGGGTGAAAGGTGATGGGCTGAGATCGCGCCAGGGTGTCCTCTTGCAATTATTTTGGCTTTTTTAGAGCAAAATCTTTAGGATTTTTTTTTTTTTTTTTTTTTTTTTTTTTTTTTTTTTTTTTTTTTTTTTTTTTTTTTTTTTTTTTTTTTTTTTTTTTTTTTTTTTTTTTTTTTTTTTTTTTTTTTTTTTTTTTTTTTTTTTTTTTTTTTTTTTTTTTTTTTTTTTTTTTTTTTTTTTTTTTTTTTTTTTTTTTTTTTTTTTTTTTTTTTTTTTTTTTTTTTTTTTTTTTTTTTTTTTTTTTTTTTTTTTTTTTTTTTTTTTTTTTTTTTTTTTTTTTTTTTTTTTTTTTTTTTTTTTTTTTTTTTTTTTTTTTTTTTTTTTTTTTTTTTTTTTTTTTTTTTTTTTTTTTTTTTTTTTTTTTTTTTTTTTTTTTTTTTTTTTTTTTTTTTTTTTTTTTTTTTTTTTTTTGGGGGCTTTGGTAATTATCAAGGAAAGTCTCAATGAGGATGGAACAATGAAAATCAAGGCGGCTCTAGGCGGCCTAGGCGGCCCTAGGCGGCTCTGGGCGGGCGTTTTGCCTTTGAGGAGTGGAGGAAGGGCGGTTGAAGTGCGCAGGATCCGCTGCTTGTTAGGAAGAAAGACGGAGAGCGAGAGAGAGAGAGAGAGGAGAGAGAGAGAGAGAGAGAGTCCAATCCAATCCAATCAACACAGCAGCCGAAACGAAAGAAATTTTTTTTTTTTGAAGCTTGAGAGAGAGAGAGAGAGAGAGAGAGAGAGAGTCTTTGAAGCTTGGAAGCGCTTATAGAGAAGCGAAACGGCCGCGACTGCGAGTGCAAGTGCAAGCTTCGTGTTGGTTTCGAATACATTTGAAGCGTATAGCCGGGCGGCTATACCTTTAAAATATTCGAATATATTCAAGGAGTACAGCCGCACGGCTATACCGTTAAAATAATATATTTAAATAGTACAGCCGCCCGGCTATACTCTTTAAATATACAATTTTGTCATGATATTTTAGGGCTTAGGGCTAAAATACAACTTTAGCTAATTAGGATAGAGTTATTTCTTCAATTATTTTATTTATACCAGTGATATTGGGGAATGAGAATTTAAATTCTTTCCGATACCTCACATTCTAATGATTTCCAGCTATTAGCTCATTAGGCAAGAATAAAAAATGGATTTTATTTATAAGAAATAATACGGGTTTTAAACCCATAAATGCAACAACAAAAAATAAGAATCCAATCCAAAGGTTTTGGACCTTTCTACACATTACCAGTTACAAGATTTTTATTTGTGGCAGCTCTTCTTGCCAAATTTTTAGCACCTTTCTACACATTACCTGTTACAAGATTTTTAGCAACCTTGTAAAATTCAAAGATGCAACTTCATAACATCCTCAATTTTGGCATTACCATACAAAGGTTTTGGACCTTGAGTAGACCAGGTAGCGGTGGCTAGAGCATTTTATCAAATAGTTTTGCGATGAACTAGCAGTGTTAGAACAGCTACCAAGTTCTAACTCCTGTCCTCTTCAGAAAAACAAAAGAAAAACATTCTGGGGATAATCTAACTAAAAAACGCAATGGCTGCAAAATTTAAATAATAACTATTTTATTGTTGTCTTGTAAGTTTCATCTCTGAATGGTGGCTCTTCAACAATGTGAACAGGAAGTAGTAATATAGGAAAAGATGTAGACCAGCGCCCATCAAGTGGTTGTGCCGGAGTGGTACCGCCCAGGTTCGAATCCCCGCCGACCACGTTTTTCCATTTTTGAATTACCTCAAGATGAATTTCCTTTTTTATTTTGACATTTGGCTACAGAACTTCTTAACAATCATGAGTTACTTTTGAAGTTTCACATGTACAGATTCAAGCCTTCAAAGTGAGGGCCTTGAGAAGGAGTCCATTTTCAGTGATTTTGTCTCCCACATGTTCTCTCTCAAAATCTTCATCTCTAATCCTAGACATTTTGCCATTCTACATATCTCCCCAGACTGTGTGGGTGGGATGTACCACCTGATGAAAACCCATGCAGATACAGGGAACCATCAGCATCACCAGTATCCACCCAACTATATCACAATTCCTTTCTCACTCCTTCATCTCTCTTCCATTTCCCAACTTTTGCTACCATTTCCCAGTCCCCTTTCTCAGCATACAAGTTGGACATCAACACAAAAGATCCCGATTCCGTTGGTTCCAATCTCATTAATGTATTGGCTACTCTCTCCGCCATCTCCACATTCCCATGGATCCTGCAAGCCCCGAGCAGGCTATGCAACAATGAAAACCCTGGCTGTCCCGGGATCTGACTCATCAATTCCTCTGCTTCCTCCAATTTCCCTGCACGTCCCAACATGTCCGCCATACTTGAATAATGTTGAGGAGATGGTTCAATATGATAGTCCTTCACCATTGAATGAAAGAGGTGACGGCCCATCTCCACCATTCCATTTCTGCAGCCTGCTGCTAGTATAGAAAGAAATGTGACTGAATCAGGTCTTACTCCTTCTCTCTCCATCTCCTTGAACAATTCTATCACTGAGTCATAGTCTCCATGCCCAGCATATGCAGATATTATTGCAATCCAAGCAAACTGGCTTTTATGAGGCGTCTCACTGAAAACTCTTTTGGACTCACAAATGCTTCCTCGCTTTGCATACATATCAAGAAGAGCACCTGCGATAATTGGGCCAGTCACTAATCCAAGTTTGATCAAGGAAGAGTGGCATCATTGGCCATATTTCAGAGAAATATCCTGAGCATCACCAATTGCACTCAAAACACTACCAAATGTGTAATTGTTTGGCTTTGACTCCATAGTTGCTACTAATAAGAATGTTTTTAGTGCATCTTGACACAGCCCTTTCTGAGCATACCCTGAAATCAAAGCATTCCACGATATGATTTCTCTGCAGTTTAACTCCAACTTTGATGGAGTCATGCATGGACTCAAACTTAGCATACCCAAGCTGTTGCAAACATTACGCTTTGATAAAAAGCCAGTCTTTATGCAAAACCCATGAATCATTTCGCCTTCCTCCACCAACTTCCTAATTGATATAGCATGGATTATTCCAACAAATGTAACATCATTTGGATATACTCCATCCAATCTCACCTCATTAAATAGAGAGATGGCATCTTCTTCGTCTATTGAAATCATAGTTGTCCAAGACACTATGTTGCGATCATTCATGCACTGAAAGACTAATTTTGCATCTTCAGTAACCTCACACTTTGAATATGTCGAGATCAATACATTACAAACTGAAACATGACTTCCATATCCTGATTTAATTGTCAAGCCATGTATCTGTTTCCCAAGTTCTAAATTCATTTCATGACCACAAGCTGAAACTGCACTAGTAAATGAGACATGATCTAAACCCATCCCTTCTTCCACCATCTCTATAAAGACAAAAATCGCCTCAAGCCCATGATTTCCCTCTTGAGAGTAACCTGCTAGTATTGCATTCCATGAAACCACATCCTCATTCGCCATTTCATCAAACACATTCCTAGCTTCTATTAACCGCCTCTACCTCGAATACATACTTATAAAAAAAAACTTCACCATCTAAACCAGACTTAAATATAAGAGAATGCAGTTATAATCCAAATAGAAAATCTTCATGATCCGCACAAAAAGCAAGAATCGTAGTATAAGTCACTGGATAAAAAAGAACTCCATTAAAATTCATCATAAGAGCAAAATTCAATGCACCCTCACTTGTTCGAAACCCCGAAAGAATAGTATTCCAAGAAACTATATCAGTACAGCACATAGTCTGAAAGATAAGTAAGGGACCATCAAACTGTCCAGCTTTGGTGTACAACCTCATCAAAGAATTTGAAACCGTAGTATATGAAGCAAACCCGTGAATTTGGTATCTGGGTTTAAGGGTAATGGTATTTTCATCGATGATATGAGACAAATGTAGTTGAAGTTGCTTACAGAACATGTCAAGGGCTCTAAGGGTAACGGTAACTTCATCGTGTTCGTTTCTCTGTCTCTTCATTCCACTCGCGCACCACATTCCTCTGTGAGTGCAAGTTTTGTCTGTCCTCATTTGGAACAAAAAAGAGGTGCCAGACCCGCCCAGGCCACCTAGGCGCCGCCTAGACCCACCAGAGCCGCCTAGAACCGCCCAGGCCGCCTAGAACCTCCTAGAACCCGCTAGGCCGCCTAGAACGCCTAGCCGCCTAGAACCGTCCAGGCCGCCTAGAACCGCCCGGGCCACCTAGAATAGCCCAGGCCGCCGAAACTCCCTTATAGTATCAGAGTTGTTATCTTAGTGGAGATTTCAATGGCTGAATGACATTTGATGGTTTTCGTAGAGAGATTCCAATCCAATCCAATCCAATCAACGGAGCAGCCGAAACGAAAGGAAAAAAATCGAAGTTTGAGTTGAGAGAGAGAGAGAGAGAGAGGCTCAAGACCGAGTCTTTGAAGCTTGGAAGCGCTTATGGAGTAGCGAAATGGCTGTGACTGCGAGTGCAAGCTTCGCGTTTGTGAATATATTTAAGCAGTATAGCCGTTCGGCTATACCCTAAAATATTCTAGAGCATAGCCGAACGGCGATACCGTGAACATAATATATTTAAGTAGTATAGACGCTGGTCTGTACCTTTATATATTCGAAGCGTATAGCCGAAGGGCTATACCTTGAAAATAATATATTTAAATAGTATAGCCGTGCGGCGATTCTATGTAAATATACAATTTTGTCATGTTATTTTAAAATACCACTTTAGCTAATTAGGATAGAGTTATTTCTTCAATTATTTTTTTTATATCAATGATATTGGGGAATGAGAATTTAAATTCTTTCCGACACCTCCAATTCTAATGATTTCGAGCTATTAGTCCATTAGGCAAGAATAAAAATGGATTTTATTTATAAGAATTAATACGGGTTAAACCCATAAATACGACAACAACAAAAAGGGGATCCACCAACATTTTGGGGATAAAAGAATCTTGAATTTCGTATTATAAAATTGCTTGTGCAAGAATTTACTTAGAAGCATCATTAAAGCAAAATGAAAAAGTAAAAAATAAAACATAGAAAGTGTAATAAAATTGAACCATCCTTGGCAATCCAAAAAAGAAGAAATAAATAACCTAGAATTGGAAAATGAAAGAATGTGTCTGCATATCATGGTCCTCCTTTTGGATAATGAACATGAAGTAATTTCAAGAAGTATAGATAATAGCAAACATGGAAGATGAAAGAAGATAGATTGCATACACTTTAACTGGGGGATGCCTTTTCACTTTTTTTTTTTTTTTTTTTTTTTTTTTTTTTTTTTTTTTTTTTTTTTTTTTTTTTTTTTTTTTTTTTTTTTTTTTTTTTTTTTTTTTTTTTTTTTTTTTTTTTTTTTTTTTTTTTTTTTTTTTTTTTTTTTTTTTTTTTTTTTTTTTTTTTTTTTTTTTTTTTTTTTTTTTTTTTTTTTTTTTTTTTTTTTTTTTTTTTTTTTTTTTTTTTTTTTTTTTTTTTTTTTTTTTTTTTTTTTTTTTTTTTTTTTTTTTTTTTTTTTTTTTTTTTTTTTTTTTTTTTTTTTTTTTTTTTTTTTTTTTTTTTTTTTTTTTTTTTTTTTTTTTTTTTTTTTTTTTTTTTTTTTTTTTTTTTTTTTTTTTTTTTTTTTTTTTTTTTTTTTTTTTTTTTTTCCCCTAAAACCTGATTACACCAGCATATTTCCCTAGTTTTTTGCAGGAATATTTGGGTCATTGGCGGCGGTGATGTTCAATGGCATTAAAAAGGAAGACATTGATTACTTTCCATACGAAGAGGGCACGTGGAGGTGATTGTAGTAGTGCTCTTTGTGCCCGGCTAAAGATAATGGCCAAAATTAACATGAGTCTTTTTTAAGTAGGGCGGAGAAGATGAAGAGGCGTGCAAACTATTTTTGTCAAATATGTATTTTAATATATTTTAATTTAAAAATTACTGAAGGGAATTAACAGAATTAAATTGATGTTAAGTTGTTTGCCTCGTTAAAAGGGCGACGATCCAACGGTCGGAATTCCACGGATCGCAAATTTGGGTGGCGTGTAAGTCATGTTCAATGGTCAAACGACCAAATCTCGGAAAACTACATATAAAGTTGAGCTCATGAGGACAAAAGGAGTACCACCTAGGGGTGTGCCCCATGTAACACCTAGGGGTGGTTGGGTGTGTACATCAAATTCTAAAAACTCAAAAACAACATAATCAACGCATATGAACTTGTAGAACACAAAGAGAGGAGCAAATTTAATACCTGGGTCGACCCCAAAAGTGGCCGATATTGGTTGGAACTGGTGAAAAACTGGTGAAAAACGTAACTTTTGACCTTGGTCTTCGTGTACAGTAAGTTTCAACGAGTGGATCTTGCACCAAAAGAAAGAGGACATTGATACGAATTCATACATGAGAGAGAAGACTTGATACATAACTCGAAACCAGCACGGAAAATTAACTGGTCAATCTGCACGATTAAATTTTTAGGTGATTTCAAGTCAACCTGCCACTAAACTCGTTTATAAACGAGTGAGTTTTGGGTCAACCCGCCAACCCGCTAAAATACTTATGTAACCCACTAACTTGCCAACTTGCCAACCCATTTCTTTGTTTCTTTTTCATTTTCTTCATTTTCTTTTTAATTTTTTAATTTCTTTTTCTCAATATTTATATACTCAAAACCCGTACAAGAAATAAGTGGGTCAACCCGTAAATGACACATTCATTAAATGGGTCGGATTTGAATTTGACACGTATATAATCATGACATGATACGAATCCAACACGACACGACTCACAACCCACAACCCATTGCCAATCCTCCTCTAAGCCAGCCCTACTCAAAGTGGAGGGGGCCGGGGGGAACAACTTTTCATCAATAAAAACGTTGGATTGGGAAGGATGTATATTCAGTAAATATTTTTAATTTTTAATTTTTTAGGCTCAATAACCATTTCATGTCAGAACAAAGCACTTTTTCATAATAAAAATTTAAGTGACAGCAAATTTGATAAAATTTCTCAAGTTTATATGATGTGGCACATTGCTTCAATTCTTGTTTGTTTGTTTGTTTGTTTGTTTTTTTTTCAGGTGAAAATTAGAATAGAAAGAGTGAGAGAACATGAGATAAAAAATGAAAATTAGAATACAACTGTTTTATCTTATGATCCTTGAATTTCAAATCTATTTATTAAAATTGTTTCAATTCTCAAGTATATTTAAAATTTTCTCATATAGTCGATGAAGTCCTAACTACTAATGAGATTAGGAGCAACACATCTGAACGCATGAATTAGCTAAGCAGTGAACCAAGAAAACATTCAATCCTTGTGAAAGGAAGTTAAGAAATTAGATTGTTTCTACACTGAACAACAAATACTAATAGCATGACCAACAACGGCACGTCGTATGTCACCCTCTTTCAATTCCATTCCATGGAACTGTTTCCTGTGAACTTTCGGATGAGAAATCTACCTACGAGCTGAGAGAAAAGCGGATTCGGCGAACATGCAACTGCAAAGTTCATTGGTGTTTTGTGCTAAGATAGCTCTATTCCTACAACACATGGAACCACTAAGGTTTTTCCCATAAGATATCCCTGCAATATTTGGCAAAAGAAAGCACAGGTTCAGAATGGCACTCAAAATTTGATGATCCCTGCAATTATTGTTTGTAGGAATAGAGCAAACATCTATAATAAGATGACAACTCAAAAATGATCAATCTATTCTCATTACTTTAAACACTTTAAAAATATATATATATATTTCAATTTCAATCAGGGTAGGGTAATTACATTGCCCCACTTCAATCTATTTACTTTCATGCCACATACCACACATGTTTCTAACTTCTATAACTTCTATAACCTCCATTGCATTCCTAGCCAGAGTAAGCTGCATCATATTTCACATGCATAGCATGTGTATGCTGTATAAATTTAAAGATAACATTATGCAAAAATCTGAGCATTGTGCATTCCTTGTTCACAGTTTTAGTTGTCGAAACCGAGAAATGCATACCTAATGAAACATGTGAGTTTACTCAGCTTCAAGGGCAGCAATTTCATATCTGACTTCTTCCAAATGCTCATTTATAGCGGTCACAGCATCCTGCACCCCTCTAATGGCTTCCTTGAGATCATTATCATACTGGGCATCTGCTTCTGCCTCTTCAGTTCCAGCAGCTTCTGTTATCTCATGGAGATGCACACACTCATGCTCCATTGGTTTCTTAAATCTGCAGTTTTCATGACTCACCAGACGCTCCGAGGGTCTACCAGCCTTCTTCAGCACCTGAATTGTAGCTGTCTTCAAATCAAACAAAGGTATACTTAATGTCAGCAGAAAATGGAATAAAATCTGGTAGCAAAAATAACTACACACATTGCTTAGAATATGTACCTGAAATAAAGAAAAAAAAACACTTAAAAAAAAACCAACCAAAGCTTCCAAGAGCACAGCATACCCATTAATCAGAACCCATGATCATTTACAAAAATATATGCATATTAATGTTTGTGTAGGTTGGTATTGGTTCTTTCTCTAGCTGTTCCACAAGCATTATTTAGTACAACACCAAAAAAAACAAAAATCTTGGCAACGTATACATGAATTTGGTCCTCCATTCCATGATCCATTCATAACCAGATTAAATAACCAAACTAAATTACATAAAAATGGAAAGTATACATGATGAAATAAATACCAAATTCAATTTCTGCTTCTCCTGGGTTTGGACAGCTCTGAGGAGATGGGCCAAATCAACTCGGCCATAATCGGGATCGTTGAGAAAGAGCGATTCAATACGAAGCACATGCTTTGAGCACTCGTTGAATTCCAGCGTCACCTCACTGCAAACTTGTTGGTAGGCCAACTCCCCATGTGCCCCTGAACACACCATATACTCCCCAAACCCTCTTTTCAACTTCGCGTATGCTTCCGCCCTCCGCTGCTGAATTCCGAGGAACTCGCGCAGTAAATCGACGGTTTTCGACGAGCACTTTCCTGCCTTCTCCCTTTCTTCTTCGTCTTCTTCCATTGGGTCTCTTAGTGAGACCTTCTTCTCAAATTCTTCCATACTCAGATTTTGCTTCTCGCCCTACCTTCTACTTCCTCCTCTTTTCTTCTTCCAGGGCCGACCGGTGTAAATAAATTTAGATTTTTAGGGAACTGATATCCGCCGTTGAGATTTAATAATATATTATTTACTAGCCAAAAAACTAAAAAGGTTTAATAATATATTAAGAGTAAATTGCCGCACACCCCTTGAACTAGGATCCATTCGAACTTAACCCGTCGAACTAAAAAATTAGCCAATTTAACACCCGAATTAATTAAATTGGCCAATTTAGCACTTGTTGTTAAGTTTTTTGAAATTTCATCTATTTTTCCGTTAGTAATAAGAGTAAATTTGTAATTTTGAATAAAATAATAGTCAAATACATAAAATTAAAAAAGATATATATATATAAAACGTTATTTATAATTGTAGAAATGAAAAATGATTTTTTTTTAAACACCCACCCTCTTCCCCACAAGCCCACCATGCCAACTGCCACAACCCACCTTTTCCTCCTCCACCCACCCACCTTTTCCTCCTCCACCCACCCACCTTTTCCTCCTCCACCCACCCACCCATCTCAGCCCCATCCCTCCTGTCACAACCCATCTCAGCCACCCAATATCCCCCACCTCTGTTACTGCCTTCTCTGATCACCTCAGCCCAACAACTCAACAACATAATCGACGCCTTCATCGGAGCCGGCGACTTCAGGAACTGGGTCTTCACCTTCTCCAAGCTTCAATTCTTCAATCCCTACATGCCGACACCTCTACTGCACCCTAACCCAAAAACCCCACCCACCTCAGCCGCTCCCACCTGTGACACATCCTCTATTCTTCTCCCTTGTCACTCTACAATTTTAAGCTTGAGATGACGGACCTACCCAAACCCGATTCTAGTTGCGACAAAGCTAGAATATTTGAGGGCTTGGACCTTGGCAACAGCATGGGATTCCAAGCTTTATTTGATTGAAGATTTGTTTGAAATTGAAAGTTTTTTGTGAGGTAAAATACCTCTAGGCCAAGCTGGGCCAGAGCACGTGTTAGTGGTCGAGTTGGGCCCGAGCTCAATTGCCATATATTTTTCCACCTTGACCCAAGGGGGCTTATGGGCCCATTGGCCATGAGCTTGGGCTTGGTGTGCATGGTGTTCACTCAAAGGACTTCTAGTCTTTGAGAAGCTAGGATGTTTCGATATCACCGAGATGCCTATCTAAAAGGAGTCCTAGTCCGAGAAGGACTAGGTTGTTCCGGAGTCCTGGTTCGAGAAGGCCTAGGTTGTTCTGGAGTTCCACTCCAAAAGGGATTAGGTCGTCTGGGGTGATATAAGAGGATGAGGTCACCTTTCGTCAAAGGTATGCAATTCTAAGCACTAGAACCCATTGTGCAATTTTGCTCTCAAACACTTGACTGACTTAAGCATTGGAGGGTCTGACACCACACCAGTGTCATCCACTGAAGCTCTCTTGTTTTGCAAGTTCTGGAGGACAACTTGGTTAGTCACGCTAACCTAGTCCGGAAGAATTATCCGACCTCGATCTCGAAGATGTCATCTTCTGTTGAACCAATTTTAGGCATCAATAGTTTGGCGCCGTCTGTGGGAATCGACTTCTAGCCCCAACTAACCCGTCACCTTCGCTACGTCGAGGAAATGAAGGAAGAAATCTAATCACCTAACATTGAGACCTACCTGAAGGAGATGAGGAAAGACATTAACGAACTCCGTGATCAGAACAAGAAGGTCATGGAGGAAACCAAGAAGACCCATACAAGAAGAGAACGAAGGTTAGAAGAGTGGTGTTAGGAACATGGAGATCATCAACGTAGTGGTCCAGTGGACCCCAACGCCAAGGCGAACTTCAACGTGAGGGACATGATGATGAAGAGGGTGAAAGCCATCCCCGATCTCCTTATGGAAAGAATCGTGGGAAGCTGCAAACTTTTGAGCCTACCCTTCACGACTCATTCTTTGGTTTCTCTCGCATGCCAACCGAAAGCTAGAATAAGTATAGCAACGAAGCCTAAGATTAGATGACTGATTAGATTACTAGTTTGGTTAACTCATGCTCTACTACTAAATCTCATATATGAAAGAATATAACTCAACAGAAAGCAACCTTTACTTGACTTCAAGTACCATAATGGAAGGAAGAATAGATGAAAGCTAGAGAGTAGCTGCCTAGATACAAACTAAAAAGCTTGGATTTGGCTAAAATATCTTGACCTAAGAGATTTGCTTGAGGAAAAGAAAGCTCAGTAAGTACGACCTCGTAATCGCTATCGTGAGGTCGATCATGATCGGAAAGTCGATCAATCCAAAGTCTGCCCTAATGGAGACGAGCATACTGAAGAAAGTAGAATTTTGGAAGCCATGAAGCGGATGCAAGATGAGATAGATCGAAAGCTAGAAGTCCGCTTAATAACCCTCGAGCGTGAGCGAGGTCCAGGACCCTTCGACGTGGCCATGACAACTGACACCCTACTATTCACTAGAGACATCCTTGAATTCAAGCTCCTAAAGGATTTCAAATAGCCCATGATGCGACTTTATGATGGGACCACCGACCAGGTGGACTTCTTGAACAACTTATGTTACTTGATGTATGTGAAAGATGCCAGAGATGCCATGAAATGTCGAGCTTTTCCTCTGCTCTTAAAAGGATCAGCTAAGGATTGGTTCAAGTCCTTAAAGCCTGACTTCATCAACTCATTTGACTTGCTCAAATAGAGCCACATGAACCAATTTCTATTTGCCTCAAAGAAGAGGCACCCACCCAAGTACCTCATTAGCATCAGGTAGGGTCCTAAGAAGAAGTTGCGAGAGTACATCAACCGTTTCAATCAAGAAGTAATTAGCATCCCTAATTGCTCCAAAGATATGGCCTATACTACCCTTCTAGCTGGGTTCCGAAGAGGACCTTTTTTGCTCCATTTCAACAAGTTTCCACCTAAGAGTTATGAGGACCTGGTGTCTGAGGCGTATCATCATGCCATCACTGAGGAGATGACATAGGACACACCAGAAGGGAAAGATCCATCGCAGCCTAGTGTAAGAGATAAACAAAAAAAAGGTCGAAATGACGTACGTGATAAGCCACACGACAAGAAAAGAAGATTTGAGAATTCTAGGCGAGGCGGGAAAGACCGAGATCGAACAAAAATCCATTTCAAACGCAGTTCGACAACTACACCTCGTTGAATACTAATCAAGAGGAGGTCTTCTTCCACATCCAAACTAAGTTGCTAAAACCCCAAACTTTGAGGTTTTCCAAAGGGTGAAAGGATCTAAATCAATATTGTAGATATGACTGCGAGAATGGTCATACGACGGATTAATGTTACGAACTCCATGATGAGATTGAAGCACTAATTAGGCGACGTCGTCTAAACCGATTTGTGGGTGAAAAGAAGCAAGCAGGGCAGCACGACAACACACCAGACAAGCAACCACGTGCTTTGAAAGACATCAATGTTATCTCACGTGGAGCAACTCTAGCTGGGGACTCCACAAAGCACAAAAATAATATGCACGACGTACCCAAGTTGGACTCGAGATGCTCTTGATTGGTCCAAGCTACAGTACTCCAAAGTCACCCAAGCTCGGGTACTCGATGATCACCTTTAAGAGGAGGAGGAAAGAGGTGTAGTTCACCCACATGATAACCCGTTTATAATCCAAACTGAGATCGCAAATTGTTGCGTGAAACGGGTCTTTATTGACACATGAAGTTCAGTCAGTATCATTTTTACATTGGCTTTCGAACAAATGGAGATATCACGAGAAGAGATCAAGCCAGTGGTCACTCCCTTGCTTGGATTCACTAAGGACAGGATCAACTCCATTAGAAGCATCACACTATTGCTGTCACTTGGAATGGCACCCTAACGAACAACGGTGTACACAACTTTTCTAATAGTTGAATGCCCTTATGCTTATAATGTTATTTTAGGTCGGCCAATCCTATGCTCTCTTTGAGCGTTCATTACCAGCCACATGCTCTTGATGAAGTTCCCAACCAAAGCTAGTGTGGGATATGTGAAGGGTGATTTTAAAAAAATAAAATAAATAAAGCCTACGGAGTGCTACGCTGTGGCGTCCACGTAAAAAGGGAAGGAAAAGATGGAGATGTACGTCATCGAACAAGATGGGATAGACCATGCGATCGAGCTCAACACACAAGAAGGTGCAAGTATAAAACAAGCCATGTCAAGAGGGGACTTAGAGAAAGTGCAAATCGATGATAATCACCCAGATCGGATCGTCAAGATTGGCGCCCAATTACCACCTCAAATTCGTGATGGCCTGACAAACCTCCTACGTGAGAACGGTGAGGTCTTTGCATGGTCGTGTGAAGGCATGCGGGGAAAAGATCTTGAGATCATATCACACCATCAAAGTATAGATCCTACCTTCAAGCTAGTATGCCAGAAAAGTCGAGCTTACAATGTAGAACGGGACGCTGCCATGAAAGAAGAAGTGAACAAGCTCACGAAGATTGGTTTCATTCGTGAGGTTAACTATCCAAGCTGGTTGGCCAACATGGTCATGGTGAGGAAGACACTTGTAAAATAGCGAATGTGTGTTGTCTTCACTAACCTGAAGAAGGCGTGTCCTAAAAATAGCTTCATGTTATCCCATATTGATCAGCTCGTCGATTCGACCGGGGGCTACGAGCTCCTTAATTTCATGGGATGCATACTCGGAGTACAACCATATTTTGAGGTACCCACTAGATCAGGAGCACACCTTGTTCATCACAGACCGAGGTCTTTATAGTTACAAGGTCATGCCATTCAGGCCCAAGAACGCAAGTGCAACATACCAGCCACTTGTCAATTAGATGTTTGCCAACTAGATATGAAAGAATATGCAGGTCTCTAGTCAAGAGTGTCATGGTTGATCATCACATTCAAGACCTAGCTGAAACTTTCAAGGTATTAAAATTGTATAAGATGAGGCTTAATCCAGCCAAGTGCGCCTTCGGGGTCAGCTTGGGAAAATTCCTCGGGTTCATGGTCAGCTAGTGTGGCATCGAGGCGAAGCCAAAAAATATCCAAGCTCTGCTTAACATGAAGTCGCCTAGGACCTTGAAAAAAGTGCAAAGCCTAACATGTCGTATGGCAGCACTAAATCGATTCATATCCCAAGCTACATACCATTGTCAACCATTCTTCCAAGTTATAAAGGGGAAGACGAAACTTATTGATTGGATCCCTGAGTGTGAGCGTGCTTTTCAAGAGTTGAAGGAGTACATGGGAAAACCCCCTCTTTTGTCTAAGCCTGAATATAGTGAAGATTTGTTATTGTACCTATCTGTGTCTTCCACGGCATTAAGCTCGGTGCTCATTAGAGAGGTAGGCAAGGTTCTAAACCCCATGTATTACGTAAGCCGAGCTCTCCAAGACGCTGAAACAAGGTACCCTGAGATCCAGAAGTTGTCCATCGCCCTTGTTATTTCAGCTTAGTAGTTGAGACCTTACTTCCAGTATTATACCATCATTGTGCTGGGCAACCACCTATTGAGGCAAATCTTGCAAAATCCCAAGACCTGAGGTCGACTCATCAAATGGTCAATTGAACTTGGTGAATTTGATAGCATATACCACTCACGAGAAGCAATCAAGGCTCAAGTTGTGTCTTATTTTCTTTCTGAGTTCACCAATGTAGAGCCACCACCATTGCTGATTGATCGGCCTAAGGTGAGCACAGAGAAGAAGATACGACCTAACCTTCCACTTTGGATTCTATGTGTTGATGGTGCTTCAAATCAACAAGGATGTGGGGCGAGGTTAGTATTAACCTCACCTGAAGACGATGACCCATTATGCCTTACGGTTTGGGTTCAAGGCCTCGAATAATAAAGCTAAGTATGAAGCACTCCTTGCAGAACTACGCCTAGCCTCCGAGCTCGGTGTTAAACAACTTTGCATTTTCAGGGACTCCCAATTGGTGATAAACCATGTCACTGAAGAATACCAAGCTCAAGATGGAAGCATGAGTGCCTACCTAGCCAAGGTCAAGAAGTTGTTGGATGATTTTATTGGTTATGAAATCATTCAAATTCACCATATTAAGAATACGAAGGTTGACTCCCTAGTTCAATTGGCGTCTTCTTTCTATATTGACCTTGGAAGATCTATCCTGGTGGAATTCTTAGTTAGCATAGAGGAATATTCCTTAGAAGTTTTCCCTATTGGTTCCGAGCCAACTTGGATGGATCCAATATGTGATTATCTAGCTCATGGAGTCCTACCTGAAGACAAAGCAGAAGCTCAGCGTGTACAGTGTAGGTCATCCCGATATTTGATCATCAACAAGAAGTTGTATAAAAGAGGTTTTTCTTTGCCATACCTACGATGCTTGACACCAAATGAAGCTGATTACGTGCTTTGTAAATGTTGAATAAAAAAATTCAAACATGGGATTGGATAAGTCCCACAACTTTGAGTGGGTTTGATACCCAAGTGCATTGAAACGACCAAAAAATCAAATTGGCTTTGGTTATGTGCCACGTCCAGCAAGCCTCAAATTGAAGGCAGAGATAAAGCACAACTTGGTAAACCATGTATAGGAAAAGAGTTCAAAAAATAGGGGAGTTTGACCAGCCAATGAAAACTCTCAAACAAGGTTGGTGGCTTTTGTTTTTGTGGAGATGATTATTCAATATTTGAATGAAGCATCCTACACTAAAGAGATCTCTCACATATGGCCTATAAAAAGCATAGCAGCAAAGAAAAAAAAAGGAGAGGAGAAAGAAGAAAAAAATGAGCTGCTGGTGGAAAAATAGTTAGAGCATAAAGACAAAAGAAATTGTCACAGGTATATTGTCATCTCCATTAATTTATGTGTGGTGGCAACCCTTGTGTCAAATTCTTGGATGATAAATCCATGTTGGGTGGCAACCCTTGAATCAATTTCTTGGATGATAAATCCATGTTGGGTGCCCTTAAATCACATATATGGATAGCAAATCCGTGCGATGATTCCAGTTCAATAAATCTCTGCCGAGCAAAAGAAAATCTATGGGAAAACAAAAAAATTGATGTTTTGGGAGTTAATTCCAAAATGTGCAGAAAAACAGGAATGTGTTCTACCCTTGGTTAAGGAAATCACACCAATTCCTTCTTTGTAGCTGCAAATAAAAAATGGGAAGTTAGTTCTCTACCACAAGTTGCCGTAAAGGAGTTGATGACAAAAACGAAAACATAGGAGTTTAATCTCACGACAAATGCCAAATGGGTTTATACCTCTTGAAACTCTTTGACCAACTCTCTCCCTCTCTGTTAAAAACCCCACTAGTTTCTTCCCTGTCTGAGCAAATTGCACAGGCCATTCTCTTCTCAATTTGAGTATGCTGCATCAAAAGGAAAGAAAAAAAAGAAATTAGTTGTTGCAAATAACAAAGAAGAAAATATGGTGTTAGAAAGGTTGCTTTGTATTGTATTTGCATACAGATGGAACAAGAAGAAGAGGATAAGTCAGCAAATAAAAAAAGAGAAAGAAAGTTTAAAGGAGGAGGTTACGTTACATAGTCACTCTTACTTGAATTCCTCATATTGTGTTTGTGTGCATATAGACAAAACAAAGGAAAAGTTGCCTTTATATAGCCCCGTTTGGAAGATGGCTTTGTGTTATGTTTATTTGTATAAAGACAGAAAAAAATAAAAATAAAAAAGGAAGTCAGCAAAAAGAAAGAAAAAGAATAGGCATGCGCCTCTTGGGACCCTAGGCTAGTTTTCAATTAAAGTTGTTGTCTACTTTAACTGAAAGAAAAAAAAAGATGCTATTCTATGAAACTCTTGGTTGTGTGGCCTAACAAAGAGAAAGGTCATGCATACCTTTTGTTGTGAAGACAAAGATTCCTCTCTAAGAAGGTCTGATAGTGAAGCAAAGGAAAATTGGTATGGGGATTTGTTCTAAATAAAGGAGGGATTCTTGGGGTGGAGTAATTGTTTCCTAAGTCAATCAACACTAGAATTCCTTCCCGGCTTCAACACCTGTAGTCCTAATTCAATTGTGACTGGTTTAGCTAAAAGGGATGAGTTTCATGCTGATGACCAGTCACAGGCAAACTGATAAAAAATGTTAGGCACATAAACAAATTGTTGGGTTGTCTGCCTATTAATTCTTAAAAGCCCAAAATATTTAATGAGTGATCCAAATAAACACTCATTAAATTTACAAAGACCCACATTGCCTATTATATGGTTAATGGATCAATTTTAAAATCCTTAAAGTTATATTTGGGTCCAAATGCAAATGTCAATTGTAGAAAATTAGTGGGTTCATCAAAATTGCTCATTATTTTCCTTGGACATTGACAATAAGAAAAATGGTACAAAACCATCCAATTTTTTTCCATGGGTCATCTACCTATGAAAATCTTAAAATCTCCAAATTGTTTCAAAGACACAAATTCTAAATTAGTGGGCCATACTTACCCATTAATTTCCAAATTTCTGAACTACGCTGGTTTGATCTCTTCGAAAGGGTATGTTGGCAATCTAGAGACTCAATCTAGATGCAACCGCCCAAATCTTAAATCCAAACACAATTCCATGTTGAATACTTGGTTTATTCAGCTAAATTCACTCAAACACTCATCAATACAATTTAAATTAAATTTTCCCTGCAATGAGTCATTTATTCATTGCAATTTCTTAAACTACGAGTGGCTTGATTCCTGTGAGGGATACGTAGGCACCTTGAGGTTGGACTTGGGAGCAGCCGCAAAATGAAACACACATGTTATGTTTCTTTATGATGGAATCAAAGGGTATTCCCTTGAAGCAAGGGATTGTAATTAAGAGATACCGTGTCTCAAATGGGTCGAACCTAAAATGATAAAACCCAATTATTTAAAAAGTGGTGGTGAAATTATGTTAGGAGGTTCACATTTTTCTTCAACATAATTTCTAGCATGCCCAATGGGATCCATTTACCTTTTCATCTCCATCATAAGGTGACTAATGTTTTTATTAATTTGTGTTTGCCACAGGTTATCAAAACCCGAACAAACTATGGCACCACAAGTGTGGCAATTTGAGGAAGAAAGAAGAAAAGAAGCAGTCTATTGAGGCAATTTTATCCTAGCTTTCTGGAACAAACCCAATGGTGATCGTAAGTGAGAACACCTCAAGCACCCTGACTGTGCCTACTCCCCAGAGGAGTAATACTACCCGATTTGTCCAAATCATTATTGGATCAATCCCGATCAACATGTATCCTACAGATTCAGTCCTGATGACTTCCACCAATAAAACTAGTGAAGAAAGTCAAAAGGACAACTTTGAGGAGAACGCTAAGGTCTAAAGGTCTAAACCTCCATTAAGCCCTTGAGCCCATGTTGTGGAATCCCCATCACAAGAGTTTACCTGTGTTCTTCCAAGGGTAAAAGCAAAGCCATCATCATGAAAAGGAATGTGGTGAACATACCTCATCCACAAAGGAAGCTCGTGCAAGAGCTTAAGACAATTGATGCTTTAAGGAATCAAATTCCTATATCACAGGGGGCACTCCCAAAACCTCAAGATCAGTCGAGGTCCTACATGGGTCCGTTGACCTGTTCCAAATCTCGAGACATTCTGGGGATGATTATTCTAGAGCTATCCGCTCTAAACTCAACCCGCTTGGACAAATATTTGATATGGAATCCTCTTTATGATGATCCCGTATCTCAAACTCAAGAGAATGATTACATAATATCCCAAGGGGCCAAACTTATTGTGGGAGTAGAAAGCATGCAAGTCATGATGATTGGTACTTCTAATACTGAGGATCAATTACCCTTAATCCAAGAAATGATGTAAGACCTGCAATGAGAAATATAGCAGAAGTTAGCAGAGAAAGACGCGGAGAAGGAAAAGCCACCATGGGTGAGCAAGACAAAGGCAAAGCGAATGAATTCATGACTCACAAACAGGAAAGAAAAGAAGAAAAAGGTGAGGGCTCTAGGAGCGCAATTTCCCACACATGACATAAAGGCATTAATTGCTTAGGGGATTCGTGAATTCCAAATGTTCGTAGCACCTTCTATTCTTGGATATCGAAAGCCCTTCCCTTCTCACTTTGACGCCATCCCATTCCCAAAGGGTTATCAAGCTTAGGTTGCAGGGGCATTCAACAGAAAAGTTAAGTTCAGATCTTTCTCAATTGGAGATTTGGTTTTAACTGTTCGAAGACCCTTCGTCATTATAGGAAAATGCATGGTAAGTTTAAACCTAAGTAGGAGGGGCCCTACGTCATTACTAAGGTTTTCTTCAACGGTGCCTATGAGTTGTCAAACTCTGAAGGCAAAAGCATATATCCTTGTGTGAATGGGAAATTCGTCAAGAATTTTTTATATAAAAAAAGCTATGTGGGTTGAAAACCTGAAAGTGGAGCCCAAGCAAAAGAGCTACGGTCGACTTGATCCCTCTCAAAATAGGTACGTAGGCCGTCTAGTCCTTAAAAAGCTAGATTCAATCATAAGTCCCAAAATCCCCCTTCATTACCTCAATTCAAGGAGAGTGAACTAAGTTTGGCTTGATCCCTTAATAGGCTACATAGGCAAGCTAGCCCAAAAGCTAGGTGCAGCCGTATATGACAGGACCTGCCCCGAACTCCTCGGAACATGGGACAAATCCTATGGTAATTTCGGTATCAACCTGATGTCGGGCCCACTTACTAAAGAAATAAGACGTTCTGCCAAAATTTTGGCAGACTTTCCCCTGAAAAACGGACATTCCCAAAATTTTAAACTAATAAAAAAGATATTTATACATCTTAACAGGCAACATGCACAAGATAACAACATGAAATTAACATCAGTGGCCTCCGACCTTACAATCAAACCCTACATGGGCGACATTAGAGCAATTTAAAGAGTTTCAATTTACAAAATAGGCCTCTAACCTTCAAATAATTCAAAGCAGAACCACCAACAATGCTCTTAAGTCAATATAATACACTAAGAAAGTAATTAATAAACCCAAAAATTTACGAATACCCATTGTAATCAACATAAAATAACTCCCCAATTTTTCCCGTGTGATGTTGACGACTCAAACACAATGGCAAGTAGCTTAAAGACTCGGGCCCAAATCGTACTTCAATCCAAATGGGTTTCCTACCCGTCTTAACCACAAACACATTTCAACAACACACACTTAGTCAAACAGGAATATGAATAATCCTTTAATAATGCCTCAGTTTCAATCGAGCTTTAGGACCACCGACAAAGTCAAAACCAAACTCATAAAAAACAAAAGAAGTAAGACTAGATCCAGGTGACCAAATCAAAGTTCCAGAAATAAACTTTAGTTTGCGGCTACCTTTACTAAGGGATCAAGCCAGACATAGTTCTTCAACCAACAATCAAAATTCAGATAATATACTATTATTTAAAGTAATTCCAACAATTAGATTTGATTTATTACAAGGCAATCCTTGCACACTTTATGAGTTCCTTTCCTTTTATCAGTTCTTTCCTCGCAACCATACCCTATCCAAGGCGTATGTTGCTGAACAACACTTCCCAATCCATGATTTAAATATTCATACTTGTGCAAGGTACTCACGAAGCACAAATTTAGGAATCTCAACCCGGAAACGAATCCACACACACACACACACACACACACATCTCACACCATTATCATGTACCAGGGGGAAACAATCCAATCTAGGGATTATTTGACTAGACCATATGGAGGAATCCTTAACAACCATGTGGCCAGGGATGAGTCGTCCATCCGGGGGACTGGGGTAACCAGCAAGCACAACAGAATCCTCAATACTCATGCGCTTGTAACAAGTCCTACGCGCGCAAACTACCTTGCCAAGGGTCTACGAAACATCCCGTCAAGGGTGCCCGGGTTCCGATCATATCCAAGTATCAATTTTCATGTATCCAAGTATCCATATCCACTGTTTCCAAGTATCAGTATCCAAGGGGAGGTACATATGATAATGCGCATCATGTACTGGGGAAAACAATCCAACACGGGGATCGTTTGACTGAACCATATGGAGGAATCCTCAACAACCATGTGGCCAGGGACGAGCCGTCCGACTGGGGTACTGGGCTCACCAGCACTCATAGCAGAATCCTTAATACTCATGCGCCTGTGACAAGTCTTACGCACATAAACTACACTGCTAAGGGTCTATGGTAACACTCCATCAAGGGTGCCCGGGTTCCGACATATCCAAACCATATCCACAATTCCAAGTATCCCTCAATTCCAAAATTCGTAACCAAGGAAGCCCACACGCTGGAAAATCCAGTGCCACGTGTGGGTATAGTGACTAGGGAAGATACATATAATGGTGAGGTTTATAACCCTTATATAAATATTCTAAAAATAATATTTCCCAAATATTTATTCATAGTATAGAAAATAAACTCTCAAGTGTATATTCCACAAAGACCCAATAATAATTCAAATAGTAATCAAAATTTATTTACACTTAATTTCCATAAAATACTGTATTCCACAATTAAAACAATAGATTTTCGTAGATAACCCGATATCACCCAATCCATTTACTTTAATAATAATAATAATGATATTAATTTATGATAATTAATAACCTTTAGAGATCCCATATCCTCATTAACCCATATTGAATAATTTTCAATCCAAACTCATTATGCAAGAAATTCCTTATTAAAATAATGAAGCACGCTTAAAAACAAACGTCCACTTATCTACTAATAATCATAGCCGAGAGCCAAGACTCACTTTCACACCCCATCGATCAAGTATCCCATGCTCATCCATTCCATAACTTCAATTATCAAACTAATATCCAAGAATTCTATATGATACTATAAAACAATCTCGTAAGCCCAACATAATCAACATAAATGAAATAACAGTCAAGACTCGTTAATAAGGTCGTTCTAGTACTCCTTGAAGGGTAAAACTACCTCAGAAGACTCAAGGTCAACAGAGGGGTTAAACTGCCCTAATCGGTCAACCGGGCCCGAGGGGCCCATGATCTCTGATTTTCGATCCAAAAGTTCCTATGGGTTCAACAAGGTTTATTAAACTTGTTTTGCAAGTTTGGTTCAAATCGAACGGTCGGATCACTCACGATTGCACTATCGGACGGACTCCAAATCATGATCAGCGGATTCCTACACAATCCTAGAGGTGCCTAGATCAAAATATTTGAAATTGGAGTCGATCCAACGGTTCGAACATATTGAACACGGATAATGCCTAATATGCATATCCGATCGATAGTCAAACGATAACTAAATTCAAATCCGAGCACATCATCGTGATAGGGACGACATGGGGATCATTTTGGGACACCCAAATAGTGCCCACGGGCCGCCCACCAATCGGTAGCGCTTGGGTCCCTAAAGTAATTCCAGCGATCGAAAAATCTCCAAATCGCTATACCTACATGATCAGGACAATGAGTAGAGCAACTTTTGTTCTTGGATTATGGCCAAAAAGTGACCAGAAATAGCCGGAATTATGAGTCGAAACTGGCCAAAATTTAGTTTCAAAACGCAGAAATCGATCCTATTCAACCCAACTATCAGCTAGAACGCATTGAGAGGATGAAAAAGCATACCTAGATCGAAGAAATTGGTGGTCGTAATTACCAGGACGAGCTCCGGAAACTTTAAGTAAAAACCGACCCTATTTTTTCTTTTTTCGGCAATCCAGGCGGCGGATGGCGACAGCTGAGGGGTGGGGCTTGTGGCCGGGGGTGGCCTGTGGCGGCAGCGGTGGTCCAAAAACCACGGGCTGCAAAAACTTAGGGGGCTCTGTTTGCACACGGGAGGGAGAGAGAGAGAGAGAGAGAGAGAGAGAGTTTTTTATTTTTAAAAACCTTTTTTGAAATATTTACGGTTTTGCAACTAAGCTTCCTTTGATTGTAACTTTTTCGTTACAACTTTGATTTGGGCCCACTACATGTCTACGGACTCATTTCGACACGATCTACGTCATGGTGCCATTTTCCCCATAATCATTCCTGATTAAAAAGTGACCAAAATGACCATATCCCCGGGGCAAAATTGTAATTTCACAATTTATTAAATAAAATAAATTAAACTAATACTTAAATTTGGGTCGGGATGTTACAGTATATTATCACAAATTCAAATTTTTTTTTTCACTAATGGTGTTAGCATGTGGTTAAACTGCTATATATGGTGCAAGAACTCCAACATCATATAAGTATAAACTATGAAATAGGAAAGCAAAATCCTACCAAATGTTTATTCTAAAAATAAATTGTTCTTGGTTGACGAACTACATTACGAAAGCAAGGAATACTATAACAAAAGCCTACCTATGAGTTCTTGGTGGATGAACCACATTACAAGAACATTTATTAAAAAATGAAATACTAAAAAAAGAAAGAGAAACAAGCTCATTTGTCAGAGCTCGCTACATGAAGAAAACAAGGCATTAATCAGTTGGTAAATCTCTTGCTCTTGTGCCTTCATTGACCATCGGGTGCTTCCAATTAGAGGAAGTAGATCTTTTTTTAGCATCGATTCTCGATTTTTGAAGCTGTGCTGCTCGTTCATTTTGATGCTCCAAAGAAACCTCCAAGTTCATCTTTTGCATATTAAGGGAAGTCTTTTTAGCTTTGTGCTCTTCCCACATCTGGTGAACTCTCTCTTTTGCTTCCTTGATAGTAGCTTCCTTGACATCCAAGTCATCAATCTCTTTAACAACCTCTGCGAGTTGTGTGTCAAAAGCCTATTTGGCGGTTAAACATTCCTCATGTTGACAGATCAAATCATGAATCAGATCAACATTTACATCTCCTAATGCTTTAATGTAAGCGTTGCTCTTTAAATGTCGTATGGCAAGCTTAAAAATCCAGTCCACAAACTGGGCAAATCGTTAAATGCGGCTTCACCACACCCAAGAATGTCAACCGTTGACCCAAAAAGTCGAAGGTCCTTGTTGATTTAGGAATAGTGTATATGAGGTTGAGCAAGTGTCTTTGAGGAAGAAAGTCAGCTGAAGATACCTTCAATTTCTCTGCTAATAAACTCCCTCTTACTCTGGTTCATCTATTCCCAAGAATCTGACAAACAAAATTCGCAACATATACCAAATTTTGAAGGGGTTGCACAACTACTATGGGTTGTACACCTTCAAGGAATTGATCATCGGCTGGGCCATTCTAAACTTGTTGAAATTTAGATTCTTCAGCTAGGAGATCTGACCCACTGTCACTCATGTTGGAGTTAGCGCTCTTAGGAAGAATGTTTTCCTCTTCACCTGAAGAAATGTACTCAAAAGTTGGGTTATCCGCATTTATAAGCTTCATTTCACGAGGGAGAGCTATATCATCAAATCTCATTTCCCCTTGCACCGAATTGGAACTCTTTTCTTCGGGTACATGGCTCGAGCTTCCAACCTCAACCCTGTTATGATTGTCATGACATGCCTGTTTGAGGTGTGAGTCTTGATTAAACCTTGGGGAGTGGGGCATCGCATGGTTAACCCCAGAGAAATGGTGCCCTTTAGCATTACAAATAGGGGTGGGTATCGAGACCGCAAAAATGGAAAACCGAGCTGAACAGAATGAAAAAAACCATCAAAAACTGAGTTGACTAAAAGTCAACAAACCGCAACTAAATCAAACTAGACCAATTTCAACTGGTCCTGGCCCCAATTTCACAACTCATAATATCGATCCAAACCAAACCAAACCGGTTACTATATTTAAAATATATTTTATTTTATTTTAGATATTATATAATAAATATTAATATATTATTTCAGCCAATTCTATTGTGTTACAATAGAACTAGCCGCATGTAATAATTCCCCCCTAAGAGCGTAGCAACTAAGCCTTAGTCGATCGACTTAGGTTTTTTTGTTTTTGTTTTTCTCATTTTTCTCTTTGCCTGCCTCTTCTCTTCATCTTCCTTTTTGTCTTCAATACGAAACACAACACAGTGAGCGACGCTGACAACGCAGCCCATTCTCCATTGCTGCTCCTTTGCCGACAACGACGACACAGCTCAGGCTCAGGTAAGAACTTCTTCCTCCCCTACTCCTTTTTTTGAACTGGAATATTTCTCTAACCCGATTTCTACTATTAGCCGTCAAATCGCGATTTCTCCTTCAAAACTCCTCCATCTCCCATCTTCGTCTTCGTTGGTTTCTTTCTGGTAAGCATAATTTTCGTCTTCGCTAGTCTGGATGAGAAAATATTATTAGATTTTTAGTTTGTTTTAATTAATTCAATTGGGGGTTTCAATTAGGGTTTACAATTAGGGTTTGAATTGAATGACAGGTTTCAATTTAGGCTTTTAGTTATGGGTTTTGGGTTAGGGTATCAATTTAGGGATTTGTTGTTTAGGATTTCAATTCAGGCATGTTGATTCTAATATCTATTCCATTTGTGACAGGGGCCTCGAATTGTTGGAATAAGCTTGCAACTGTTTGTGTTGCTGTTCGCGAAGGTATATATTCTTATCCCTTCGATTTTATTTGAATTTTTTTTTTTTTTTTTTTTGGTTTTTGTTTTGTTGTTTGGCATGTTTGTGTTTGTTGTTGTTGATGATTTGAATTGAGTCTACAAGCAAATATGTTTTATCATGATGAAATAAGATGGCAAAAAATGATGATAATGATGAATTGATATATTGAGAATTAGTTATTTGAATGGATGATTACTGACGAATGAATTGATGATGAATTGATGGGAACGTTGATTATTTGAATTTGTTTGATAATGAAATCTGTTTTAACAGCTTTCTTTATATAATGATGTTGATTAATTGACGTTTGATGATGATTTGAATTTGTTTGATAAGAAAACAGATTTCTTTATATAATGATGTTGATTAATTAATGATGATTTGAATTTTTTCGATAATGAAATCTATTTTAATAAATTTCTTTATACAATGGTGTTGATTAATTGATGATAATTTGAATTTGTTTGATACTAAATTCTGTTTTTTGTTTTGATGAATTGAAATTGAAATTTGTTTATGTCAGTTTGGTTTTTGTTTTTATACAATTTGTTTTTTCAAAAGTAGGTTGTCTAAATTAATATATTTTTGTGTTCTAAATCTAATTTTTGGTTTTTTTGGATTGTTAAATTAGGTTATGATTTTTATTAAATTAGTATATGGTTTTGTTTTGATATTAGGTTCTTATTAAAGGAGGGATGGACCAATTTGAGCAATTGCCTAGTAATAGTAATGAAGTACGATATTCTTCCGCATACGCATTATCACCATCACTTAGCCTACCAGTAACCCAACCTCAAGCCCAAACACCTCCTCAACTGAGTGGTCTTCCACCATTACGTCATATCGAGAGTAGAAAATCATTAAGAGAAAAATCAGAGGTATAGGATCACTTTGAAAAATATGATGAAGTGGTTGAGAGTGTGAAGTAGGATGAGAACAAATATTTGATATGTAAAAAGAGAGCTAAGTGCAAGTATTGCTCTGTTACTTATGCCGCAGACCCCCAATTTGAATGGGACGTCAAGTTTGAGGAAATATATTGAGTCTCTATGTAAGAAATACCCCAGGAGGGTTGGCAATGATAAAAGGCAAAAGACCTTGCCTTATGATCAAGCACTTGGTGGTATTTCAACAATCTGGCATACTAAAGATGATTGGTTAACGTCTTGTGTAGAAATGGTAGTGATGGATGAGATGCCTTTTAGTGTGGTTGAAGGTAAAGGGTTTTGGAGATTTTGTGAACTATTGAACCCTCATTTTCAAATGCCATCTCGTAGGACACTTGTAAGGCATTTTATGATTATGTATGATGAGATGAAACAAAAGTTGAAATGAGAATTAGCATCATATAGAATGTGCCTTACAAAAGACACTTGAGCAAGTGTTCAAAACATAAATTACATGTTGATCACAACACATTTTATATATGGTGAATGGAATTTGCAAAAAAGAGTTTTGAACTTTTGTGTCATTGTTAACCACAAGGGGAACTCAATTGGTAAACTCCTTGAGACTTGTTTGCCTCATTGTGATTTGAAGAAGATACTCGCAATCACAACTGATAATGCTTCTTCAAGCATGAAGACAATAGATTACTTGAAGTCGAAGATGGGTCATTGGAAGAATGGTTGTCTTGTGTTGGAAGGAAAGTACACGCATGTGAGGTTTTGTGCTCATATTATCAATTTGATTGTTCGAGATGGCTTGAAAAAACTAGAGAAAAGTATATTGTCAATAAGGAATGCGGTTAGGTATGTAAGATCCTCTCCACAAAGATTAGAGGAATTTAAAACTTTTTTTTTGAAGGAGCGAATTGAATGCAAAGGGCTTGTGGTGTTGGATATTCCAACTAGGTGGAATTTAACATATATGATGTTGGATGCTGCTTTGAGGTTTGAAAAAGCCTTTGTGAGAATGAGAGAAGATGATAATGCCCCATTTTCATTTTAGTTTGGTGAAGATGAATTGGTTAGGGAAGATGAGGGGGTGGTTGCATTTAGACCTAAAAAGAGGGTAGGGCCACCAACTAAAGAAGATTGGAGCAATGCTCTTATTTTTGTCAAATTTTTAAAGGTATTTTATAATATGACATTAAATATGAGTGTTTCTTTGCATCCCGCTTCCCATACCACCTTTCATAATTTGATTGCAATGGAGGGTGAAATTGGTGATTTGTTGTTTGGAGATCAATTACCAAGTCAAACTCATACCTCCACTGTTTTGAAAGATATGGCATGTAGCATGAAGATGAAATTTGAGAAGTATTGGGGTGACCTTGATAAAGTGAACCAACTTTCGATGGTTGTTCTTGATCCTCGGTACAAGTTCGGGAACTTGGAGTTTGTATTAAAAAGAAGGTTTGAAAACCTGCAAGATGCTACTAAGAAGAAGAATGAAGTGAAAAAGCTTTTAATGAAGCTTTATGAGGAGTATGTTATCTCACCACCTCCTACTACTCAAGGCACTAGTGCTAATGGTGATACTAGTTATACTATTAGTACCACTAGGAGGAAAGCACCTTTGGGAAATGGAGAAAAGTTAAATAAAAGAATCTCAAGCAAGTAACACCGTGATATTGGAGCATAAAATTTATAGGTAATTAACCGCCCCAATTGAAAAAGTGATTCCCAACTTTGATATTTTGATGTGGTGGAAATTGAATGGAATTAAATATCCGGGTTTGTCAGTTATTGCACAGGATGTGATTGATATTCCCTCATCACTAGTGGTTTCGGAATCATGCTTTAGCATGGGTGGTCGGGTGGTTAATTCATTATGTGCTTATTTAACTTTTAAGATTGTGGAGGCCATAATTTGTTCTCAAAATTAGTTAAGGTCCGATGACATCTCCCCTATACAATATGAGACAACCATTCAAGAGATGGAGTTTTATGAATCCATTGAGTTAGGTATTTGTTTCTAGTTTTATGTGATTTAATGATGTATACTATATATATATTTTGCATGCTTACCTAATGTTTCAATGTGTTTATATTTCTATTTGTATATCTTACGAGTTTACCCGCACCTACCAACTCAAGTCCTACTACTTTCCAATGATCACTTAATATGTGAAGCTTCCATTGGTTGTGCTATGTTTTAATTTTTGGTTTATGTTTAGAATTTCTAATTTGGTTTGTAATTTAATTATCAATTTTTATATTGGTATGAAATTCTTAATATTGTATGTTTGAATTGGATGGCACATGGCAGCATGCATGTTTTGTGTTTGGAAGTTAAAATGCATATGCATATATCATGTATATGTTGTTTGCTTTGTTGGATTGTATTGAATGTGAAAGATAGGCTTTAATTAAAGTTTAGGCCCGATTGAAATGTGAAATTAGATTGAATTAGATTGCATGGCATGTTGAAATTATTAAAGTTTAGGCCCAATTGTTATACAAAGTGAAACAGGGCCTTATATGCTAATAAAATAATAATAAAAAAACCGATCCAAATCGGATAACCTTAAAATCCCACCGGGAATAAGCAGTTCGACTTGGTGCGGTTTTCCTCCTATTTTTCTAAAAAATTGGACCAAACTGAACCGGTTGAACAATACCGATTCCGGTTCCTGTTTGAGGTCCAAACCGGATCACGCCCACCCCTACATTCTACCAAGGTGTCATGGGGGTTTGAACTTGAGACCATGGGGCTAGACCCCTTTGGCTTAGGTTAACATTTTAATTCAAGTACTAGTTCAAACGTCAACAATATATAAGAATGAGTTAATTATATAAAAGTACCCAAACTTTAGGGGTCGTTTCAAATTAGTACCCAACCTTAAAAAATTTTGCATGTAGATATCTAAACTCTCGAAAAACCTACAAATAAATCACACCATTAGTTAGATAGTTAATCAAAACTATTAAATGCCCCCTCCAACAATTCTTATTGCGATGATAATTTTTGGCCAATCGATGTGGTTTTGGGTAATTATCACCAGAATTTCAAAACACAACTATTTTAAATGGCCAAACAAGTAAAATAATAGTTTATATTAAAATGCAAATATCTATGCACAACAAAAATTCTATATAAAAATAAATATTAACAAAAACATTTTAACATGCTCATGAAAGGCCAAAACACCATGCCAAAGTGTAAGACATGTGAAACTTGAAGGATGCAAGGCAAGAAGGGGCAAGATCAGGGAGCAATCACACATCACTCAGGGAGGGAAAAGTGAAGTACCTATTATGTGTGGCCACTTGAGTTCCTAGCAAGAGGCCTTTGGGCAAGATATCATAAGTTTGAGCAAAGGAACAAAAATGTGAGGGCCTAGGCCCAAAGCGGACAATATCTTGCTAGTGAAGCAATGTCAATTGTGAGGGCCTAGGAACAGAAATGCTACAGTGTGGGGTTATGGTTGAGGGACTTGAGTGAGGGGTTCAATCTAACCATTCAACTTCAACATTTTCGACTTACACATGCTTGAGTTGAACCCCTCATTTATACCCCCTCATTGTAGCAGGTCCCTACCTAGGAATGAAACCAAAGGCAAAAGTCCCATATCTCATAAGGCGAAGCAAATTACATGTTCCAAAGTTTGTGGAGCAAAATAAGACATGATCCAAAGGTTAGGAAACATTAATAAAATTTACCATTAAAATTTCTTTAATATATTTTTTAATGAAGAAGATATATAATATATTTATTAACGAAAAAATAGCCCAATTGACAACCATCGGAGAAATTATAGAGTAGTATGATATCACCACATCAGTTGGTGATATTTCCACTTATAATATGCTATGTGTCATTTTAGAAAGAAAATAATTATTCTTTTTTATAGCTGAACTTTATTTATGTCTATTGAAATAAAATTAGAAAAATAAAAAAACTTAAGAAAAAGGAAAAGAAAATGTCCCAGCACCCAACCCAACCCAACGCCTCCCCCATGCCACAGTCAACGCCCCTCTCTGTCTTCTTCTTTCTCTGACTGCCATCAACAGTCATTAGTCACAACAACTAAGCCAAATCCCAATAGCCCAATACATTGTTGCAACCAGGAAACTTCATCATCATTATCAATGAAGTAAATAACCATCTAATCCTAATATCTTATGGGGCTTATTAGATCCACAACCGAGAGCCAACATAATACCCAACACAATCAACCTTTTCAATATCCATATCTGATGTGGCCTGTTTGTGATACACCCACCTCCCATTACAACCTTCTTAACATCAGATGGCAATCTGTAATTTAGAAGTCAACATTCATCAACGAGAAAATATAGATGGGTCTTGGAGTAGCCATTGAACGGTTAAGAAGCATCTGGCTATGATTTAGCAGTTGAAGGGCAACACAGAGAGAGAGAGAGAGAGAGAGAGAGAGAGAGAGAGAAGGCTACCAGGGCAGGCGATGCGGGGGTAGGTAATTGTTGGGGTCATTGATCTTTCTTTTTTTTTTTTTTTTTTTTTTTTTTTTTTTTTTTTTTTTTTTTTTTTTTTTTGTGTTTTTAAAAGGTAAAAAAATTAAAATTCTAGCTGTAAAATAAAGTGTGAGTTGTTTAAAAATATTGCCAAATGACATATTTTAAATGAAAGTACCACTAGCTGACATGGTGATAACCTACTTTTATATTAATTTTCTCCAAGCATCGGCTTCATTCTTCTTCTTCCATTCCACTTTCTCTTTGTTGTCTTGAAGCATACATTCAAAATGTATAAATGTCAGAATGGTGCATCTCAAGTGTATAAACTACCCTAGTGGTGGTCACCTCCCCCAAGTAATATCATAAAAGTTAATGTAGAGGCTTCATGGTGATCTACTGTTCAACAAGCAGGTGAGAGAATAGTCCTTCGCAGTGCTTTGGGGGATTTTGTGGCAGGTGGGGCTCTTCCAATTATAGATGATTCCCCTTTACTCTCTGAAGCTTTGGCTGTGTTGGAGGGGTAAAAATTCGCCAAGAAGTAGGGTTGTGCTCACATTGTAATTGAATCCGACTTCAGGGAGATTATCAATGCTCTTCAAGGGTCCATTTCAAGAGGCATGTGTCATGTTTGTCCTGTGCTCACATTGATAAAAGAGTTCAGGCAGAACTCAAGGAGTGTACTTGGTCTTGGGTTCTCAGAACTGCAAACCTGACAGCAGACCACTTCGAGGATGAGCCCATCTGTTTGGGTTAATAGACCCCCATCCTCGCTGGTAGGCATTCTTAATAAAGATGGGTTACCTTGTCCACCCCATCAATAGTTTGGGACTAGTGAGGAATTTGACAATGCCATCATTGGTTGGTTGGGTCGTCTTCTACCTGTGTTTCCTCTAGTCTTTGTATCTGTCTACTTTTTTTTTTAGCTGCGGTTATCTATTAACTTTGGACTTTGGCTTTGTAACTTTGGCATTTTGCCCTAATATTGTTATTCCAATTTGAACAAAAAAGAAAAAAGAAAAAAAAAGCATAATAGTTTAAATTGAAATGAAAATATATATATATATATATGTGTGTATAAAAAAAATTCATAAAAAGAGTCTATTCACAACCAAAATTCTATATAAAAATAACCCCGAGACTGGAACTGAAGGCAGAAGACCCATGTATTATAACGCGAAGCAAATTACATGTTTCAAAAGTTTATGGACCAAAATTTGGCCCAAAAAAAGAGTTGATGGACCAATATGAGACATGATCCCAAGGTCAGGAAACATTAATAAAATTTTCCATTTAAATTTTTGTAATGTATTTGTTAACGTAAATGATCAAAAGACAAATTCGCATGTCCCACTAATATGAAGAACATATATGATATGTTTATTAATGAAAAAAAAACAGACGGTCAAATTTGGGGCTCTTTTAGAATATATATATATATATATATATACAGTCCCCTTCTATTGAGGGATCCCTCAAATAATTTTATTTGAGGGACACCCTTTAGGGTACCCTATAATTTTTTTTCTAATGATCCAAACCATCTATCTTTTAGGTCTTCATTCATAGATCATCCTTACAAAAAATTAGACAAATCGGAAACTGTTTCGACATTCAATTGTGTCATATAAAATCAATGAACACGGTGCTTCAAGAAAGTATTAAAATTTTAATAACTCAATTGAATGGTCAAATGATATCGGATTCAAGTGATTTTTTGTAGAGATGATCTTTGAATGTGTATCTACAAAATAGACGGTTTGGATTAGTGAAAGACAATCCGGAGTGGGCCTTATAAGGGGTGTCCCTCAAATAAGCTTATTTGAGGGATCCCTCAATGGAAACTCTCTGTATATATATATATATATATATTGAAAACCAGCGTGTAATGCTTCAGCTTAGTTTGTTGGAGGCTCATGGGCTTACCTTCAGACCTTTATGATCGTGAAAAGGAGGTAGATTGACCCGGGTGGTTCTAGGGTAATTATCACCTTAATTTAAAAAATAATAATAATAAATTTTGTTTTTTTTAACAAAAATTTATTTTAGCTCGCCAACTCTCCTCCTTGTAGTTTAGATTATCACTTGTATTAAATTTTTTTTTTAAAGGATTCATTTTACTTCCGATTTGCGCACTGTTTAAAACAAAACGCTAGGCTCAAGTTGTATATAAAAAGTAAAGGTGGGCACGATCTGAACTAGATTAGTTTTACACCAAAGTTGAACCAATTACAATAGAAAATTTTGGTTTAATTCAATTTGGACAAAAACTACGATGAAAATTAAACCAAACTAATTTTTAATGGTTTGGTATGGCCAGCCTGGGCCTAAGCCCAATCCTTTTTACTTTTATGTTTTTTTTTCAACTTTGTTATAATATTTTTTAGGACCTTTTTTTTATTGAGAGGGGCAATAATATATTAAACTCACACACACTACATAGATGCAAGGAATTGAACCTAGGGCCTTGCCTGAGGGAGTAATTGCTCTAAACCACTACATCAATGAGTCCTCTATCAAAGATAGTTATTATACAATGAAAGAAATACACATTTAAAATAAACAATATTAATGTACAAGTAGACAGATTGATTCAGTTAAGCCGATTTCAGAAAGCTCAAAACCACAACCAAACCATTACAGTTTGATTCGGTTTTTAACCGTTTGACTTTTTTTCACTCATAAAAATCCTCCTACTACCTTGAAGTAGTGTCAATATTGTAAAAAAGGGACCAAACTGTCACTAAGTCCAAACTGGGTGGGTGCAAATGTAATTAACCCTATCCTTAATCTTTTACACATAATGCCCAGAGACAACGCCAATAGATTTAGGGCGAAGCAGCTGTGTTGGCGTCGTGAGCTCCGGTAGGACACAGTAGAGTGAGTCTGGTTTTGAAGGGTCCAAAGAAAAATGGCAATAACACTGAACAATGGGTTCAAAATGCCAGCAGTCGGTCTTGGTGTTTGGCGCATGGAAGGAAAAGAAATCAGAGACCTCATTATCAATGCCATCAACATTGGTTACCGCCATTTTGATTGCGCTGGTATTTCATTTTCTCCTCAATCGTCAATCTTGATGTTTTCTCTGATATGTTTCTCTGCTTATTGCATGTACAAGTTTACTCTTTTCTGTTCATATGGGTGGAGGAAGCGGAGTGGGAGTTTAATTTATTTTGTTATCTGAGTTTGTTGAAAATGGCTTAACTGGAACAATTGAAGAGGGTTTTATAAATTATAGGTTCCATGGGTGATGGGTTTTATAAATTATAGTAAAATTGAAACCATAAATTTATTTAGTTGCAAGCACACAGCACAACAATGTGACAGTTTGAACCCAAAATATCGTCTCTTCTCCAGGGTGATTGCCAGTTACCAATTTGTGTCTGAAATGTTTCACACCTCTTCTACTGGCATTTTGACACCACTGAATGCCATGAGTACGAAATAGCTTATTATCTGGTTTTTGGTTTGGTTTGGTTTTTTTTTCCTGTTTACAACAACATTTGAATCTAGGTTCTACTCATTTGCCCGACCTCAGGGCCCTTGAGCTTGAGGTTGGTTAAAAAGGAAATTGTGAAGCATTCTAACCTTGTTTTGCATTCAACCGATCTATAGTATCCTCAAGTCCACTAGATTCCAAAGTTGACTTTGCACTTAAAAATGTGATACATGTAGTTACCAGCTTAATCTCTCTCATCCCTCTATATTTTTCTTTTTCCTGTCTGGCCCTCTATGGTGGTAACTTAGTTGTAGGTAGTAGCACAAATTACCCATTGGGCTGTAACATACGTGAACAAGGTAATGTTCCTTTCAGCTGATTACAAAAATGAAGCAGAAGTAGGGGAGGCACTTGCAGGAGCATTTTCGACTGGGCTTGTTAAGCGAGAGGATCTCTTCATCACCACCAAGGCCAGTTTAATTTTCAATCAAGAGTTTTCTTTTTCTGCTCAAGTAGTGCATATTATGCATTCTAGACTATGACAAATTTTTTTCTCTCTCCCCATGCCTTCATCCTTTTTGCAGCTTTGGAATTCAGATCATGGAAATGTCGTAGAAGCCTGTAAAGACAGTCTGAAGAAGCTTCGGTTGGATTATCTGGATCTATACCTTGTTCACTTTCCTGTTGCCACCAAGCATACTGGTGATTAATTCCTGCTTTTCTCATTATTCATACAATACTCTATATTCTGTTATGTAATCTAAACTCTACTACTTTATCCCTATAATGTTGGCTGTATAAGTTTAAAATCTGTTTGACAATAGGAGTGTGTGATTAAAAACTATGGAGTACAAAAGAAAATGGTTAACTTGCTATCGATGTCTATCCTACAACATCGATGGTGCTGCCGCGTGTCTAGGAAGGGGGCAAGGTCACCATGCAAGCTAATTGTTACAGGACACATCTCTCTGTAAAGTTTAATATTCTCCTTCTGTAAACATCAATATTTACCATATCTTGATATCGCTATAAATAAAGTCAAGTGAGGGTTATACGCCAAGTAGAGTCATATATATTCCCAATTTGATACTTAATTACAAAGTAAACCAAAAAATTACAGTTCATAAAAAGCATTACACTTACACATAAAAAACCAAAAAAAGACGATATGCCTTCATATATTTTCATACTCCCATTTGAACATCATATCTTCATATGTGAGTAAAAAAGTTAAAGGAGTTACACCTTAAGTTGAGTCATACTCTCATGTTTAATGTAGGAACGAAAGAGTTAAGTTCATAAGTATCTATTATCAACCTCTACAAAAGCCACAAATTTACAATGTGTTAGAACAGTCATCAGCCATCTAATAGATCCACATCCAGATAGCGTCACTGAGGAGAGTTCTCACCTATGCCTCCTTGTCAAGGATACTGAGAAAAATAATGTTAACTGTGGCATAATAATGACCGTCTACATGTGTGGCTTTATGCTATGCCATCCTCATTAACTAGCAAAAACAGTAAATCCCGTGTATGATTAAGAAGAAATTTTATACCATACAGTAAAAAAGAAAAAGAAAAAAGGAAAGCGACTTCATGGGGTTAAAGAACATTTGCTCAATGATCTCATCAAACTTGTTACAGGCCAAATGAGCTCAATAAGAAACAGAAAGCAATTATATTCCAGACTCATGAAACCAAATCAAACTTAAGGTTCATTTGACACCTAAACAAAGATCCCAAAATTGAAGGCTGACAGAGGAAAACAATACATTTGTAGAACACTTTCTCACAGGTTGAACAAGCTAGATGAGAACATTAAAATAAAGAAAAAAAGTTTCAAATGCATCAATGACGTTCCAGTAAGTGGGTGGAGAGATAAAAAGGGGGCTCTGCAACATACTGGACATCCAATTCCAGTGTACCAGACACAACCTTAGTTCTTTTATCATGTATGCTGGTTAACTAATTACTCACAATTACTGTTATTGAGTACGAATGGTACCTTTAGATAACTAAAAATAATGAAAAATATAATCATCCTTCTATGAATTTGTTTATGAACTGTTTTCTTGTAGTCTTCAAATATATTGACCCTTATATGGAATTCATATGTCAATTTATTTGCTTGTACGCAGGAGTTGGTGCAACTGCAAGTGCTTTGGATGAGGATGGGGTGCTAGAAATAGACACAACCATATCTTTGGAAACTACCTGGCATGCTATGGAAGAACTGGTTTCTATGGGTTTAGTTCGTAGCATTGGGATTAGGTGATTATAATAATTTAGCACATTTCAGTGACTACTTGAATCAATAGTAATGATACTGTGACTTTATATTACCTTTTCCTACTGTTCCATGTGCAATATTATGGTTCTATACGTACTATTATGTAAGTTAGTTCATTTTGTGAATATTTGGGAGACCAAATTGAAAAAATATAAGTGAATGTGCTGAAGAAAATTGAAACCTTGAAGTAATGTGTGCATGCATGTGCATGTGAAAATGGTAATAAATTTCTACAAAAACAGCTTCAGTTGGAGGAGTTATATTAGTCTTGTTCAGGAAAAGGTAAATTTGTGTCGTATGCTTGTGGCTGTTTGTGCACATTTTGGAATATCGTTAGGTTTGATTTTGTGAGCTATCACATTATTGTATTATTTTTCTGCTACGATCATATTAGTCAAGAAGTATGAGTAACAAGTTTGTGTGCTTCTGAACATGTATAGAATGATATGGGTAACGGTCATGTCACTTTGTTATTGCTCCATCACCCTGTTTGAAACTAGGAAGTTAGAACTGTTATTGTTGCTACTTGGAATTTTGATCTTTTGATAAACATATAAATTGAACTTTCTATGTGTCCTTCATCAGCTTAGTCTAATATATGCCACCAGCCCTAGTAAAACATTCATATTCTATGTTTTGGGCATTTTAATTTCATTCATTTGTGAATTCTCTATGAATTGGGATCTGATGGAACAATTAACTGCAGTAACTATGACATCTTTCTAACGAGAGATTGCTTAGCCTATTCCAAAGTGAAGCCTGCTGTGAATCAGATTGAAACTCACCCATACTTCCAACGTGATTCTCTTGTCAAATTCTGTCAGAAGCATGGCATCTGTGTCACTGCCCACACTCCTCTTGGAGGTGCTGCGGCCAACAGCGAATTGTTTGGTTCAGTTTCATGTCTGGATGATCCAGTTCTTAAGGTAAGCTAGTTCCCTTTTTGTCACTTGAATCACTAGATTTATTTTCAAATTATTGGGAATATAAATCTCATCATTTTGTGTGCTAATTGTAAAAAATCTGGCTTCTCAATCACATTCCTCTGTCAGAATCTGGCTGAGAAATACAAAAAGACTGTAGCCCAGGTTGTCCTTCGCTGGGGCATCCAACGCAACACAGTTGTCATCCCAAAGACATCAAAACTTGAGAGATTGAACGAGAATTTCCAAGTTTTTGACTTTGAGCTTACGAAAGAGGAAATGGACCTGATTAAAAAGGTAGACAGGAAACACAGGACAAATCAGCCTGCCAAGTTTTGGGGCATTGATCTGTATGCATAGATTTGCCAATAATTCTACCCATGAGAGCAAGGCCTTGTGTTGGCAAAGAATATGGAGTGCAGGAGTTTTGTGTCTTTGACTTGTAAACCTCAAACTGATCCAAGTCATTCTTGAAAGCTCGATAGATGTGGTTGATAAAACGATCACGCACGAACTACATTCCATCTCTCAATGAACCTACTCTTTTTAATGTGATCATCTTCCCTTGCATGCCCTCTGTTTGCTTTTGGATTTTTGAGTTCAAATTTTAAGCTCAACGTTTGTCTTGAACTAACTGAAGGAAGGTCTTTTTAAAAATTGAAATGGTATCTGGATGAGAATCTGCCTCATGAATGCAATAATAAAGGCGATGATTTATTGTTGAGTTTTTATCTTAATTTTTTTCAAGATCAGCAGAAGTTTTCCAATTGATAAAACATTTTCAACAATAGCTAAAAGTTAATATGCTTAGCCAGAAAGTAGAAGCACTACTGAAATAATACAAGTCATGAATTGTGTTTTGGAAGAAATAGATGTGCAGTTGGAGTTAGATTTGAAATTGAATTGCATAAATAGTTGTGCAGGAAACTTTCAGTCTCTGTTAGGCTATTTTTGTGCAGCAAATGAACACTAGCATACATTATCGTTCAAGCATCTGCAAAGCTATTTTTTTGAGTATAATAGGCAATGTCACTCCAATCCAAGCTATGCCAACCAAATGAAGTTATAACTACAAATAGATCATCACCTGACCATAGGTGTAAACTCAATCTACAAGATAGTTTAACTACTCTATCTCTCTCTCTAAAGATATATTGAGAGAGAGGGGAATCAAATTTAGGACCTCAGGTGCAAGAGTAAATGCTTTTAACCACTTGAGCTACAGACCCTTGCGTTTATTTGTTTATTATTTGGGAACATTTATCCAATCCCTTCCCACTTGAGCTAAAAGCCAAAGGATCACTTTTCCATTGTTATTGGAGATTCTAAACTTCCCTTGTAACTGTTTCATACTAAATGAATTTTTTTAGAGTGCTCATGTAACTTGCATGTGGCAGGTTTAATGTCAGAGGGGCGCTGCATACAACAGTAGTACACAGACTTTTTCCCAAATAATAAGAAAAAACACCCCACAACAATAGAAATGTCACTAGACAAATACTTCCGCAGTAAATAATTTTTATCACAACATTATATTGCTTACAAAGAGTGATTGGGAACAAGGAATAAAGAACAGGGCACAAAATAAACTGATCTAAGAGTATATAAAATCAAACTGCCTGATTGGCAGTGGAGAACAGTTACAGATGCCGTGAGTTTCTGGTAAGGCAAGAACTCTTTAATTTGTGAATAAGGTCTGATAAAACTGGATACTTGACAGGTTTGAGTTTATGTTTTCAACTTCCTCCAATACATTTTTCGAAATTGAGGTTTCCCTCCTCTCTTTGCTATCGTTCAGTTTGCTGCTCACTTCCGTTGGCATCAGTTCTGTTTCAAGATCCTTTGAGTCTTTGCTGCTGACTTCCATTGGCCCTGGTTTTGCTTCAAAATCCTTTGAGTGTTTGCTGATCATTTCATTTGGCCCTATTTTTGCTTCAACATCCTGTCAGGGCTGCTGCTAACTTCCTTTGGCCCTAGTTTAGCATCAAGATCCATAGGGGTTTCACTATTCACTTCCTTTGGCCCTAGTTTTGCTTCAAGATCTTCTGCAGGTTTGCTGCTCACTTCATTTGGCCCAAATTTTGCTTCAAGATCCTCTGAGAGTTTGTGCTCGTTTTGTCTGGCCCTACTTTTGTTTCAAGCCCTTCTAGGGGTTTGCTGCCTGCTTCTTTTGGCCCTAGTTTTGTTTCAACATCCTCTGGGGATTTGCTGCTCACTTCCTTTGGCCCAAGTTTTGCTTCAAGATCCTCTGAGAGTTTGCTGCTCGTTTTGTCTGGCACTACTTTTGTTTCAAGACCCTCTATGGGTTTGCTGCCTACTTCATTTGGCCCGGGTTTTGTTTCAAGATCCTCTGGGGATTTGCTGCTCACTTCCTTTGGCCTAAGTTTTGCTTCAAGATCCTCTGGGGACTTGCTGCTCACTTCCTTTGGGCCAAGTTTTGCTTGAAGATCCTCTAAGTGTTTGCTGCTCACTTCCCTTGGCCCTAGATTTATTTCAAGATCCTCTCTGGATTTGTTGCTGCTTACTTCTTTTGGCACTAGTTTTGTTTCAACATCCTCGAGTGGTTTGCTATTCACTTCCTTTGGTCCAAGTTTTGCTTCAAGATCTTCAGGGGGTTTGCTGCTCACTTCCTTTGGCCTTAGTTCTACTTCATGATCTTCTGGGGATTTTCCGCTCACTTCCTTAGGCTCAAGTTTTCCTCCAAGATCCTCCTGGGGTTGCTGCTCACTTCTTTTCTCCCTAGTTTTGCTTCAACATCCTCTGGGGTTTTGTTGCTCACTTCCTTAGGCCCTAATTTTTCTTCAAGATCCTCGGGAGGCTTGCTGCTCAAATCTATCGAATCTAGTTCTGCTTCAAGATCCTCTGGGTGCTTGCTGCTGCTCACTTCCATTGGCCCTATTTTTGCTTCAACATCTTCTTGGGTTTTGTTGCTCACTTCCTTAGGCCCTAATTTGCTTCAAAATTCTCTGGCTGCTTGCTGCTCACTTCCATTGGCCCAAGTTTGGCTTCAATTTCCTTGACTGCATAAGTTAATGATCTCACATCTCGGGCATCTGCTAATTGACTGGATGATGATGCCTGTCATGTAACATGAAATATGCTCTTAGTTAGCAGAGGGACAAAGTATTTGGTATCATTCTAGACAAATACACAGCATCATAAATACATTGCTAATAAGAACTACAAAAAAAATTGCAGAGAAGCACTCAATTCCAGCATGCACACTCCAAAAGCAATCAAGGAAAATAGTTTTCCTGTTACATTTCTCAATATCCTGAAGCATTAAAAGCTTTTATAAAATCTACATATGGGTGTACACTACCACAAGTTGTACCGCATGTAAAATATCTTTTGGAAACACCCATATGTAAGAATTTTTTTCACAAAAACAAATTGAAAAGCTTTTGTTCAACTAGATTTCTACATGGTTAAAAGAGAATTGCAATTACTGGACTGAAGAGTATAACTGAGTCTTAAAATGGCTAATCATAGCAGAGCACTCCCTCGAGCTGTTCTAATGAAGAAAGATGGAAGTATACAGATCCATAAAGATATTGGCAATCGGAATATTTAGTACTTAGCATGCCACTGTACAAGCAGATTTATTTTCTTATTCAATGCCTTTAAGTATTTTATATATAAGTTTGCTGATAAGAAATTGCATGATTATTGTGGTAATTTGACCTTAAAATTATTAACATAATGCAAGGAACCATGAAACTCACTTTTTTTAGTCGCTCCAGCTGTTTTTCCAGATCCTCCGCCGACGCTTCCTTGTGAATACTTTGAAGAACAAAAAGCAAGTGAGAATGGAGATCATCTGAATTATGTTGCTCAACTTTACAGTGCGGAATAGGAGATTGACAACCCACTGCATAGAAAGGACAACTAACAAGCTTCATTGGACAGACAGTAATACAATGTCTGTCCATGTCGCGTCTCATGATGGTATTGGAGCAGTTTTGTTCACATGGAATAATCTTGACGGGGCAAATTGAGTCATGTTTCTCCTTGTGACTTGCACAAAATACGGTACTACACCCTTGATTTGTGCAAGTCATAGACCTAAAATTGCAGTTTGAAACATGCTCCGCAAGCTCCACTGGAGAGTTAAATTTCATATTGCAGTGGTGTTCATTCTTGAAGTCCACATTCTTAAGCAAAGACTGAGCTATTGTTTCTCTTCTATCAAGCAACCAAAACCCATTTATTTCCATCTCTTGCACGAAATCATCTATCTTATCTTCTCTTTTTCACTTAGCAACCATCCTGAAACCCGACTAAACAAATTTCTCTTGGAACTTGCAAAGTCATCAACAAAATCAGAAATTATATCATAAGGATGATCAGATACTTGTGCATCTGCGCCATCTTCTAAGATAACTGATTCTGCAACAAAATTTTCACTTCTCTGAGTGATATACTCCACCATCTCCTTTCTCACATCAGCAGCCACTGAAGCAGGGGTCCAGAAGATATCACCAGATGTATTGTCAACACAAGCTGTAGCTAATCCAGGGATGAAAACTTGAGCTATCTTGTGAACTAATTCTGTATCGTAAAGATCACAATGGAATGCAGGACCTCCATCTTTCCCATCTTCTATCCTTTCTGGTTCAAGTTCCACATTACTTGCAGGTAGATCATCAATGGTTGACAATTCCTGCAAACAATTTTAGCCTTCAATACACCACTTACTTACCCAGTAAGTTTCTATTTTCCAAGAGAAAGTTAATATGAAGAATTTTGTAGTCCACATATTCATCCTCGAATCTAAAAAGAAACAAACAAGTATGTATTTTATTGTTGCATCTGTATGTGACTTTCAAAGACTAATACATTTTTTGGCCAGAAAAGACTAGCAAGGTATATTACCTAATGGGTGGATGCCTGCTGAGTTTCCCAGATATTATCATAACTTGTATTCTAAACATAACATTCGTAAAAGGGTTCGTCACCCGAATTAACAATACCTAGTATTCTGACTATCACATTTTCATTCTAAAGTCTTTCTGAAATCAAGATCTACATGGTTTATCTACAAGGCTTATTTACTCCCCACAGTACATGCATGAGATCATAATTCCCAGGTAAACATAATGGGAAAAGTGAAAAAGCTGCCACAACATCTTAAATTCCTCCTTTACTACTCTACCTCTTCATTGTCATTGATCAACATAGCAAAACTGATTTAAGCCCATGAATTCAAAACAATTTACTTTTTTTAAAGACTCTGTTTTTGCAAAGAAACTCAGGATATTTCTTACCTGCATCATTTTTGTAATGTAGGGGGTAGGAGATGTCCTCAGAAAGCTTCTTCACTTGTCCATAACTAGAATTCTGCAATCAGAATACCCGGAAGAATGAAAACTCAACAGAATTTAAGAGAAAGATAAAAACAATGTATCAAAATCCAAAAACGAAAATTACTCTTTTGAGAAATACGTCTAAATTTGGCCTAATTTGCCATATCTTTTTTCAACCCTTCCTGTTTTGTAACCTGTTGTAACCGTTCTGAGAGAAAGGAGGAAAAACCAAGGCACCGATGCACCTGAGGACCTGAGAGCAACTATTCATTTACAACCGTAGGATTATGCTTGGCCAGATCTAACGGCTTAAAATATGTGATAACTTCTTGACCCGTTTTGAGTGGACAATCTGTTTGTTTTCTTTTGCTCTACACGTTCACTTCATCTCTGACATTTCTCCCTCAGCTTCTCTTCTCTTTTCCAACCGGTTTAATCCACCCGGACTGTGTCTTACTCGTCTCTCCTTCTTTCTCTCTCTCTCTCTCTCTCTCTCTCTCTCTCTCTCTCAGAAAGCTTCTTCTAAAGGTCACTTCACTTGTATAGGCAGTGCAGATCCATAATTCTGCAACACCCAACACCAATACCAATGTCCAGAAGAATGAAAGCTCAACAGGATTTAAGACAATGAATCAAAATTCAAAAACGAAAATTACCCTTCTAAGAAATACGTCTAAATTTGGCCCAATTTGCCATATTCTTCTTGCAAGCCCTTTTTGACCAGACACGTCGTTAGTGGGACTGGGACCCGAGTAGTCTCTGTATTAACCTTTATGTTGTGTAAAGCAAGCATTGGTTTTCACGTTTGACGTGAAACGAAGGAGAGAAAATTTTCTGAGTTTTGGTTCTCGGACAATGCTACTGTGTGATAATTTTTTGGGTCAAGTGTCATAATTTGTTTTTGGGTTTACATTTGAATTTTTTTTTTAATTTTAAAATTTTAAAATTTTATCTTTACAAAAAAAGTTAAAAATATAGGTTAAATTGTAGCAATGGTCTATAAATTATACCAATTTGCATTTTCATCCTCGAATTCTACTTATAGTTGTTGTTGTTCTCAAATTATGTTACATGTTGCATTAATGGTCTTTTCCGTTAATTTCATCAAATTTTTTGTAAGTTCATGAGTAAACTAAGAAATTATTTTTAGCCGAGGTAGTAGATTTTGAGGTCGACTCAAGTTACATTGAATCATATCTTTTCATTCATTTCCAGTCACCTTCATTATCATATAATTTTCATTTATTTCTTGTTTTTGAACTTTTCTTCAGGGCTTTTCTCGGGTCTCAAGGGAAAAGCAATAGGTGTCTGACATGTTCAGAGCTCCTCTCGAATTTCAAGGAAAAATTTAAGGATTAGTCTTGACATTCACGTAGTGGTATAATAAGCCCTTTACGAAAGACGCTAAAACAAATACAATACCTCCTATCTCTTGGTAGCAATTGACTACTTTATTAAATGGATAAAAGCTGAAGCGTTCACGAACATATGAGAAGACAAAGTAATAAGTTTTAGGGATAAAGATATTTGGCTAATTATTTTCATTGTGACTTCCATAGAAAATAATAGCATATTTATTTACATAGGAGGGTACTAGCACTATTTTGATTCATGACTTCTTGTGTCTACTAATATATGGTATTGAAATTATTTTTAGTTTTGACTTTGCTTGAGCTTATTTACTTACGAAATTAAAAAGTATACGGATGTCAATTTAATATATGAAAATACATAAATTAGATTGATTTAGGGAGAAGTAGTTGATTCCATACTCATTTCTTCTTGATTATTCCTTACTTCCTCGATTCATGACTTTCCTCGTTCCAACTAAATTAACATACCACAATGGTGTAAATGGTAACGTACAAACAGGTTTTCCTAGAAAATGAAAAAGAATAAAATAGAAGAAGCAATCATACCAAAGTATTGATTAGTCCAAAAATAAAAAGACATTTTCTCCCATATACCCAACATGGCTCAAGTAAAGCCTTTTTCTGACTTGTGGTGAAGCTTCCTCCTCCAGTCTAATTGAGTAACTTGCTTACAATTAGCAACATCAAATTACATCATACTAATCAATCCTACAGCAGAAATTCTTCATATCATCATCATCATCATATGATCATCAAATGGCCAGAAACTGCCTGCAAGCGGCTGAGCTAACGACCAGCGGCCGCCCAGTCCTCCTCCCAACGGAGATCGAATGCTCACTCCTCTCCGCCGTAGACCTCGAATGCGAAGACCTCCCCAACTTCCCTCACCTCAAATCGGGTCTCCTCATTCTCACCACCCACCGCCTCTTATGGCTTCCCGAGTCCACCGCCGCCTCTTCAGCCTCCGCCATCCCTCTCGCCGCCATCACCCACATCTTCTCCGCCAAAAAGTCAATCAAGTCCATGTTCGCCTCACCCCGGCTCCGATTCCAGCTCTCGGTCTCGCCCGACGGCCGGGTTTCGGATACGGGTTCGGGTTCAAGGTCCGTGGTGGTGACGGTCGTAGTCAGGGGTAAGGGCGATTTGGACGCCTTTTTGAACAAGTTGTGGGACAGCTGGCGGGGAAGGGCCTGGGAGATTGTGCATGAGCAGGCCGGCTCGGATGTTGCTGCGGGTTCCGGGTCGAGCTCTGGGATGTATACGAGGGAAGGGGCGGTGAGGATGGTTGGAGTGTCAGGGATTCTAAGGAAGGAGCAGGAGATGTGGGAGAGTACTGATAAGAGCTTGCAGGACGCTTTCCAGGACTTGAATGCTCTCATGGTAATGCTGCCTGTTTGGTTACTAAGATAATTGTTGAATTCCATGAATTTAAGTTCTGTATCAACTGGGAAAGTAGAATCTGGCTGTTCACTGAATGGGGGAAAATTCTGAAATCAAAGTATAGGGTAAATGTGCCTTTTTGTGTATGTCTGCATCTCAAGTATTTGATTTTTGGGAAAGTAATTTGCAATGCTGTGCTGGGTTGATGAGAATATGTGTTGAAGGACTTTTATTGAGAATTTTTGGTCTTAGGCTTTTCGTTTTTGGGTTTGTGATCATATATGTTTTGCTTAGTTGCTGAAAAAATTGTTGAATGCACAGCTGAAGGCTTTAATATGCGGCTTAGCTAGTGAACATTGGATTTTTATTTTTTATTTTTCTAAATTTTAAAAGTAATTGCATTTGAGTCCTAAAAGTAGGCTTGTATTCTTATTTTTTATTATATATTTTCGACTTGTGGGTGCATTCAGTGTAGATACTTTTGAACCAATGTTATGTTCTCTGTTTGTGAATGGCTTTAAGTTGTAGAGCAATATTAAATTTACAGAGTAAGGCTAAAGAGATGGTGATGCTAGCAGAGAAAATGAGGCAGAAACTTTTATCTGGCTCGACTTCTCAGCCCAGTGCGGAAAATGATGAAGAATTGGGTTCCAAACAAGAGATGCAAGATTGGTTGCTGAGTGTTGGTATTATATCGCCCGTTACCAAGGAGTCTGCTGGTGCTATGTATCACCAACAATTGTCCCGTCAGGTTGTCTTCTTTCTATATTCTTTGTGAATGAAACCACTTTGTTTAGTTTCTCTCTTTAGCATTTGATGATCGAGTGAACTGTAAAGTCAGATTGTGTCACTGGAATATCAGTCTGTGCAATTGAAGGGAAAGTTAGTGCCATCCTTAGACCCTGACCTATTCCTCATTAAAAAGCAACAAAATGTAAACAATGTTTCTTGTTTCTTGACCAATCTCGTTTCAAAATAAATTTTAAAAAAATTCTTGACCAAGCAATTTGAAGTTTTGTTAGGAAATTTCTATTGTGCAATTCTGATTTATCTTCTTAACCTATATTGTATTAACTTGTCTGATATATACGTTTATTCTTATTGGATGTTCACATTATTGATTTATGAAAAATACCTCATGTTGTTTATTGGTTTTTTATTTTTTTATTTTTAATATCTTTCATCTTAGAGGAGAAAACTCATTTTCTGTTGTTTTTGGTAAATAGTTAGCAGATTTTGTCAGACTTCCACTTGAGAGATCTGGGGGAATGATGAATCTTATAGACATCTATTGTCTCTTCAATCGTGCTCGAGGCACAGGTTTTGTGTGATGATATCAGAGCTCTTGTTTTAATTAATTTTGTTTGCATGACTTTGTTAAGTTCTGAGTTCTTGTCAGGATGTTTAAGGGGTCAAACTTGGATTGTTATCTCTCTTTATGCAGAATTGATCTCGCCAGAAGATTTGCTGCAAGCATGTTCTCTCTGGGAGAAGTTTGACGTGTATGTAGGAATTTCTTAAATTTGTTTATTTGAAAGCATGGATGCACCTTTGTATGATAATGCAAAATATAAATGCTAGTCTTCATTACTTGTAATAAGTGAAAAATAAATACCAGTCTATATCAGTGGTATTGTAACATGAGCTTGTTATTACCATAATATAATCTCGTTCTATGTTTGCAGCCCTGTAATGCTTCGAAAGTTTGATAGTGGAGTCATGGTCATCCAGAATAAGTCCCATAGTGATGAAGAGGTGATCTTATTATCTCTTTATAAGCTGTTTCATGTTAAGATTCTACAGTTGTGTGGATTGAAACATATTTGATTCCTGGTGGAAATGATTTCGATTCCCAAGTCTTCAGAATGATTCCTGGGCAGGAATGAGATTCCTGATTTTATGCGGGGCCTATATTATATGGCTCCCATGTTTCTCTTGATTACTATGTTGTAAACACTGGAATAGGAGGAAGGAGAATGATTTTCATTCTTAGCCATTCAAGCTATGCGATGAATACAAATCTTTTTGTTTTGCTTTTGTGGTAATGATGAAAACAAATCTTGGCCAAGTAAGAGGCTAAAATTTACACTTTGTTTGCATCTTTGATTATGACATCATGGTCATTCTACATCAGAAGCCATTTCAAGTTGCTTGACACAACTTACTGTGTTTGTCAAATTAGGTTTTTGCTAGAATCAAGACCCTTGTAACAAAGGCCGATGCTCTTCGAACTGGGATAAGTGCCAGTGATGCTGCAATCACATTAGGTATTGCACCAGGCATGGCGAAGGAGCATCTTCTTACTGCTGAAGCAAAGGTACACTGTTGCACAACTTTGTTTGACAATATTCTAATAATGTTTTCTACATAGAAGTATATGTTTCCTATCAAAAGGAATTTCTAATATTTTTTAAATTTTGATTAATTTTGGATATTGTTGGCAGGTTTGCTTTGCAGAGATATTAGCCCTGATGGCTTTCGCTTTTATGTTAACCTGTTTCCTGAAATCGATCCAAATGACACGTTCACGTAAGTGAAATCTGTGTTGATCTTGCAAGGCTGATTTTTCTCCTTCCTTTATGTTTGCCAAATGTGAAATCTATTGATGAAGCTGCTTGTCAAATGTACTTCAATTTAATTTTATTTACAATCTATGCGTCTTCAAAAAGATTTTCGTTAGACCAACCTCTCCAATAATTCTTTTTCTCTGGTGGAATTGGTTTCTTTTGCTATAATTTCTCATTAATTGATTCTTATTGTCTTGTAATAAATAGTCTATGTCCTACCCTGTGGGTCAGTATTTCGTTTACTCAAATCATTATTTAGATTTAGTAACTGGTAATAATTTTTACATTCTCACCTTTTCCAGCAGTGGTTCACTTGGAAATGTGAATAGCAAACTATCACTCTTTAGTTGGGTTATTGTAAATTTCCAGGACAATGTGTTTATACTCATGTACCCACAGATATAGGGTTGGAGCTACCAGATTGAACACTGACTGATGACTCTGACTGCATAATGATGCTTGGATGTAGATATCTTATGTTTTTTGGTGTCTTTGGTGTATAGTCAAAAAACCTTGGAATAAAGTTGTGTTTACATTGTTTAGTTGAGTATGGTGACAATTAAGCTAGTGATGGCTGTAGGAAATATAGTCAAGATTTCTGGTTTTCACAAATGTTGATACTTGTAGTAGAATTGGCCAGCTGGAACTTTTGGTTCTTAACTAACTTTGAATTGTGGGCATAGCCTAGACATTGGGTTCAAGACATAACATCACAAAAGAAGGATGAAATTGAACCTTATGAAATTAGGATAGTGCCCGCAATGCATGCGTCTGTGCATGAATATAATGGTCACTGTTCAATTTATGAGTGTACACAGTCCAATCAATTCACAAAATTTAAATGGCTGTCTGAAAGTCAGGTATACAAAAGGAATGCATCCCTATTCCTTTTCTTAGGTTTATCCATTTTCTCACAATTCAAATCACTTTGTTGAGTTTCCTTCTCATGTAATTCCTTTTCTCTGAAAATTCCTAAATGTTTATCCATTTTCCCACCTAATTTGTTATAGGCGACCTAAAAACAGTTGCTCTGGCATCACATTTTATGCTTTTCTCTTTAAACAGATATTAATGAAGATGATAAGGTGGTGATAGGATCACTCCCATTTTTATTATATATAACAGATGCAAACTTTTTGTATTTATTTCTAATAAGTATTTTGTTTTCTCAACAGGGTGAAGGATTATGGAATCTATAGCACTTGGTTAAGGGCGGCCTGCGTGTCTGGATGAGAGATGATTTATTCTGTAACCCCTTTCTACCTTTTTCATGCGGCAGAAAGCAGAAGCAAGAGGTGAATGCTGCTGAAATCAGAAGGAACTAAGATTGACACAAAATTGATGAATGCCAAGTATTTTCAGGCGAGTTTGTACCTGTTTATTGCTTAATTCCCCTGCAACTCTTCGAATTTTCTATATTGTGGTGGTTGCACGGACGTAAAGTTCCAGAACCATGCATCAAAGACATACTTACCTCCGTTGTGACAAAGGATTATTTGCAAAGTGCTTCTTCAGAGCCAGTGAAACTTTGTAATTGAACATAAAAGCAGGGAAGATCGGGTGAGGCGAGATGGAGGCCTATGTACTTTTAAATTTTCTTTACATCGCCCCCCTTTTCCCCCCTTCCCAATGGCTTAATGGACATGGAAATAATCATGCCGTTTGTAACGAAACATTTAACTGATGATGCCATTATTTAGTTCATGTTTTCTACGATGATGAATGAAACAAAGATGCAAAGCCAAGGAGATAGAAGATTATTTAATACTAAATTATTGTGAACTCTCAAATGGGAAGTCTAATCTGTTCATACTAGCAATCAATTATTTTTTTCCACCGCTGGAAACAGAGTTTTGCTTGTAATATTTATTTTTCGAATTTTATAAGGTTTGCTAGGAATTATTTTGTAAGTGTAGTTTAGAGGATCAATAATCCCCCGAAATGGTATGTCCTATGAGGGGATTAATGATATCTCAAGTTAGCTATACTAACTTCGTATTTAATTTTACCTCGTCTAGTTCGGGTGTGCTCACTTTTTGTTTCCTTTGTGCCCTGCAGTTATACCTGAACGTGGAGTAAAGAGTGATAATTTCTTCTGATGTGGAAGTTGGATCATCTCTTCGGTTTTTCACTTTTTATTTATTTTTTATTTTTGTCCTTTTTACGACAATACCCATCTCAACTTTAAATATTAATTTTCCAGCAGCAATTGATTTTTTGTTTTTTGTTTGAGGGGTCTGTCCGATTTTTTTTATGGGTTAAACGTGTGACCCCAACTGCTTTTGGCTTGGCTTTATAATAGTAGAGATGTTCCATTGCCAAAAGATAATCATGCACTCTTGCATTTTTTGTGTGTGGTTACATTGGAGTTCAAATAGGTTCGAACTGGGGTGCCATGGGGGAGGGGGAAGCCACCACCACTGGGATGGCTTCCCGTTAGCGCATATTTTCTTTTGGATTATAATGGAGAGAATTGTTAACCTAAATAATTACAACGTATTCGGTAACATGTGCAGTAATTCTAGAAAAACAAAGATGTCTTTCGGTACAATATGTAGTTGGAGGCTATGTACAATTGGTGTTGATAATGCGTTGGATATGTAATTTTGTCTATGAAAAAAATCGGATTTTGTAAAGATTTATTATTCCATCATCCATCATTGCATAATTCACTGAAGAATGAAACAATTCATGGTTGTTCCACTTGAAGAGGGAAACATGTGAACAATGTTTAGATGTCCAAGTGGAACATTAATAAAAATGGAAGATGTACCGTGCCCACTAAGATGCGGAAAGATGAGAAGCCACGATGTTTTTCCATGTTAGGTTGGGATATGTAGGCATATATAAGTGCTATTACCATGTCCGATAAACTTGTGAATGTTGAGGCTTTTTCTAACACTCATGGATATTCCACTACGGTTGGATGAACAAAACTTATCTCCTTAAATAAAACAAATATTTGTGAAAACGTGAGGGAAAATCACAATTTTTTAAATTTAGCTTTTCATTGGGAATTTCCTTTTTAACATCTATTTTCTTATTGGTTACTAATCAACAATTCAATAGAAAAGATTGAAGATATAGAGATTGAGATAGGGATCACCATTTGGCTCGAGGCCCATGGGCTGAAGTGATCGGCTTGACCTAGTCCATTGTTTAAGCTCGATTGGCTCAACCTGCTTTAAGATCGCCCAGACTATAATGAGGGGTAAGTTATAAGGGGTTCACTTTATAGCCATCAGATCAATCCAAGGGCAGGGGAGAATTGAGATAAAGTTTTACAATTGGGTAGGTGAGGAACCCAAACCCGAATTTAATATCCAGCAGGTCCCGAAAAAAAGAAGAAGACGCAAGTTCGAAGTTTGAACAGAAAAAACCCATCGCTCTAAAACCCATAGCTCTGAGGAACTGCTAAGCTCTGAGAAACGGTTGAACATCACTCCATTCTCCAAACCCTGAAAAAGTATTTATTTTGAGTGGAAGGGGTAAAGGTGTGGATTCTGAAATAGTGAAGGGGCGAAGCAGTGGAAGGGGAAGGAGAGAAGTTGTATTCGTTGGAAGTGATAGGTTCCATTTGTGGAGCAAAGCCACACAAAGACCCCGCACAGACACCTTGCGATTGTTCAATAACCAGCATTTGGTGAGTAGTTTATGGAATTTGAGTTTAGGGTTAGAGTAACGGTTTTCCCCAATTTGAACCATCAATGTTGTTGGATTTGGCATCTCTTCTTTGTGCTTCAGTTGCATGTTAATTTTTTCTTGGGTATATGTTAAAAAACGAATGAAAATCAAGTCAATAAAATATCAATAACATATCAATAACATGTCAATAATGATATGAATAAGATAATGGTGTTGAATTGGAGGAGGCCCTCAAATCAAAACCTTCCACATTTGAAGCAGTGCATAGTGCAGATTATCTCTCTGGCACTAGAATATATATATTTTTTGAAATAAATATTATTTCCTTTGTTACTAAATTTGCCTGAGAAAAATGAGAACATATAATAATAAACTCATGAATATAAGTGCAAAGCATTTGATGAGTAATTTATGGAATTTGAGTTTAGGGTTAGAGTAACGGTTTTCCCCAATTTGTACCATCAATGTTGTTGGATTTGGCATCTCTTCTTTGTGCTTCACTTGCATGTTAATTTTTGCTTGGGTATATGTTAAAAAACAAATGAAAATCAATTCAATAACATGTCAATAACATATCAATAACATGTAGCAGAGTAGATGCTTTGCTTTGCTTCCTTCCACCATATTTCTTATTTATTTATTTATTTTGTGTTGTTTATGAGATGACAATTATTGTCATGTGAGATGACAATATTTTGTGTTGCAGAACTTGCCTAGATTACACTCACACTCACTCATGCATAAACCATTGATTAGAGTTTGGATCCATAAATAAAACACATGAATTGCTTGTAATTCACAGAATCATTGCATTAACAGGTATTTGCACAAAATTTGTCATATTGCTTTGATGATGTTAAAGCCTGTGATCAGTAATCCCTATGCGCATGTACTTTGTAAAATTTGTAATGTGCCTGGTTGTCTAGTTGTGTAAATACCAATGTGATTGTGCAAATACGTGGTAGTATATGTGTTCATGTTATTTCATCTTGTATTTCAGGAAATGGGATCTAACGTGGAGCTGGTATGGCCAGAGTCAGAGGCATATTCGTCACGGGTGAACAACTGCTCACATGCAAATTCATCCCTAGCTGCAATTCGAGTGAAGTTGAGTGTCGAACAATTAGAACAATTCAAAACATCATGCTTTGGCCATCTTATGAATATAGATAAGATTCAGTTTAGCGGGCAGATTGTGCATGGGGTTGTGTTGCGTAGAGTAGCAGGGCAGGGTGTGAAAGACTTGGATGGACTGAGTTTCTTAATAGGGTGCGACGTTGCTCAGTTCACTCATCAGGATTTCTGTTTGATCACAGGGCTTTGTTTTGGGGAAGTGCCTGAAGTTTCCAGTGGAGAAAGTGATGAAATTAGACTTCAGAAAAGATATTTTATAGACGAAGGAATTACATGTAATGCTTTAGAAGAAGCATTTCTGAGGTGCACAGAGGAAGATGACATCTACAAGCTAGCTCTTTTTTACTTTGATGAGTTAGTGGTTTTGGGAAGGGACAAGCATTTGAACATCAATCTAAATTACCTGACCCTTGTAGAGGACTTGGATGCGTTCAATAGGTATCCATGGGGTTCGGTGTCCTTTGACAAAACCCAAGACAGTCTTTTCTGCACCAACAAAGTATGTGAAAAGCTTTGAAAATGAAGAGGGAAGAGGGAAGGGGAAAAGTAAGGTAACGGGAACAAGCCAGAGAAATGAGAAGGGCAAGAAGGATAAGCATGGTGAAGTGCAAAGGGGTGGCTGGAGTTTTAAAGGTTTCACGTATGCTTTCCAGGTACATAGTAATAATGTTCATGTCAGTTATGTTTTGTGGACTTTAAAACTTAAATAATGACTTTTGTCCTGTGAATTGTGTAGATTTGGGTATATGAATTAATTCCTAGAATGGTGGACCTGAATTACTGCAAGATTGTTGATCTGACAGCTCTCCCGCGTATTTTGCGATGGAGAACTACTACGTCTGTTCCCGAGATGAGAAAGTTGAACAATTATTTTTTCCAGAGCAAAGAGGTTTGGTTTGCAGCCCTTGGAACTATTTATAAGATTCAATGAAATTATGAAGTAGAATGATTGAATATGACTCTTGTCTGTATTCTGAAACAGTCAGTTTAGTTGCGGGCGCTATGTCCAAGAATAGGAAATGAGACAACCATATTGGAGTTGGCCACAGGATTGCCCTGCTGTCGTCTCGGCAGAGTCAATTCCTTCTTCATGTGCTGACCTTGATGAGTTGAACAAGGTGGTAAGCTTGTTGAGGTCCGAGTTGTTTCAAGTAAAGCGGGAAAAGGATGTCCTTGAGTTAATGGTCATACGGATGGAAAATTTTTTGGACCATTGTTTAGGTCCTTAGTTTGAGTAGGAAGTAAGGAGGGACCTAGCTTTACTGAAAGAGAGGACGAATCGTTGTGCCATCTCACATCTATTTCAGGGAAGTGAGGAAATGGATGACATTCGATGGGATGAAGGGCCAAGTAACAGATTTGAGGGAGAGGAAAAGGAAGAGGAGGGGATTGAAGGGGGTGAAGGGCCAAGTAACAGAAATGAGGGAGAGGAAAAGGAAGAGGAGGGGATTGAAGGAGGTGAAGTGCAAAGAAAACCAAGTGAGGTAGAGGAAGCTCAAAGGAAAAGAAGTGAGGGAGAGCAAGTGAAAATAAAAAGCAGCAAGGGAGAGGAAGCGCAAAGAAAGAGCAGTGAGGGAGAGGAAGTGAAAAGAAAAAGCAGTGAGGGAGAGGAATTGCAAAGAAAAAACAATGAGGGAGAGGAACCGCAAAGAAAAAGAAGGGAGGGCAAGGAAGTGAAAAGACAAAGAAGTGAGGAAAAGGAAGTGCAAAGTAACCAATGTGAGAAAGAGGATGATGAAGTTATGTTGCTTGGCGATGACATTGGTGAGAGCACGGAGGGGAGTGCACTCTCAGAGACATTGATTTGGATCAACCTACAGCTGTGCTATCTCAGTTGAACGTTTGGTTGAATAATGAAGGTAAAGCTGTGGAACAAGGGGTCCAATTACAGAAGAGGAAGAGGATCATTCATATTTGGAAGATCATTGAACCTAGTGAATTGGTTCAAAAAAATCTGCCAGAGACAACCCGACTTCTGATGTTAGACCCAATGAAGGAGATTCCGCATGATGATATGGTGAAATTGCTGAAACTTTGTTGGGAATGGCGCCATAACCCAAAGTAAGTCCCTTGTTTTTTGAGATAGAAGGCCTGAATGTATATATTTTTTAATTGTTGTGTTCTAAAACTTTTTTATATTCATAGTTTGGTGATGCAATTTGGCAATGTGGAAGCTGAGATTGAAGTCTTCGCTTCCCTAGTCAAAGCTGACGGTTGGCTGAAAGGAGATGTAAGTTTAATTGATTATGCATTTGTTTTAATGTACATAGATTATGAGATTGACAAGAAAAACATGTGCAGCACATTGATTTGGGGTTGTATCTCATCCGGAAGCGACAACAAGAGTTGGAGGAAGTAGAAATATCGGACTGGACAACGACCGATGTATTTTTTATGGTATATCATAGGCCTTGACTAAGTGCAGTTAATAATTACAAATTATCCATACTTGCTTTGTGGAGGTGTTTAACCATTGATTGTTTTCTATTTCACAGAATCATATCCATACTTGCTTTGCGGATAATAAAAGAAGAAAAGAGCAGGTTGGGTGGAAAATTAGAAACAGTTTACTGAACGTTGTAAATGGCAAGGTTCCGACGTGTGGGATGGATTGGCAGAACGCGTATAAGGTGTATGCGCCTTGTATGTTGACGAAGTACAAGCATTGGGTGGTTGTAATGATTGATCTGGTTAACTGTGAAATCAAAGTGTACAATTCAATAGTTTCACGTATTCCAGATGAGATCTTAAAGGAAGAACTCGCCCCGCTTTCAATTACGATTCCAAATCTTCTCAACACCATCGACTTTTATGAAGAAGGTGTTTACGCAAACGATTGCAGCCAAAATTGGTGGTGTCCGTGGCCAATAGAACGTGTGGATGTTCCTCAACAGTCTAATCAGTGAGCACAACTTTTTATTTAATTTTATTACTTAAAATTGTCAATTACGTTAGAATGTCATTAGTTGAATTGATCGAGTTCTTGATTTGCTTCAGAGGCGATTGTGGCATGTTTGTGTTGAAGTACATTAAGCTATTGAGCGCTGAGATTCCATTAGCTACTTGCACCTCGCAGAACATGCCTTTTTTTTCGGTTGAAGTTGGCTGCAGAGATATTACGGGGAGATGCTTACATGGCATGATATTGGTTGAACTTGGTTTAGGTACATTGGCATGATATTGGAACTTGGTTTAGGTACATTGGCATGATATTGGTTGAACTTGGTTTAGGTACCCGATGATTAAATAGGTTTTGGGAATGTCCAATTTCAAACTCATGTAAATACACAATAGAGACCCACGGGTCCTTTTCGAATTCTACCTCTGCTCCTCAATTCTTCTTCGTCTTTCTCAATCTTAGTGTATTTTTGTACATAATTTTATGTTTAAGTTATTGGACAATAACAATTAGAACCAAAATAGTGGCAAATATTATAGCGGATGCATGCTTTCATTTCGATTAGTGTGATACTACGCTATGTTTATTCTCATATTGTGCTAAATGTATATGGACTTGGATGCAGAGCATAGACAGAAAAATGAAGAATCTGAAATGGAGATGCTGAGGCTTGGTGAGGAGAAAAGTAAATGGATCTGTAAATCTATTGCACGTGGGCAATCTAAATGGATAGGCAGATGCGTTTTTGAAGCTAGACACATGCCATTCCCATTACATAGAATGTGCATCTGGAGTGTAAAGTTTTTTTGGATTTAATGAAACAAACATCTGTGTAATATTGGCCTAACTTCTTCACGACATTTACATAACCTTAACCAAACTGCATTGAATTGGGATTTAAAGACTGCATATGTGAATTGGGATTTGAAGAATGCATATGTGAATGGGGACTGATGGCTTTTTAAGTGTATTACATCATTGCAAAGTGATATGTCATCATTTATCCAAGCCACCATTCCAAATATCAGATCCCAATCTTTAAGCCGTTGCCTTGACTTAATCGCAATGGGTTACATCTTAATAAGGTAATTCTTTAAGGGGAATATGCGGCTATGGCCTCACCTCCAATGTTTTATTCAACCATGCCCTCTTTATAGAAACACATGAAAAAATTTCCCCAGGTGCAATTCTATAAAAACTCCCTATTGGTTCCATACCGCCCCTCGGGTTTGAATCCCTCTCTCCTTTATAATCGGTTAATAAATTCGTTGATTTTCTTTATTTTATTGGTTTTGGGCAGCTCAGTAGCATAAAAGTAATGTATATTGGTGCGTCTATATTGCTTGTCTATTGCGTGCATATCTTACATTTATTGCGTGTGTATTGATTGTTTATTGCTTACGAAGGAAATAAACAGCAATACACAGGCAACAGACAAACAATATACACACAACTGAGAAGCAATATACACGCAATAGACATGCAATATACACACAATGGACATGCAATATATACACAATGGACATGCAATATACATCAGTCCCCAATTACACCAACCATAAGGAAGTCATATTGAATAGGAAATTCTACTTAACAGTTGTTCTTCTTACTAAAAGAAAGAATAAGGACCGTTTCCCCCCCTTAAATATAACTCCTTAAATCTTACTTGAATGGTACTTTTGCCCCCAATAAATATGCAATATTGGAGTAATAACATGCGATATACATGCAGTAAACAATCAATAAACCTTCAATGAACATTTAATATCGGTTCAATAACATGTGAAATACATGCAGTTAATAATCAATAAATCTTCAATAAACATGTAAACCATCAATAAACCTTCAATAAACATGTAAACCTTCAATAAACATTCAATATCGGATCAATAACATGCGAAATACATGCAGTAAACAATCAATAAACCTTCAATAAACATTCTATATCATGCGATTTACATGCAGTAAATAATCAATAAACTTTAAGTATACGCAAATAAACAATCTATACACACTGAATAATTATGCAATTTTCAAAAAAATGTATTGTCTTATTATTGCATCGTATTGGCCCTGTATTGTGATTTTATCGTCTTCGTATGACTTAATTTCTTTAAAGTAAGTCTTGGAAATTGGAAATTTTTTGATGGGTTTCAGACAAATAAATGTTTTTGTTTCAAACAATAATTTAAACTCAATACCAATCCACCTATTTCAAGAACAAAAATTACAAAATGGGTTTGAAAACTCATTGGTGGTGTGTGCAACATGTCTTTTTGGGGAGAACTTTTACAATCCTTGAAACCGTGCACTTAATTGGTCATTAAAAGAACAAATAATATGACAATTGATACAACTAATAAAACTAATACCAAGTCCTTAATGGACTTCAGCATGTTTAGCACTGTAGCATCATACGTGTCATCTTGCTGTTCTGCTTCAGCGAAGGTTACATCAACCCATTCGAATCCATTGCAACTAGTGGCTCCCTAATTGCAGGCATCATATATGCAAAATAATTCTGTCAGAGTTAGACCTAGGTTTTTTTTTCACCCACATATATATTCTGGAAATGAAAACTTACATAGGAGGTAAGACACTTCCAAAATGGCTTCCCTCGATTTTTATCTGATTTTGAAACCCGAAGCACCATTGCAGCTCCATAATACTGACACCTCTTTGTTTGAGCGGGAGATGAAGACGAAGACATGTTGAATCTTCTCACTTGTACCTCTTCACACTTAGATCTTCTCACTGAAACCTCTTCGGACTCATACCTTCTCACTCATAGTTCTCAGTCATACCCCTTCACTCATAACCCTAAACTTCTCACTCAGATCTCTCTCATCTCTGCCCAAATCGAATTATATCCTTATTTTCTGTGTGTGGGTGGGTTGGTCACGATCTGGACACATGTACCGTCAAAATTGTGACACCTTTTAGAAAAGCAATATAATATTTCACTACCAAATATTAATCTGAAAATTCAGGGGACACTGCTTTCAATATATTATTTTATTTATATTTCATTAAGGCAACTAGTTGGATAAGAATCCATCATCATTGGTTCCATTTTAATAACATTACTAGGGGTAGTTTGGTGTGGGAAAATGAAAAAGTATATGATGGGACCTTCTGTGACTAGTCAGTAATCCATCACATTTGTATCAATTAATTTGATGGCAGGAAAATCCTAAAAATGGCTAGGGAAATAGGTTAGTAATTGACTTTTTGACTGTCTGACTCTCTTTGCATTTCGATGACGTTTTCCCTTCTCTTGTCTTGAGTTTTAGGGTGTTGGGTTCAGCTTCTTTCAAAAGGGTCAACTTGGAAAAACCCCAAGTGGAAACACCTTTTCAAAACACTCAAACAGAGGCTAAAACAAAACCAAAACCCCATATATTCTCATTTTTCCCCTCTTCCACTCCTCAAATCGTTCCATTCCAAAAACATTTCAATGAATTCGAAACATTTCACTACACTCGGAGGAAAGAGAAGGAAGCATCTCCATTTGGATATGCCCCAAGCCTACATCCCGGAGTTAGCTTGGTTTAAAGTGATGTTATACGTGGCAACCCAATCATCGGAAGATCTCTTATGTGTGGCATCTGTGTGCCCATTGTTCCATATGTTGGCAAACACTCCATAAGTGTGGGACACCATTTCAATGGCAAAGTACCCAGACCATCCTAGCTGGTACCATGCCAATCCTGCGGTCCAGCATTTCTTGCAACAATGCAGGGCTTGTGAGAACCCTGAGTTGATATTTAGAGAAGCGTTCGAAGTGTTTTTTATGAAGGGTAACGTGGAAGCGTTGTATGGGATGCACATTGCAGCCACGACAGGCCATATGGAAGCGGCATATCTAGTTGGACTACTTGGCATGTCTGAAATTGATTAGTCAAAAGAGGATAAATTAGAATTTTTGTGTTCTTTGAATCAACGTAACAACATTGATATGAAAGGAGCCAGGGATGCTTTGAGATGAAGATTAAGCCGAGTTTTCTCTGTTGCAAGACACAACGTAGATATGTTTTACTATGGGAAGATTAAGTTCAATCACTGCAGCGCTTGTAACAACAACGAATGGTGTTTTGTTATTCAAGGCTGGCCTACTGAAGCAAAGACAAATCCTGCCTTCTGGACTTGTTGCAATCGATGCAAATGGCACTGTGAGAGTGTTTTTTTGGTTCAAGGTGATGCGTGTGTATGTTGTGCCAGGGAATCCATACCCTTATAATTAGTTGTAGTATGTTTTTACGGTTTTTATGCATTGTGGACTTGCTTCTCTTCAGTTCTAGGTTGGCTGGCTACGTTGTACAAATGTTGTTTACATGTTGGGTATTAATCTATATTTTGTCTGGTGTTTGTTCTGTCATAAACCGTTTTATATATAAATGTATAATATATATTATAGTGGAATGATTACGGACATCATAAATGCGTACGAATGACGTTTTACTGACACAACCATTGGGCACAATTGCAATCTTAATATTTGGTAAACGAAAAGGCATGCATGGAGTGAGTAGGTGTCTTTTCACCGGTGCTTGGGAATGACATTTTCCCACTTATCATATCCCAAACAATTTGGTTACACGTTATTTAAGCAAAACTTGAACAGTGAATGACTTTGAATAATTTTTTCCTGATGTTGTAGAATGGATGGCTTGTATATTTTCATTTTATTTTTCAAAACATCCCTTAACCCTAAAAAAGAAAAAAAAATAACAAATTGAAGAAGAGAGAAACTGATTAGCACCAAAAATGGTCTATTTGCATGCAAAATAAAAATAAAAATAAAAATTTTGAGTAAATATAATTAACAAATGTACAGGCTAAAAAGTAATATAATAATTTAGGATAAATAATAATAAAATACTAATTTAGTGTAACCATGAAACAGGGAATTCAGTAGGAAGATGAAGTCTAAATGAGTTCGTAGCAATTTTCGGAACATTATTGTGATTTTTGTGTATTTAATTATGAATTTTCTAAGAAAAAAGTAATAAAATAATAATTTAGGGTAAAAGGCAAGGATGTGGCCATGTTGATTGACGTACACTTGTGGAAGTGGTGAAAGGAGATGGTTTGAGATCGCGCCAGGTATCCTCTTGCAATTATTTTGGCTTTTTTAGTACAAAAATCTTTCAAAAAAGGTAATAAATTGTAGAAAAATCTTAAAAATACCCCGAAAATTACTCTAGCCTCCTTGTGACGTTATAAAACTAGGGGAACCTATAAATCATCCGTTTTGCAATGAAAAAATTGGAATTGTTTTAGATAACTCACTTTCCTCTTAACCCTAAGTATATATGTTTGTTAAGTTTAACTTCAATAACCTACATCAACAAGCATCTCCCATTAATGTTCGGAATTATTTTGTAAAATATGTAACCATGAATCGGGTTATTCAGTAAGGGAGCTGGAGTCTCAATGAGTTCGTGGCAATTTTCGGAATATTTTTCTAATTTTTGTGTATTTAGTTATGAATTTTCTAAGAAAAAATAATAAAATAATAATTTAGGGTAAAAGGCAAGGATGTGGCCATGTTGACTGACGTACACTTGTGCAAGTGGTGAAAGGCGACGGGCTGAGATCGCGCCAAGTGTCCTCTTGCAATTATTTTGACTTTTTTAGTATAAAAATCTTTCAAAAAAGGTAATAAATACTAGAAAAATCTTAAAAATGCCCCGAAAATTACTCCGGCCTCCTTGTGACGTTATAAAACTAGGGGAACCTATAAATCATCCGTTTTGCAATGAAAAAATTGGAATTGTTTTAGATAACTCACTTTCCTCTTAACCCTAAGTATATATGTTTGTTAACTTTAACTTCAATAACCTACATCAACAAGCATCTCCCGTTAATGTTCGGAATTATTTTGTAAAATGCGTAACCATGAATCAGGTTCTTTAGTAAGGGAGCTAGAGTCTCAATGAGTTCATAGCAATTTTCGGAATATTTTTCTAATTTTTGTGTATTTAGTTATGAATTTTCTAAGAAAAAGTAATAAAATAATAATTTAAGGTAAAAGGCAAGGATGTGGCCATGTTGACTGACGTACACTTGTGCAAGTGGTGAAAGGTGACGGGCTGATATCGCACTAGGTGTCCTCTTGCAATTATTTTGGCTTTTTTAGTGCAAAAATCTTTCAAAAAAGGTAATAAATAGTAGAAAAATCCTAAAAATACCCCGAAAATTACTTCGGCCTCCTTGTGACGTTATAAAACTAGGGGAACTTATAAATCATCCGTTTCGCAATGGAAAAATTGGAATTATTTTAGATAACTCACTTTCCTCTTTTCCCTAAGTATATATGTTTGTTCACTTTAACAAGTATATATTACTCTTTGTAAAAATACAAGAATTAGTTTCCTTTCATATATAAGGATGTAAAATTATCTGTTTTTTTAAATATAATAATGTACATATATAATAATTGCACACTGCTTTGAAGCCATCATTGCAACTGCACGTAGAGCTTTGAACACGTCAGAGGTATTCAATAAGTTGTCCATATGCAACTGCTCCTAGAGTTTTGAACACGTCACAGCTATTCAATAAGTTGTCCATATGATGCCGCATTGGGAATCAATAATATTCTATCTTGTCCAATCACATAAAATAATGCCACACTTTTTCTGAAAAACCTCACACTAGTCAAGCAATTTTAAAATATTAGTGAATATTTGTCCTAGTCTATATGAGTGATTATATAGTCACTTTGCATTTTTTTCATAGTATATGTTAACTTTGGGGATTCTACAAACATATAATATAAAGACAGAAAACAATAGTAGGAGATGAACCAGTACAAAAAATAATATATAACTTGTACAAAATAATGCCATAAACTTGTCACAAACGCACTCACAAATGCTTTTCCATAAACCTTGCCCTAATATATAATAAATAAAGGCAACATTGCATATGATGCAACCATGTCCAAATCTGATACGTGATAAATAAAAAATGGACATGGCAACAACATATGGCTGAAGTAGATGGGCACTTTGCATCTCGTGTTATCGTAATTAAAGGCATCAAAATATTAAGGTTGAAATCTTCCATAGTAGTAAGCATCAAAATAGGTTTGAAGCAGAGTTTAACGAAAATTCCAATTCCACTGACTTGCCTCTGCTCAAACACGAGAACCAAAATGGTTACTTCTCTTGCTGAGTATATTTGTTAACATCGAAAACGGTAATAGATGACCAATCAAACCTGGGTACGACGAGTTTTGAATAGGATCGGAAGTAGTTGAATCCAGCTTGCATCACATGCTTCTTTGACTCCAATGCATTAGATGAGTTCTTGTATTTTTGAACAGCTACACTCCGAAGTCGTTTGTGTCTACGCTTCATGCGCTGCAACTTCGCCCTATCCAGATTGGCCTACCTTTTGTCATCTTCAATTACGTGCCCTTGCCTTTTGGATTTCATCACCAAGTTGAAGATGTCTCTCCTTCCAGAAAGCAAGAACTCTTTCAGACTCAAAACTTCCAACAAAATGGTCATTCTGCCTAAGAATGTGACACTGCTTGTCTGGTGACTCACTTGCGTTTCGAAGGTGGTCTTTGTTTGGAGGGGTGTTTGTTATGCTCACATCAAACTTCGTTAGTAAATCCATTCTATGGGGGAAGAGAGTTTCTGTGGAGGAGAGAGTTTCAGTAGATGGAGACAGATTAGGTGGAGGAGTGAGTTTTTTTGTGGAGGGAGAGTTTCTATGAAGGGGGCGATAGTATTACCAATAAAATGGTTCCCGCCAAAAAAAAATTTGGTTGACAATGTATAAATTAATTTTTGGTATGATAAAATCTAAGTTTAATCCTAATTAGTTTGGTTAGTTTGGTTGGGTTCACTAACTAGATGTCACTTCCATTGAGTTTCTTTCAATCACTAATAGTGGTGCAAGGATAGTGTGAGGTTGACATACTTGAAAAGCAAAACCTGACACCTCTTTTTTTAAAATTGAAATAAAGTACATAAGTTGACTACACACAAGCTTTGGTATGTTGGTCTATAAAGCTATGTCCCTTTTCTCAAACGAAATTGCATATGCAATCCTCATCCTCTAAAACAAATAGGATTATTCAGGCACCAACAACACAGTCGAAGATGAAAAATTGGAGTCGCAGTTTCCATTTCCACGTTGTACTCGCCAACCCCTTCCATTTTCAACATCATTTGGGAGTGCGGGGAACTTCGATGATCCATTAGAGGCAATACATGTAGTCAGTAGCAAGCTAGATTATAATTCCAGACTAATCAATTCATGGCATGAGAAATGTGTTGAAGACGAGGCCATTTTGGCTGATCTTAACATTAGAGTGAACAAAGCGTTCTCCCAAAAGAACAAGTACTTGAAGCTGAGTCATAAAAGGAAGCTGAAAGCTGAAGAGTTGGATACAGTAATGAATGATGAAATTAAAGGTTGTTTGATGAACCATATGCGATGCGAAGAGCACCACAGTGAACTGGAGTTGGCATTCAACGAAGGATTCAAAAAATTCCGAGCATTTGCGGCAACTACTCATACAAGTTATAATTGGGACTATGTGTCCCCTGATGCTGTGAGAGAGATACTAGATGATGGTGGTGACATGAGTGAGCATAAGCACGTCAAAGCTGCTTGGAAGAAGCCGACTGATACGACTAAGTGATTTCTGCTACCGTTGTTCAATTGGTTGGGGGTGATCGTGGTATTGCACAAATTAGAAGTATATTCCCTTAATGTCATTATCTAATTTAAAATAACACAAATATCAGTTTCATTTGCTTCATATATAATTATTGGAACTATGTATTGCAAGTCATCATGTGTTCCTTCTGTCTAACATTATATTTTACAAATATCGAAATATTATTCAATAAGCTGTCAATATCACAGCACGTTGGGAATCAGTAAATCCCTATTATCATGTTCGTTCACATTAAAGAGCTGGCGTACTTTTTCTCAAAAAACTGACACGTGAGTCATAAGTAACATACCATGTGCTATACATTGTTTAGTGAATGGTTTATGGTTTATTTATATATAATAAAATTCCAAATATTGCTGAATATTTATTGGTTTATATCACTGGGGACATGAGTGACCATAAGCACGTGAGACTTGCTAAGAAGAAGCTGACCAATACGACCTAGTGATTGTGGCTACCGTTGTTCAATTGACTGGGGAGATCATGGTATTGCTAAGAGGGAGCACATAAAATGCTTTGCAATCAAATTTTCTTTTGTGTGTGGAATTATGAGTAGTTCAAATGTTAGTGTACCCTTTAATATTCTCCAACCGTTCGAAATGTGATTAGCTGCAATGTACTTTTTTACACGCTGCTTTCTAATCATTTTGTTCCAACAAAGTGCTTCAAGTATCCTTCATTTAAGAATGTTTACAAAATCATGCACCTAATAACCAGTCGAGCTCAGATCTTAATAACCAGTAAAACACTAGAACATAACATTCGGAAAAAGTGGGTGCTGCTGGAAATGATGAGTGATGCTGGAAATCATTACTGGTAATGGAAACAACAACTGGCTGTTGGAAATGCTGCATTAGCCTGTGATATAATCAATGAATCTCTGTTAAAAACATACAAATTCTTTCCTCAGAATCTCTTTCTTATTTTTCCCCCAAAAGCTGGAATGAAGTCGAATACCAAAGCCAGTCAAGAATGCATATCTATTATAGAAATTATAAATGATGTCAAGCGAGTCGAACTTCATCCCAACTGCTGGTGTTTCCTCATTTCTTACTTTAGGAATGTAAACCCTCCCATTAGCTGTTACACAGTCATCACTTTCTGAGCCCCCAGACATTTTATCCACGTATATTATTTATCTACTTCTATATTACTGCATAGCAAATATTAATTCATTAATCAATCATTACTGCATCACAACATATCAATTCATTCCACTTACATAAAACATTGCCCAAATTGACACAAAACACGCATAGCCTAGCTTGTTGGATTCCAATTACACAAAACGCTAGCAAAATTTAATAATAGTTACGTTGTCTCTTGTGAAATAATCTGGAAAAAATAACATTAGAACCAACATGTTCAACTAAGAAAACAAATGTAATTCAAACCAGCAATTACATAACTTCACCCAATATCCTCTCCAAATGCTTACTTCTAATGCCATTAAGCCTAAGTTTATGATCTTTTATGTACATTTCATAAATTTTCACCCCCCACCCCCCCAAAAACAATCAACTAAGTATATTGAATATTCATAAGGAAATGACGCATTATTAACAGCAGAAATGATGCATTATTGATGCCACAAATGACGAATTTCCCACCCTCACAAAAAACAAACCGAACCCAACAAAATCAATCCAGCAAGAGTGAACTTACCTCTCAAGTTAATCGGGAGCTTCAAAATCAGTCAGCTTGAGAGAATGTGGTGGACATTAGAAGATTCTTTGGTAGTGGGGATTCCATCTCTACCAAAATCGAGGAACAACTGCTGCTGCTGTGTCTAGCTACATAAAGAGATATGCTACTTTGCTTTCATCTGGAATCTCGTCTGCTGAACTAAAAAGAGAAGGGGTTTTCAATTGAGCCATAGAATCAAAACAGGGCAATAGCTAGGTAAGAGCCATTAATCGTCATACCGAGGATACCATAGATTGCAAGCCTCCCAAGGAGTTGATGACAATGGAGCGACTATAGGGTTTGGGGGCTTTAGATCTTTCTAATTGTGGGTTTGCATTACATTCAAAAAGAGAGGATTGTGTTCTTCAGTTTTTCACAGAGAGAGGAAAAATCTTCAACTGAAGTTGGGTTTCCAACGGGTTAGATTTCCACCCGGTTCTACATGCACTCTCTTTTAAAAACTCACCGTTGGATGAAATCCAACAGCTCTTACATACCCCTCAAAAACAGCCCTTATAACTTTCCACTCACTATAGAAGCCCCCCTTTAAGATTAGGTAGGGTTTGGGTCAAGATTTGCCAGGCCCAGTTAAGCATGTCTAGGACCGGTTCGTGCTCATAAATATAATAAATAATAAATATAACAATAAAGTTAACCCACTATCACATTTTCCACTAATGAGAACAACTTCAAAGCACTGAAGTTACTATTGGGCATGATACGGGATGACACAAGATGAAGGACTTCCTAGTGTCAATCCCGAAAAGGATAATTGGGACAGTACAGGACAAGACAATATGGATGTTTCTTAGGACACGTTTGAGCCATACCATAACCAAACAAGACCTGCCATTTTTCCTATATGATACATTGCCTTTTAGAAATCAAGCCTCATACAATCAAGATCTATGAAATTAATTACAAATCAAGAATCATGCCTCATACAGTCAATTCAAGACTTGCCAAATGAATTACAAATCAAGAATCAAGATTCAAACTCAAAGTAACTCAAACCTCAATGGTTGCAAATTAAATTACAACAAAAAAGAAAAAAAACATAACATAATGGAAATCTCACTACCAAAGTTTACAACACAAAGAAAAATTTTACATTAACAAAACAGTTTATAAAGAACAACAAAAGAGCAAGCTACTTGGTTACTTGGCATATCCATTTCCCTTTGGATATGAAGCTACTATGTTTGAACTAGTGGTAGCTTCAGTACTTGCATATTCTATAGAAAATAAATCCACACAATCATTACAGATGCTTAGAAAAAAGCCTAATCAAATTAAAAACAAATGCAACATTATAAAGTAATAACATACCTAATTCAACACTCATAAAATTCATATTCTTCAGGAGTAGGTTCATCTTCTAAAGTGGTGGAAATGTCATCTCCCTTCAAACAATTTTACATACATATAAGATTTCATTGTTGATACTTGAATGACAAGAATATCCCTTGCAGTTGCTGCCAACGAGGTGTACTTAGGACCATTAAGCTTCCACCACAACAAGATGTCAATAAAGGAATCTTTGGTTGTTAATTCCAAAGGATTTTGCAAGTAGGTATCCGCTTCATGTGCCACTACATCCTCATCGATCTCTTCCACCACTTTTATCCAATCATCCATTATATCATCAATATCTTGTGAATCTTAATTCAGAGTATGTGGAGCAGAATTCACATTCCCACTTCTTATGTGAATTCTACCATCCAATCTAGGTACATATTCAGACATAGACATCATCACCCCCTTTATCTTCTTGGTTTTGTTTTCCACTTCTGCCTCATCAAACTTCTCTTTCCTAAACAGATGTGTCACATGCCTAAGGTTGAATCTAAGGTCCAAAATAATAGTAACAACCAACAACACATATCTTCAAATTTGACAAAGTACTTCTTGTATTTTTTTTCTCATTTTGGATGCTGTGTCAACCAACACTCTCTCTATTTTTTAACCAGTGGCCATCTCAGGTGACACAAACAACTTATCAATCTCTTTTTCTATTGCAAAAATAGAATGGAAAGCTTTGTTGATAGTGGGGTGCAAAGATGCACTCACCTTTAGTGTGACCTCATAAAAACAACTTCACATAAATAGTAGCATTGTCCCAATCATCTTCACTTGGTGGTCCAACCCTAATATGGTTACTATTACTCACAACTACACCATCCTCATCAACTTCATGTTCTCGTTCCTTGAACGAAGCCAAGAAAGGGTGTCATCATCCTCTCCCATTCTTACAAAAGTTTTTTTATATTTGAAGGTTGCATCCGAAATATTATAAATGTTCAATTCCACCTTACTGGTCATCCATGCAAACCATACCTTTGATGGACAATCACAATCCCTTTGAGTCCAGCCATACCTCAGGCCCTAACGCACACCTCTAGGCATGTTCCAGCCTTCCACCCTCCAGTCTTGCTTCCACATAAATTTTAAAAAAAAAGGGGCGCAAGCACAGAAGTAGAAGAAGCATACCAATAGAGAATTTGCTATTGCATGGTGGGAATGACAAAAGCCAAAAAAAAAGAAAAAAAAGAAGAAACTGACGCAAGAACATGATGAAACAAAAGGTGGGTTCAATCTTACCACCAAGTTTCTTGATAGACCAAACAGTGGGTTCTTGTGGCTGTGCCAAAAAAAAAACAGTTCTTCGATCTAAGTTAAAAATTCCTAGTTGTCATTGGGTTTAGTCCACACCTTTTTTGTTGTAGATTTGGGTCCATTGACTTTTATTAATTTTTTCATGTGTCAACTTTACCCTTTGAGGTAAATAAGAAAAGAACAGTAATTGAAAATCCAAATTAATGGATCGATTCTTTCCTTCTAAATAGATTTTGGATTTTAAATTTGGAATCCTTCTATTGACGTCATGACATAAAAGAAGTTCATATAAAACAATGAAAGTAGAAGAATTATTGATGATATCTTCCCAACAAATATTTACCTCACTACTAGGTAATATGATATAATATACCTAATTCTTAGGTAAATATAAGATAATGTACCTACTAAGTAAATATAACATAATGTACCTTAATACTAGGTAAATATAAAATAATATACCTAATTACTAGGTAAATATAACATAATATACCTAACACATAAGTAGTATACTCTACTGTACCTGATAAACATGTAGATTTTAGATAAAATGTGTGTGGATTTGAGTGATACAACCAATAATCGTAAAACACCACAACAAAAACATGGGAAAAATTGGAAGATATTTAACTATCAAGAAACAAAGGAATCGAAAATGATGTTGGGGGAAAACACAAAACCCACATGTGTTAATGGTTAATTGCATCTTAATTAAAGATATTAGGTGGGAATTAACTTTACAGCAACAAAAATATGAAGAAAAAAAGTGAGCTAAACAAAATCAAACGTAAAACAATGAGAGTATATTAGTGAGGAATTGTATTTTCAAATAAAAAAACAAACAAACAAAATCAGTGAATAACAAAAGCTGTGGCAAAGAGTAAAAGAATATTTATGTACCTTGTGTACAAGTTGCCATAGTGCAAGAATACAAAGCCACAACAGAAGGAAAGTCAACATTCATACAGAAGCATGACTGAAATATAATAGCTATTTCAAAAATTATAGGAAGACGTGATTTATTGCCTTATTTAATTATTTAAAAAATATAGCTAACTATTATGACAAAAATAAATTTCTTACCTTATTTAATTTTTAGGGGCATGATGGGAATAACAAAGTAATTTAAAAATGCAAAAAATAATATGTAAATATCAAAGAATAAAAAATAAAAAAAAGTAATCATACGTGGCACAAAAGTCAAAGTACTTGTATCAACAACAACAAATACAAGAATTGCATCCAACTTCTATTTTCGATTTTGGAGTTATATTGAATTTTCTATAAAAAAAAACAAAAAGAAAAGAAATGTCAGTTTTTTTTTCTTTCTTGTGGCTGCAAATGGGCACACACACACACACACACACACACATATATATATATATATATATGAGAGATGAATAAAAAAAAAAGATGTCAAGACTCACCACTTTGGTTATTGATGATTCAAATGGTGCGAACTTCAGGTTCATGGACGTTCTTGCCAACAGAGGAGTTGTTTTTTTTTTTTTTTTTTTTTTTTTTTTTTTTTTGCTGTCTATATTTTTTAATATCAATGCGTGGTGCAATTTAAAGAAGCCAAAGGCCATCAAAGATCCTGATGGTGCTAGGGTTTCTCATTCCTAGTTTAGGAAAATATTGGATTTTGTATCTTGCTTTACAAGATCTTACAAATATTGGATATTATTAAGCTTGATAATATCAACAACAAAAAAAAAAAAAAAAAAAAAAAAAAAAAAGGAAACGAAACCTGGACGAACGTTAGTTGGTTCAATATTGGATATTATTAAGTTTAAGTAATATCACCCAAAAAAAAAGAGAGGAAAGAAGGATGGTCAAAAGCCAATGTTGGAATAGAAGGATATTATTTCAATAATATCATCCAACATCCCAAAAAAACAAACAAAAAAAAAAAAAAAAAAAAAAAAAAAACTATGCCATCCGCTTTAACTACAGCTACAACATCATAATTGCATTGGAGTCTCTTGCCATCAACTATGTCTACAGTACCATGAATGGGGCATGGACATAACCAAAGGATGAATGCCATCTCATACACAATTCCAACATACCAAAAGAAAAAAAAAGAAGGGTAACTTTCAAAGCTCCACGGTACATGTGACAAAGCACATGTCTACTGTGCGTCATGAAGTGGGGGCAATTTGTAGACAAAGAAATTTTGGCGCAATAAATTTCATTGGATAAGAAATAATTAGGGTTCGGTGGATTGAATTGTGGGCCCCATAATTCGCCCATGTGGCGTATGACTCATCAAAATCGGATTAGTTGTCAAAAGTGACACGTGTCGACATCCGATGGAGTGAATCAAACGGTTCAAAGTGAAGACAAAATTAAAAGAAAGAATTTTCTGTGATTGACTTTGATTTAAATCAAATATTAATCAAGTCAATCATTTGGTTAAATTGCCAAATTATTGAAATTGATTTTTTATTTTTTTTAAAATCAAATTAGAATTCCACAAAGGAAGATTTTAAAGAGGGAAAGTTATTTAGGTTAAGCATCTTGCAAGAGCCTATAAATAGGAGGCCTCAAGACAAAAGAGAGGAAGCTTAGACAGACCAAACATTTAGAAGAAACAAAAAACTCTCTGCATTCTTCACCCCCCTTTGGAAGAGCCACCAAGCACAACAAATACGTGCCGGTTCCTCCATCCTAGAAAAATTCCAAACACCAAACAAGCTTCGTGCTACCCATTTGATCAAGATCAAGTCTCTACGACCCTTGTATCAAACACAAATTTTCTTTAAACACTTTGGAGATCGAATTAGAGGATTCAATATAGAGATTGTAACCCTAAATTTCATTAATACAAATATTATTTTGTACACGTGTTCTTGTCTCATTCGTCGCAGGATTTTTGTGTTTACAAATTTGGCAAGCCCGGTGGGATAATCTTTGCCTCTCATCTCTTTCTCCAGTTCCAAAACCACTCAACACACCGAAAACGATGGCTTCCAAGAAGATTCAAACCATTCCCGCGATGAGAAGCAAAAGCATGAGTGCCTCCTTCTCAAGCGGAGACTCTGTTAGGGTCGTCATCCGGAGCAAGGCCAAGGCGATATCCGCAACTCAACATGTCACTTCCATACCGACTCAAGCCAAAGCAAAGGATGTGAACCAAAGGCGTGAACCGGTTATCAATCTGGCCTCCTTGGGGGCAAAGAAGAATACCTCCCAAGCGGATGAGAGAAACTCTCGGAGGGAAGAAAAGAGTTTTTTAGGCTCGAAGAATTCAAGAGAACGTTCACTCTCTCTTGTTTCAGATGCTGACTCGAGCACAGGATCATACCATGGATTCCCATCTGGTGACCAACAGAAGAAGATTGCCACAAAACCCTCGGCATTCGTAGGTGAGTCTTATTCTATGGCCATGTAGGCCATGGTGACAGGAGTGATGTCTATTGAAGAACAACTGGCCCATATGAGCGAAGTGGTCACGAAGCTGACGAAGATGGTCGAAGAGAAAGATGCCCATATTGCTTCTCTCATCAACAAGTGGGAGGCATATCAGGATAAGGAGCTTGGTCAAGACGTACACAAGAAAGGACCACATCATGAAGCTGAATTCAGCAAGAAAGCATCGGGTCATGAAACGGAGTTGGTGAGAAGTTACACGAAAAAGGCAACGCCGCCTCGGTGGGTTCTTTATCAGTCCAACAATTGCAGGACATGATTGCGAACACCATCAGGGTTCAATACGGAGCACCTTCCCGAGACACACTCATATATTCCAAGCCATACACCAGGAGGATAGATAACCTGTGGATGTCGACGGGATATCAACCTCCCAAATTCCAACAATTCGACGGAAAGGGCAACCCAAAATAACACTTTGCACACTTCGTTGAAACATGCAACAATGCTGGAACAGAGGGTGACCACCTGGTGAAACAATTTGTTCATTCCTTGAAAGGAAATGCATTTGATTAGTATGTAGACTTGGAGTCTGAATCCCTCGACAGTTGGGATCAAATGGAGCTAGAATTCTTGAACAGGTTCTATAGCACTCGTCGCATCATGAGTATGATGGAACTCACAAATACCAAAAAATGGAAAGATGAACCTGTCATCGATTACATCAATCGGTGGAGCTCGTTAAGCCTAGATTGCAAGGATAGACTTTTGGAGATATCGACAGTTGAGATGTGCATTCAAGGGATGCATTGGGGGTTACTCTACATTCTACAAGGGATTAAACACTGCACATTTGAGGAACTAGCCACTCGTGCCTATGATATGGAGTTAAGTATCGCTAGCCACAGAGGAAAGCATGAGCCCGTCATGGAGCATAAAAAGGAGAAAGTCTTTGGACAAAAGACAGATAAGCCTATCAAGAAGCCTACCAAGGAAGCAATGACAATCAACATTGTCCCGGTCAAAATCTCCACCCAAGATAAGAAGAGAGAGGTCAAAAGGATTGAGCCATCCCGAGAGGTGGATAGACTTCGACGCACCTTGAAGGAGTTGGAGGAAAAAATGTACCGTTTCCCTGACTCCGATGTCGCAGGTACGCTTGAGGACTTCTTTGAAAAGAAGGTGATCGAATTGTTGGAATATAAGTGGCTTGAGGAGATGAACTGGGTTAACGACCCTAAGTTTTGCAAATACCTCCGAATTGTCAGCCATCTAGTAGATAAGTGTTTCGTTTTGAAAGAGCTAATTATGAACTTAGCTAGGCAAGGAAGGATAGAGTTGGATGTTGACGAAATTGCAGATGCGAACGTTGCCACAATTGTGTTCGGATCTTTTGATCCGGTGCCGTTGCCTACATTGTCGAAAAGATTGGAGTTTCAATCAACAAGGGGTATACACTAGGTGACTGATCTATGTACAAAAGAAGTAGTGGGCGAACCGAACAATCGAGGTGGTGATGGTTTCGTTGGTGGCTTGTCTTTCGATGACAATGAAGGATGGACGTTAGTTATTCGGCAGAAGTCTCGTACGAAGTGTATTCCTCAATGAAAAAATGCTCAACCAAAGAAGGAGCGGCAAAAGAAAGGCTCACACTAACAATCTAAGAGCAAAACCAGAAGGATGGTGAGGAGAAACTCTGACCAAGAAAGTGGACCACTAATCCAAGAGCCACGAACTCCAATTATGTTAGGAGAATACTTTCCCAAAGTGTTCTTCATGAGAGGGCCAATAGATACAGTTCATATGACAACTTGCTATCAAGTAGATGATGAAGATGCCTCATAAGGAAGATCTGAAACTCATGAAGAGCAAAAGGTCTTAGCACAGGCAGAGGATTCACCATCGCACTCCAATATTGAGGAAGCGGTGGAACTTCCTAAAGCAATACGAGTAGCATTGGTAAAGGTGCTGATGGATCTCAATATTCATCCAAATAAAATAAGAAAGGCTGAAAAATTAGAGCCTGAGTTTCAAGACCATGCTACATGTGATTCCATCACATTTACCGAAGATCTCTTGTTATGGTCCAAACCACATAATCGTTCGCTTTTTGTGTCAAGGTATGTGCGAGAACAAAATCTTAGTTGCATGCTCATGGATGGAGGTTTGGCATTAAACATCATGCCTAAATCCACGATGATGAAGTTAGGCATCACCATGGACGAATTGTCTCGCAGTCGTCTCATGATTCAAGGCTTCAACCAAGGAGGACAAAGAGTCATGGGCATGATCAGAATTGAGCTCGTGATAGGTGATTCAAAGTCAAACACCCTATTTCTCGTGATTGATGCTAAGACTTACTACAATCTTCTCTTAAGAAGGCCATGGGTGCATGAAAGTAGGATAGTGCCTTCAACCTCACATCAATGTTTCAAATTTTACAGAGGTGGAGTAAAGAAAATCTTGGATGACGTCAAACCATTTACTGAAGCCGAGTCGTACTTTGCTGACACCAAGTTTTACATGGATGAAGACATGGTATCTGAAGTTATTCCCGTTGAGGTTCACTCGACAGGAAAGGCCATACCAAGAAGAGATGAGCATTCAAAGTGCCTTTCCCCTGAAGAGAATGGCGAGTCAAAAAGCACTTTGTCTGGACAATGGGATCATCACTGATAATTCACAGAAAGTGTCCATTCCTGTCCTTCGTTATGTCTCATCATCCCGACAGAAGGAAAGACAATCCCCATTTGGAAAAGAAGTAAAACCAATGAAGTTATGGGAAAGTGATATGAAATTCTTGAAGGAGTCGACAACCATGCCTTTGCCCAAGTTGAGCAATTCAGACGTTTCAAAATATTCGGTACCAGGGTTCGTCAGACCATCACAAAAGGCTATAGGACATGAATCTCTTTCGATCAAAAGAACTAAAGAAGGTTTCGATCCTAATGCTTATAAGCTCATGTCAAAGGCAGGTTGCGACTTTGGCTTATCTCCTTTGCCAGGAGAACTTAATCTGGATATCACCGGAGAAAGGACGCATGGCCTTAACGAAACCCAAAAGAAGTTGAAGAAGCAGGGTTACGTAATCGACTTAGCTAGAGCAGGCCTTGGTTTTACTCCTATTGCACCAGTTAAGATATCTGCTAGAAGAAAAGAAAAGAAGGCAGACGCTCAACACATAAGCATTGAAGTGGTCAATGAGGAAGAAGAATTAAAGGCTAATAAAAGAGCCTTAGTGTTTGACCATTTAGCCAAGCCTACCCAATGGACTTCAGTCTTTAGCCAAATCAAAGAATCAACATCACGACCCTCTGTGTTCAAAAGGATAATTGGGTATGATAGCCAAAGGGGAATTTGATCAACTCCACGCAGATCGACGCTAGAAAGATTCAGAGTTCCAAGCAAATTGTCTGAAGAGAAAAATCACCAAGAGATGAAAAGTAGAGTTCATGTTGATTTGACATACGATAATGAAATTCGGAGCTTAATCACGTCACGTATGAAACGTCACTCAACATTAAACGTAACTTTAGGTGACCAACTCAAAGTGAAACGACGAACAATCATACAAACTCGAAAAACTTTGAGTCAGCAAAACCAAAGTCACGATGAAGAAGCAGAGGTTCTAGCTGTTCATCATGTTACGATTAAAGAGCTCGATGAAGAGGAACCTTTCGAGGATGAGGTTCATGATGCTCCTGCAGCATTAGAATATGGAGGCCAAGCGATTGTTGATGAATTAAAAGAACTCAACCTGGGCACAAATGAAGACCTAAGACCTATCTTCGTTAGTACACTTTTGAATCCTAGCAAAGAGGAATCATATCACCAATTGTTACTTGAGTATAGAAGATGTCTTTGCTTGGACGTATAAGGAGATGCCAGGCCTCAATCCAAAAGTTGCGGTCCATCACCTTGCAGTCAAGCTTGGAACGCGTCCAATCAAACAAACTCAACTCGCTTCCGTTTGGAGCTTCTAGGTCAAATCGAAGCCAAAGTCGACAAGTTGATTGCTGCCAGATTTATTAGGGAGGTGAAATACCCGACATGGATAGCGAACATTGTTCTGGTGAAGAAGAAGATAATCACTAGATAAATTCGAATTTGTGTTGACTTCCGAGACTTAAACGAGGCTTGCCCGAATGATGAATTTCCATTGCCCATAATTGAGCTCATGGTCGATGCAACCACAGGTCATGGAGCCTTATCTTTCATGGATGGTTCATCTGGATACAATCAAATAAGAATGTCGCCAGAGGATGAAGAACTCATAGCCTTTCGCACTCCGAAAGGAATTTACTATTACAAGGTGATGCCATTTGGCCTCAAGAATGCAGGTGCGACCTATCAATGTGCAATGCAAAAGATCTTTGGTGACATGCTTCACAAGAATGTTGAGTGCTACGTTGATGACCTGGTGATCAAGTCAAAAAGAAGAGAAGATCACTTGAAAGACTTGAGAATGGTGTTCAACAGATTGTGGAAGTACCAACTCAAGATGAACCCTTTGAAGTGTGCTTTCGGCGTCACGTTAGGTAAATTTCTCGGTTTCATCATTAAGCATCGAGGCATCGAAGTAGATCAGTCTAAGATTAAAGCATCTGAGATATGCCCGAGCCAAGAAATTTATGTGAGTTGAAAAGTTTACAAGGACGTTTCGCTTGTATTCGACGATTCATCTCAAACTTAGGAGGGCGGTGTCAGCCATTTAGTCATCTTATGAAAAAGGATGTCCCATTCGTTTGGGATGAGGCTTGTCGCAACGCCTTTGAGAGCATAAAGAAGTACTTATCGAGTTCACCACTGTTAGGAGCTCTTATTCCCGGCAGACCACTCATGTTGTACATCGCGGCTCAAGAGAGATCAATCGGAGCCCTTTCTATCTGAGTCAAACTCTTATTGGTCCTCAACTAAATTACACGCCTATAGAAAAGACGTGCCTTACACTTGTTTTTGCTATTCAAAAATTAAGGCACTACATGAAAGCGTTCATGGTTCATTTAATTGCACAAGCTGACCTGGTAAGGTACATTATGTCAAAACTAGTCTCACTACTACAAAAATTGAAATAGACGATGGGAAACCACTGTCGTCTAGAAGGTTTTCCAACCGTCGTGAAATCGACAGCCATCTTTCGTATAAAAAATGACGGTTAATACCCGATGTCGTTAAGGAATTCAACGTCTAGATTTATTACGAACCGACGTGTAATTACTGTATAATTAGCCTAAAATGAAATCTTCGACAATATTAGACGATGGTTTTATGAAAACTGAGACGTCTAAAGAGTGTAACATGTCAAGATCAAAAGAAGAACCGATGTACAGATAATTATCCATGTCTCTAAATGAAGGAAAAAAGACTTGGATAAGCTAGAAACCGTCGTGGTTAATTTATACTACATTAAACAAACAAAGCAACCAAAGTCTAAAAAATAAACGATGACGTTCAAACAAACCAATAGACGTTTAAAGTGTATTACATGTCATTTGTCTCTCAATAACCGCCGTAACATGACATAACCATGTCCTGCACCTGGCATCACCGACGCTTATGTAATTGTCCACGTCGCAAACTATAATAAAAACCGACATGTTAAGTTTATTCCACGTCTGTTTCTTGCAAGACTCGTCATTTAAATTGTACAAAGAAGACCTTCTGACAGAGTTAGACGTCACTTTTTCTAAATAACCGACATCTAAAAGATTTAAAATGACATAATATTACTTAATATCGACGTACAAAACTGTACCCCCCACGTTAGTTTTTGTCAAAGGATGACGTTATAAATAGTATTGAAAGCGTTGATAGGAAAACAACCAACGTGGATTATATATTCAACGTTCATGGCGTTAAAATAAAGGACGTGGTTAATTATTTCACTACGTCTAGAGATCCACCTGCTTGATGTTGTAATTGCTTACCACGTCAGTTTTGATTACTTAATGACGTGGTTGTCCTTTTAAAAGTCACTTGTTTAACCTGCCTTGATGTATATATGCTCGGAGACGTTAGTTGTTTTAGATTAACCAACGTGCAGAACATCTATCATGACAGTTAGTGGAACTGAACGGCCTTTATTTGTCCCTGTTAGTACGAAAATTGTATTGTCATTTCCTAGACTCTGGCATAGGTTGGGAGTTAGTGTGTGAATATCGTTTACTAGACGTTTTGGCGCAACACATTCAATCCCAGGTTTCTGAAGCATGACTTGACCGATTTGAGAAACTGATTTCAGGGGTTTTTCATAGATTGAATTTTGAAGTGAAAGCTGCTGTGCATACTTTTGGAGAAAAGTCATCAAGTGTTCCTTGTTTACTTGGTGATTTATCATACACCTTCATCATTCATGTTGCATTCACATGTATGTCGGTGACTCATACGGTTGAGGGCACCAAGACCGTGGTGGCGGTTTTCCTCCGATGAGCTTGAAGCAATCGTGGCCAGTATTGCGTTCAACATAAGGAGTGTCGAAGATTATCCCGTGACAGAAGTTGAGTTATGAAGAAGTCGGTAAACATTATCTAGAATGTGTCTAGGATAAGTGTGTGAGTACTTCTTGTAATCATCGTTCTATAGTGGATTTGTGTTGGACTAAGAAGTCCTGTGGATTTTCCCCAGAGGTGGGGTTTTACCACGTAAAATAATTCTCTGTGTGTTCTTTTATTTTAAGCTCTGCACATTACAGGATTGATAAGCCATATCAATCCTGCTTCAAAAGTTGATTATTATTTATTGCAAAAAATTCAAATTAGCCTGTTCAACCTTCTCTAGGCATATATAGACATCCTGCAGGTATTTTCAATTGGCATCAGAGCAGGTTGCTGGACATACTCAGCAAGATCTAACGTACCTTAGGATGGATCGTGCCTCGGGCTCAATTGCACATCCACCGTATTTCGATGGCAACAACTATGGCGCTTGGAAGGCCAAAATGAAGTCGTTTCTTTGGTCTTTGGATGAACGTGTGTGGAGTACAGTGGTTCATGGATTTCCTAAACCCACAAAGAAGATTGGAAAAGGAGATGAAGAAACCACAGTCGTCAAAACTAGAGAGGAGTGGACCACTGCAGAAGTCACACAGAGCACTAATAATCAAAAGGGGTTAAATGCTTTATTTACTGCTGTCTCTTCCGATCAATTTGAATATATATCTGGTTGTTATACTTCTAAGGAAGCTTGAGATATTTTGCAGGTTACTCATGAAGGAACATATACTGTCAAGGGAGCCAAGCTTCAAATGCACACTTTACAATTTGAGACACTCATGATGGATGAGAATGAAACTTTTTCTGAATTTTATGCTAAAATTTGTGTAATTGTGAATACTTGTTCAGGTTTAGGTGAAAAAATTCCAGAACATAGAGTTGTGAAAAAGATTTTGAGATCCTTGCCTCAACGGTTTCAACCAAAGATCACGGCTATTGAAGAGATCCGTGACATGAACACCTTGAAAGTTCAAGAACTCATAGGGTCCATACAAACCTATGAGATTGTTGGCTGCGCAAATCTCGCTGTCTAGTGCACCGGGCCGAGGGGATGTGCGTTAACACATGACGTCTTTCTTTTGGATGCTGTGCGGGTGTGCTATTACGGTCTACCGTGCGTCGAGATGGTGATGAGGTTTGGGTAGAAGATGGTTAAATGATGCGCCTGTTTTGAGTTCGACTCCTAATCAAACGATTGTGGCTGAGAGAGGAACTGATCTCGGCTGTCAGGTTCACGGCTTGAGCTACAAGGCCGTTTAGTGGTGGTGTTGGTGGCGGGTTTTAGGCGTGCTTCGGCGCGTTGCTCAGAGAGCGACGATCGTATGATATATGAGGTGAATGAGATGATAACAGAGATGGTGCTCCGGCTCCTTGAAAATCAAGGGTCGTATGATATATTGATTAATGGTTTTTCCTTACAATCTACCACTACTCCTAGGAAAGCAAATAAAGGTATTGAAAGTGCATTACAGGAAAATATAATTTGCTCCGTGGGAGGCTTTTGTTTTGGTGTTTGAACCCTTTGAATGTAGTCCTGAGCTTAGTATTTATAGGAGGAGTCCTGGAGGGACAATCGAGGCTAAAAAGACCTGCATGGTGGAGCCTGATCGGGGCAAGTGGGTAGTCAAATCGGCATTTGGGATTGTGAAGCATGGCGGTGTGACCCCCATAAATCCTGATAAATCTCGGCCACTGCCCTGATCGTGGGTTCTGCCCCCTTGGCCGTGGGAACGCATTTAATGCCCTGGTCTGGTGGTTGGTGATCTGACCTCAAGTTGTAAGATTACTTGTGAGAATGTTTGCGCCTAACCACTCTGATTTCCATCACCAAATCCTGACTTCAGTCACTTCCCTTCTTCCCTCGTGCATTAAATGCTTCTTGCGACTAGTGGGTTTGCTGCGATAGTCAGAGGCATTACTTCATTAAATGGGGCGTGGGACCCTGAGGCCACATGGCATTTTAACCACAGTATCTTCGACCGTGTCTTTTACGGCCTTCGGCTTCGGCCTATAATATCGCGGTCGCGAGGCCGAGAGGATTCTGCCTTTGCAGCTTTTCTTTTGTTTTTAGGAAGGCGAAATGCCTAACGAAACGGTAGGTGCTAGGGTCGAGAGGAAGTCCCTTCAGTCAGTTTGTGACCATGATTTATTAGGCACAAACAGAGATGAAACATCTACCTCCTAAAAGAGCAAAAATGTTGCGTTCAAGGTTGTGAGTGAAGAAGATGATGGGCATTGAAATGAAGATTGCAGTGATGAGGAATTAACGATTCTCACAAGACGATTCATGAACTTTCTCAAGAATCAGGATCCAAGGAGTTGAGATTCAAAAGGTATAAATTCTAAAAATAGGTTTGTTAACTATACTGATGGTGGGTCTAAATTTCGCAGGTTAAATGAACGAAAGAATCCAAGAGAAAAGGTCCAATGTTTCGAATGTGAAGGCTATGGACACATATCTTCAGAATGTGCCAACACCTTAAAGAAACAAAAGGATGGCAAGAATAAGGCAATGCATACTACTTGGAGTGATAGTGAATCGGAATGTGAGAATGATGAAAAGACGATTGCACTCATAACCACAGTTAGCTTGGATGAATCACATGAGGATGATGATTGTAAAGGTATAAATATTGAGTTTATCATGAACAAATATGATGATTTGTTGGCTGCATCTCAGAAGCTCAGTAAACAAAATAGTGAGCTCGTAAAAGAAGTTGCTGTGCTGAAGCTGGAAAATTGCAGGATTGCAAACGAGTTTCAATCCCCTGATGCAGATTCCGAAAAGCTAAGTGCAAGTATGAACGAAAAATTGATGTTTTTGCAAAAAAAATTGACTGATCAGAATAAATTGATTGCTTCTCTAACTTCTGACAACAAAGCCTTTGAACTTGAACTTAAAAATTCAAAGGAAAGGATTGTTTCTTTAACCATTGGTGCAGAAAAAATTGACAAGATGATTAGCATGGGACGAAGAGATGGTGACAAACGAGGCTTGGGATTTGAACCAAGTAGTAAGTCTTCCGCTGTGTCTAAAACAAAGTTTGTCAAATCCACTTCACCTATTGAACCTTTTGCCGCTCATGAAGTTAAAAAATTTATTCTAATTTGTCATTTTTGTGGAACTCATGGGCACATAAGACCAAGATGCAATAAGCTTCGAAACGAATTTGTTCGTTCAAATTCTCATGGCATGGGTGGAAAAGTAAGTATCCAACATAAGATTTCAAATCTTATGAAAGAGGTAAACCGCTTATCCAAACTATCTTCTTTTCATTGTTTGCCATCAACTAAGACAAAGTTAGTTTGGAGGAAAAAGGAAAATCATAATTGTATGTCTTCCTCCACTAATGTTGTGCATGAACCCGTTGCTTTAGAAAGTTTGGATCTTAAATGTATTGCTGCAAAACCCTTGGATAATCTTCGATTTGACACTCTTAGAAAGTCTTTAGGTATATGTGCTCTAGATTAATTTGGAGTCTATTGCATGCCAAAGCCTCTTTCATGTTTTATGATATTTCAATTAATTTCTGTGTTTATAAATCTGTCCAGCTCGTGCAAGGATTGTTAAGGTGTATCAATCCTGTAACTGTCTGAACGTATTTGTTGATCTTAGATTGGGCTCTGACACTGCACTATATTAAGAACTCACACTCTCAGCTTCACACAAAGGTTTCCGTTGTCTTGGTGCATTATAAACTTCATTAAATGATCTATCCATCTATTTATTTTTATTTTGCACACCACACTCTTTTCCTTGAAGTCCTTTGAATATCTCTTCTCAAGCACTTGTCTCTCTTTGGATTGCCATAACACTACTGCGCGTAAGTTCTTGATTTGTTTAAAAAAAAAAAAAAAAAAAAAAAAAAAAAAAAGAGTGACCAACTCATTGCTCAGTAACCGGGCCTCTTGTCTAACCAACATCGAGGTTCGAGTCAACAGGTTGTGATGGTTTTCTATCCTTGCTTATCTTTGGAGCCTTCATGATTCGGATCAGTATTTCCCCAGGGGTGCTTCATCACCCAGTTGCCTCCAGTCATCTGACGTAAGCACACTGATTGACCATCCGTTACATGGATCATGTCGAAAGTTAGATAAAGTGAGCCACAAAATTCGTATTAAAAAAAATAATAATGAAAAATACTGATCTTCTTATACTTACTATGCACTTAGTGTTTGTGCAATCTTTGGTGGGATTCATCTTGTGTGGACATATTTTTTGTGCTTAATTGAAAAAGAGTTCATTTAACACATTTGCTCCTTGATGGTAGACTCATTTGATGCCCTTTATCTTTCACCATGACTGTGGTATGCCTCTACTGTTATCTGTGAGTTTGTGAGTCTCGTGTGCTGTCGTGTGTTTGTCCCTGACATGCTTTGCTTCACATGCGTTCAAGACAACAAAGGGTTTGTTGCTTCACATGAATGGAAAATAATTATATCTTCAAGAGAACTTTATGTCTGCATCTACAGTATGTTTTATGTCTTGATTGTTTTGAGCTTTCTGTCTTGAGTGTATTGCTTTTGTTTTTGTATGTTTTGGTTCTTAACAACATCTCATTATTCTTTTTAGTTCTCTATTTTCCTGTCGTTTACAACAACAACAAAAAAAAAAAAAAAAAAAAAAAAAAATTTCTGTTTGTTTTCAAGATAAAGCCTCTTACATGCTTTATTGGTTATTCTCTATGTTTTTATATGTTGGGAATGCAATCTGATTATTTATTTATTTATTTTTTTTCCTCTTATATATGCTCCCTTATGTTCATTCCTTGCCCTTTGGATTTCCTGACGACAAGGGGGAGAGATTGTGTTGTGGAATTAAGGGGGAGAGATTGTGTTATGGAATTAAGGGGAAGTTGTGTTGTAATTTTGCGTTGAATTACATTTCTTCTCCCACATGCTTCACTGGTTTTGTTGTTTCATAATGTGCAGGGATTCAGGGCTTTGAGCTTAGAATAAGAATTCATTTGTTAAATCCCATGCAATTTCTTTTGAGTTGTAATTGGTGTTTTGTCTAGGAAATGCCAAAGGGGGAGATTGTTAGTACGAAAATTGTATTGTCATTTCCTAGACTCTAGCATAGGTTGGGAGTTAGTGTGTGAATATCGTTTACTAGACGTTTTGGCGCAACACATTCAATCCCAGGTTTCTGAAGCATGACTTGACCGATTTGAGAAACTGATTTAAGGGGTTTTGCATAGATTGAATTTTGAAGTGAAAGCTGCTGTGCATACTTTTGGAGAAAAGTCATCAAGTGTTCCTTGTTTACTTGGTGATTTATCATACACCTTCATCATTCATATTGCATTCATATGCATGTCGGTGACTCATATGGTTGAGGGCACCAAGACCGTGGTGGCGGTTTTCCTCCGGTGAGCTTGAAGCAATCGTGGCCAGTATTGCGTTCAACATAAGGAGTGTCGAAGATTATCCCGTGACAGAAGTTGAGTTATGAAGAAGTCGGTAAACATTATCTAGAATGTGTTTAGGATAAGTGTGTGAGTACTTCTTGTAATCATCATTCTATAGTGGATTTGTGTTGGACTAAGAAGTCCCGTGGATTTTCCCCAGAGGTGGGGTTTTACCACGTAAAATAATTCTCTGTGTGTTCTTTTATTTTAAGCTCCTGCTTCAAAAGTTGATTATTATTTATTGCAAAAAATTCGAATTAGCCTATTTAACCTTCTCTAGGCATATATAGACATCCTGCAGGTATTTTCAGCCCCTTTAGACGACAGTTTATTTTAAGCAAACCGACTTGATTTCTTTTTCAGATGTCTGTTTTTTTTGTTTTACGGTCTTTTGCCTTTTTAAAACCCGACATTTTTATTTTAGACGTCTGTGTTTCCAATTTTTTTATCGGACCTTAGTACTTTACAGCTTTAACCCAGCTTTTTTAATTTTTGATTTGTCTTGCCCAAAGCCTGCATAATGAAAATGTGATCAGAATTAAAATGATTCATAGAATTATTAATTAATGTCATACAATTAACTAAATAACTAATGTCATACATTACAACAATCAATCAATTCATACATGTTCACACCCATCTCTAATATTTTCATTCCCAAACTCACCCTCTAGGTCATCAAATGTGTCAACATTTGGTATCCCTCTAGTAAATGGCTCACACTCACTTTTAGTATCACCTAGCACATCATCACCAATAACATCATTATATTCACTATTAGGCATTGATAACACTACCGACCAACCATGATGCATTGGGTCGTGAACATAAAATACTTGTTTGACTTGAGAAGCCATAACAAATTGGTCATTAATATGTTCAATTTTACTCATATCTACAAGGGTAAATCCAAGTTCGTTGACTACAAGGCCCAAAGTGTTATCTATCCAATCACATTTCAAGACTGGGATTCTAAACTTTTGGTAGTCAAGGTCCCAAATTTCTTGAATAACACCATAAAAACCCATATTGGAGACAATAGAGTTTTTATCATTGGCACTAGCAACTTGCATAGTATGTGCAAGTAAATAAACTCCACTATTTTGGATAGTTTGCACATCATCTTGTGCCTTGGTGTTAAATTTAACACCATTAATAAGATAGCTTCTATATGATGGCACTGCCATGCTTGGACCAACTACTAGCCACCTCAAATTTTTTGATATGCCATTATGCATTTTCCCATTAAGTTCACTTTGAACCTACAAATTAATCATATATATCTTAATTCAATCTAACATATAGAATGGAAGAAAATTAAAAGTTGAATATGCATGTCATTCAATAACATATATATACCTTAAAGTGGAGCCATTGAATGAAAGTACTACTCAAGCAAACACAAAGTAACTACTAAATCTTCTTCCAACTTATCTAGCTTGCAAACATCTACCATCTTTGCACATATAGCATTGAAGAAGAAGCACAATCGAATTATTGCATACCTTGCAGGCTGTTCCAAAACAGAATGAATTGCCACATGGAGCAATTGTTGCATCAAGGTATAACAATCATGAGATTTAAGTCCAAGAAGTCTTGAATCTTTTAAAGATATAAGATTTTTTATATTTGAACAATAACCTTCAGGGACCTTCATACCATAGAAAGAATTACAAACCGCTCTCTTCTCTATTCTTGACAAATTCCAAAGCCCTGGAGGCAATCGAGTACGTCTTTGTCCATACTCGGGTTGCAAATCAGTTCTGACCCCCATGTTCAATAAATCTAACCGAGCAGCAATCCCATCTTTATTTTTTCCAGGGATCTCCAACAATGTACCAATGATACTATTGAAAACATTCTTCTCAATATGCATAACATCTAGGACATGCCTCACATGAATGTATTTCCAATACTCGAGGTCAAAGAATTTTGATTTCTTCTTCCAACAAACTCTGTTACCATCATTCTCACCAACACTTTCCCCATTTTTCGAGCCCCATATGTAATTAATATCTTCAACAATGTGCAACACTTCTTCTCCGTTTAATGGCTAGGGAGGCTTGCCATATTCAGGGTTCCCATTAAAAAGCTGCACGCTGCCTTCGATATGGATGATTGATTGGTAACCATTTTCTATGCCCAATGTAACAAATTTTGTGGCCATTTTTCAACCTATGACTTGGTGTATCATCGTCGCATATTGGACATGCTTTAAACCCTTTAATGACACAACTAGATAAGTTTCCATAGGTAGGAAAATCATTAACTGTTCACAGTAATACACATCTGAGTGTAAAGTATTCTCCTATATGTGCATCATACAGTCCTCTAATCTCATCACACATAGATTTTAAATCATCAATAAAAGGATCTAAGTAGACGTCTATATCATTTCCAGGCTATTAAGGACCGGAAATCAATAAGGTCAACATCATGAACTTCCGTTTCATGCATAGCCATGGTGGGAGATTATATGTAACTAAAATAACTGGCCAACAACTGTATCTGCTACTTAAAGAACTGTGGGAATTGAATCCATCAGATGAGAGAGCCAATCTCAAGTTTCTTGACTCTTTACCAAACTCGGCCCAGTTATCATCAACAAGTTTCCAAGACGGGGATTTAAAAAACTGTTGTCGTATTATAAGTTCATAAATAAAATAACCGCCTAGTTTTCTCTCTCCCATGTTTGTTTTAAATCAGACGACGGTTTTTTCTCTTTCAAACGTCGTATTTATTAACACACCACGTCAGTTATTATGAACAGCCGTGCTATTTAAATAGCATGAATTTAATTACCGTCGTGCTGTGTCAACAAAAATGTCAAATTCGAGAAAAACCCGTCGTCTTCACATGACTTGTGCATGGGAACAATGAAAGATTTGGCCTTTTCAAACCTGAGTCTTGTTTCAAACATCAATGGGACTCGTTCTTTAAAAAAAAACTTCAAATGATAGGGAAAGTGAAGAAAAAAAAATGGAGTGAGAAAGTTTTCTAACCTTTGGCTTTCAAAGAAAGTTTTCTTCAGAATCAAATTTTGGAGACAAAGACGAGGAAGAACATAAAAGTTGAGAGGGAAACTGATAATCAGAAACATAGCTTTTCGGAAATGAGAGGGAAACTGAGAGAAAACTGAAAATTTTAGAGAGAACGTAAAAATTTAGGTCAGGTGACCAAAAAGTTTATATAGTGTCCCAAAGATAAATACAACGATGGTAGTAATAAAAACCACCTTAGTATGTAGTTACCACGACATTAAAATAACATCAACCGATGTGATTAGCAGTGGCGGATGCAAGAATTGCCACTCGTGGGGTCACAAAAATAGTGGCAGCGACGGAGACGGCTAGTGGTGAATGGCAACTAGCACCCTTGGCGGCGGTGTCAAGGGATGAGATAATGGTGGTGGACAGGGACGAACCCAGGGATTGCAAATCGGGCAGGCTAAATTTACCTTAAGTACAAATGTATTAAGAAATTTTGGTGAGTTTTTGTGGATTTTGATTGGTTTTTGTAGATTTTTAGGCTTGAACAATAGATTGTATGAACTAAAAACTAGAGGTAACCCACATGAGTGACTATTTATTATTATTTTTGGGATAAATTATAAGCCCTTGTTGTCATATTTTTATTTTATATAAGCAATCTTTTTTCAGTATATTTTCTTCATCATATTTAGAACTTTTTGTTATTATACAACATTTGAAATAGAGAAAATGATGGAATTATTGATAATATTGTTGAAATATTTGGAAGGGATGAAAGGAAACAAAGAAAAAAAGAAAAAAGGAAAAGATATTTAATATATTTCCCCCCTCTCTCTTTTTTATTCTTTTTTCCTCTCTCTCTCTCTCTCTCTCTCTCTCCTCCCGTCTTCCTCTTTCTTTATTCTTTTTCCTTCTTCCTTTTTCCCCCCTCTCTTTTTTATTCTTTTTCCACTCTCTCTTTCTTCTTGCTCCAGCTGCCACCACCGAAGCTTCTTCTTCTTCTCCATGGGGTCACTTCCATGGCTGCCAAGGGCAAAAACCAGTCTCTACCACTAAACTCCAGATCTGCCATGGGGTCGGCTGACCCCATTGATCCCATGGTGGATCTGCCACTGATGGTTAGTAATAAAGCCATTTGAATTTTTGTATTCTGAAAACGACGTGGTTAGTTGGGCGATACACATCAAAAGTTTACTTTTGAAGAAGTGATATTACAAGTTACCACGACGTTTTTTTTATATGGAACCGACGTGGTTTGTCTAAACCTTGTTGCCTTTAGTTTAATGACCGATGTTGTTTGTGTTAACCACATATGTTTAATACGTCTTCCGTGTTTCAAGAATCGACGTTGATTCCTTTGGTTAAACGGCGTTAGGTCTAATATAACCAATGTGGATATGAAATTTTTTTTATAAATTGGGTTTTTTTTTCCACGAGTTCTTTCCGTTTCAATTTTCTATTAGGGTTCCAACTTCTTCTTGCCCTTGGCTCTATCTCACCTCTTAGGAGGCAATTGTTTGGATGTTGATGTGTGTGTATATTTGTGTATCTGAAAGACACAAACATACACACATCACCAATGTCCAAAAAATTGTCTTTCTAAATGCAAGTTTGTGGCTGCCGTTGTCAAATTTTAGAGGCAATTGTTTGGATGTTGATGTGTTTGTGCGTTTGTGTATCTGAAAGACACAAACAAACAAACATCATCAACTTCTAAAAAATTGTCTCTCTGAATGCAAATATGGGGCTACCGTTGTCAAATTTTAGGGGCAAATTTTTGGATGTTGATGTGTATGTGCCTTTGTGTATCTCAAAGACACAAAGACATATATATCATCAACGTCTAAAATATTGTCTTTTTGTGGTCCGATTATGATGAGGAACAGAGTTGCATATGGTAAGATTTCGTAACTCTTGGGATCTCAGAAAAATCTGATTCTGTCGGCGGTTTTCTATATAAACCATCGTGGTTATTCTCAATTCTTGTCATTAAGTTGATTTACCGACGTAGGATACCAAAATAAAAGAAACAAGTAGTAAAAAAAAATTACTATTAAGACAATGGTTTAGATATAAGGTAAGATGTATAAAGTGAAAAAATACTACGGTAATTTTAACTTCACGATGTATCTCTTGGGATTTCAGAAAAATCTGATTCTATCAGCGGTTTTCTATGTAAACCATCATGGTTATTCTCAATTCTTGTCATTAAGTTGGTCTACCGTCGTAGGATACCAAAATCGAAGAAATAAATAGTAAAAATAATATTATTAAGACGACAGTTTAGATATAAGGGTAGACGTATAAAGTGAATGAATACAATGGTAATTTTAACTTCACGACGTGGTAAATTTTATTATACGGCGTTAATTGTGGTTAGAGTTAAAGATACCGTCGTAGTATGCTACAAGAAATAAGTCGATAAATTTATCTTCACCATCGTTGTACATTTATTTAATGCGGCGGTATTTTGTAATATACCGCCGTGGATTCTTTTGAAATTATACGGCGCCGGATACGAAAACATGGTCATGTTTATTATGGAGTTAAAACGGCGACTGTTTCTTTACACCATCATCTTTACTTTCTACGTCAGTGGATTCATACCTTCTGGTGTTGTTTGTGGGCTCAGAGTTTACTATGAGGAAAACCTTTTTCAATAAGACGTCGCTTTTTTAATTAGGTGTGTTGTTTTTTAAAAACAACCATTGGAATCTCCATTTTTTAGGTGTTTAAGTTAATCTTACACGGCGGTTTTATAAAACCGTCGTCTTTTCAAACACAACGACTGTTTTCCGTTAAACCGTCGTTTTTTTTTGTCGTCTTTTTCACTTTTTATAATAGTTTCTTGACGGGGCGTTTGGCCAAGTGGGCGTTACTTCTCAATCAATACGAGATTATCTACACTTCAGCAAAGGCGGTTAAGGGTCAAGCTGTTGCAGACTTCCTAGCCGATATCCAATTCCAGCAGACTGTGAGATTTCAGATGACTTACCCGACGAACAAGTCTTCTTTGCTGACGTTTCTCTTGCTTAGAATGTTCTTTGACGGATCAGCTCGAATAGATGGGGCAGGGGCTGGAGTAGTCTTCATATCACTCGAGAGATATGTACTACCTTATTCATTCTTCTTAAGCGAGCTTTGCTCAAACAATGTCGCAGAATACCAAGCTTTGATCATGAGCTTGCAAATGGCTATATAGATGAAGATATCAAGCTTAGAAGTATATGGTGACTCCATGTTGGTGATCAACCAACTATTGACCCATTACGAGGTGAGGAAGGAGGATTTAATTCCATACCACCAAATGGCCACACAGTTACTTGAAAAGTCTGACTTCGTGACGTTGGAACATATGCCAAGAAAAGATAACCAAATGGAAGATGCCTTGGCCAACCTTGCCGCTACGTTGGCATTGACAAAAGATGAAGCGGTAAATCTTCCAGTTTGCCACTGTTAGGTCATTCCATTAGCACTGGGGGCATCGCAAGAATGAGTCAACGTTATCTCAGTAATGGCTATTGACATTGATGATTGGAGACAACCTTTGCCAGATGATTCTAGACATCGATCAGAGGTACAACGTCGGGCACCTCGATTCATTTATTACAAAAAAATTCTCTACCGTCGCTCATTCGAAGGAGTGTTTCTAAGATGCTTGGCTGAAGAAGATGCATGTAAAGCGATTGAGGAGGCTCACTCAGGTATTTGTGGAGCTCATCAATCAGGACCAAAGCTACATTTCCAAATAAAGTGGATGGGCTATTATTGGCCGACTATGGTCAATGACTGCATGGACTATGTGAAGAAATGCTAGGCATGTCAATTCCATGCCAACTTTATACACCAACCGTATGAGCCGCTACATCCCACAATTACTTCATGGCCATTTGATGTGTGGGGTCTTGATGTGGTGGGACCGATAGCACCCAAATCTTTCGATAGCCATTCTTACATCCTTGCAGCCACAAACTACTTTTCAAAGTGGGCAGAAGCTGTACCTCTAAAGGAAGTGAAGAAAGAGAACGTAGTGAGCTTTATCAAAGTGAACATCATTCATCAGCATGGTGTGCCGCGTTACATCATCACAAACAATGGAAAGCCATTCTTGAATTGGTTGATGGATAAATTGTGTGATGATTTTGGTTTCAAGAGATGCAACTCTTCAACAAAACTCTTTGCAACCTATTGAAGAAAGTTGTTAGGAGAACCAAGAAATATTCGCACGAAAGGATAAATGAAGCATTATAGGCTTATCAGACAACATACCGGACGCCTACTTAGGCTACACCGTACTCGCTTGTGTATGGCATGGAAGTAGTCTTTCCACTAGAAAGCCAAATTCCATCACTAAGGATGGCCATACAAGAGGGACTAACTGCTGAAGAGAATGCAAAGCTGCATCTCCAAGAGTTAGAAGCATTAGACGAAAAGAGAATCGAAGCGCAACAACACTTAGAGTGTTATCAAGCTCGACTTTCGAATGCTTTTAATAAGAAAGTCCGCCCCAGATTCTTTCAGGTAAGAGATCTCATCCTTGCATTACGTAGACCTATCATCACAACACACAAAACTGGAAGCAAGTTTACTTCGAAATGGGATGGGCCTTACGTAGTACAAGAAGTATACACAAGTGGCGCTTACAAGATCGTAGCTGAGGACGGTTTAAGAGTCGGCCCTATCAATGGAAGGTTCTTGAAACGATACTATGCATGAAGTGATCAAAGCTCTTGGCCCGCATGAGCCTAAACTACGTATGGCACCCCAAAAAAAAAGGCTCGTTGGATTGAAAACCCGAAAGGGCGATCCAAGCAAAAGTTAGAGCATAAGAAAGTCCGTTGAGCTGAAAAAAAAAAAAAAAAAAAAAAAAAAAAAAAAAACGTGAACTACGTGATGATCCCTTTTCATCAAGGGTACATAGGCAGCTTGGACAAATAATTCCAAGTTCAGTCACATCAAAATAAAAACAAAGGGTTTCCCCCATCAATCAAAACCATTCGAAAGAAATAATGAAATAAGAAAATGCTTTTATTTCATTATGAAAGTTAACTAGCAAACATCAACACTTTAACAAGTTTGAAGAGAAATATAAACGAAGCAAAGAAAGTTTACAACAAAAATTTCTATTCCTAAGACAAGTCCCTGAAGTCGTTACGCAATCTCTCAAAAGAAACTTTTAATGCATCTAAAGTCTCAGCATCGGCAGCAAATAATATAGGAGCTCCTTCGACTGTAATCTTATCCTCTCTCAAGCAGGTAACCACACCATGATGATGAGAAAGCTGTGCATCACTCTCGGCATATTTAATAGACTCAAGTGTGGAAAACTGACGAGCTTCTTCAGCTTGTTGCAGAGCCAAAGCAATAGAAAGTGAAGAGTCAATTACAGCTAAACGATCACTTTGAGCCTCGGGAGACAGCTTTTGGGAGTAAGTAGAGTGTGTAGAACAATTGTCAACTGCGGTCACCATGAGTGCGTCGATCATAGCTTGTAAAGATGAGACGTCCGCCCCTACATTATCAAGGGTAGTCAACAACTTGCCAATGTCATCTTTGAATGAAGGAAGCCTTTCTCATGAAGCCTTCAAGATTATGCTTTTGATTTGGTTTCCTAGAACGGAAACTACTTTGCGAAGGGTTTTGTCTGCAACACCTAATTTGGGTTCCCCACATGACATTTCAGAGGTTGATGCATGATTAGCCGGCTTTAACAAATGTTGTTGTGCAAGCGAACCTACATTGACCGACGAATAATGGTTAAAGCAAGTAGACTCAAAGATTTCTAACCACAGAGCGTGATAAACATTTGAATCATACCTCTTAGGCTAACACCTGAACCACTTATCGGGTGCAAAATATCATTTTCCCCTTCGATTGGCAAATGGTTAAATGGCACAAGCTCGGACACAGTTGGAACATGATGTACTACTTCTCCCTGAAATATATATAATTAATTAATGTATATATATATATATATATATAAAGGGGAGGCTCAAAGAGAAACAAAATACATACCTCGTTCATTAGAACTGGTTGTGAAATAGCAGGTACATCACAAAAAAATCTGTCATCAAGTGGGTATGTCGTGTCCAGATCGCAATAGAGAGGTCCGACACTTGTCTTCTTATGCTTAAAGTTAACTTCACTGTCTTCATTGCTTCTTACATGTCCCCGCTTCAAATTGCAAATTCGTCAACCGAGGGGAATGAAATCTTCCTGAGAATATGCTACACTTTCTGTTTCTCCTTTATCATTAGGAACCTGAGTTGAAGGAACATCAACTGGAGATGGGTGTTGAACTCAAGGCACGGGAGTAGTAGAACTACCTTCAACTTCTAGATGAATTCTATGCGCTCTACCACGTATGAGTTTATCGTGAACTAAGGTTTCGTTGTCGTGAGACTTAGAAGATTTTGGTTGTGATAACGACAACGACTTGCCCACAGTTGAGATTGTCCTTGACTTCGTTGATTCAAAGCGATGCACCTTTGACCACCAAACAACAAAATCAGATGTGACCTCAAATTCCTGGATATTATCCTTAGTGGGTAGGGTTATTGTAGATCGACTGTCAATCTTCAAGCATGACTTCCAATGTGAATACACTGATAGCACAGTCCCGTTCCGAATGTCATCGCCTGGCACATGTTGCACATAGTAGAACTGTCTATTGAATCGGTGTGGACTATAAGGTTGGATGACTCAGTAGTTTTTCTATCGTAGAGAAACGAATCCCAAATGAAGGCATACTAAATACGCAAAGTCTTTTTTGGAAATATGATCTTCATCAATCAGCTATTTGCACTCTAAAAGCACTCTTGCCATACGACCCATTTCCACTTTACCACAAGTCCGGAACAAAGCCTGAGCTGTTGAATCTTCAAAAAATGTCGCTGAGAGTCGCCCTAAGAACCTTGCCATGATAGGAATGGACTTCTTGGAAGATGAGGTAAAGTGTGTGTCAAAGTATTCGCCCAACCACCCATACACATAATGGAAAGGAAGAACAGTTGTGCAATTTCTTGGATCATCTGTGCTAGAAATATCGTTCAGCCCCTTGTAAATGCTGGCCAATGCTGGAACTGCTAGGCCAAATGATACACCGTGTACCATTCGACTGGCAACTTTGAAAACCCCCGCTCTTATCAAAGTGACGTCGTCTTTGGGAAATACAAATTTGCACAACCAGCAAGCAAGGAAAGTAGCCAAGTATGATCTTTCCATATCTTCATCAGCTATACCCAAATCTTCAAAAAACCCTTCCTCTTCCTCAGTGCTTTTCAGTGCCACCGCAATGATACCAGACGGATCAGAGTCTTTGGCTTTTGCGACTTGTTCTGTATGGTTTTCCTTGAAAGCTTTTTGTACCTGAATGACCCTCGATACCAGTACTATATCCAAGCAGTCATTCTCACTCCAGATTTTCCTTTAGAATCACGTAAAATTTTTTGGTACGCTAAGAACAAGTAGCGACAAATGTCTGGGATATAAGACACGCCTTTGTGGTCCTTCCTCTTGTGACTCTCAGTGGTTGGAATAACCTCATCATAAATCGACATGTAATAGGAAGACCACTGATTTCAAGAAGATCCCAAAGGGAAATAGACATTTCTCCTTGCGATGTATGAAGAGTATTTGCCGCAGGATACCAGTAGCTAAATAATGAGGCAAACACTGCATTATATAGACCGACGCTCTTAAGAACCTAGGTATTTCTACTTAGCACATCTTCAAGCCATTCCCAGTAATACTCGGTGAATGTAGATTCACCAGCTGTCGGGAGAACAGAACCCTAATTCGCTGCCCCATTATGGATTCGATCGCTAAGAAGTTTGAATGCCCCTAATGAATCGGTCTCTGTATGATGTGATGACTTTAATTGTTAAACAGTGGAGTAAAGGTCCCTATCCATAGACTTGGATTTTTTGAAGCTGCTCAGTTGACAAAACACCTCTTGAGACCAAGATGGAATATGAAGAGAATTGTCCACCTCTGATACCTCTGAAGTAAGGAGAGGCGCACCTACAAGTAATGTGGTACCTTTGTCCCGGTTATCACTTTCATCCTCAATAATAGTAATGGTGACTTTCTTGAAACACTTCAAGAAGGCCATCTGTATAAGATGAGCGACATGAAACAATATTCAGTATCAGGCTGATGACTTCATACAAGAAAAAAAAAAGGAAAAGAAAAGGGAAATGCTTACTTGTATGAGTTTGAAGAGCAGGATAAAGATGGAATGCCCCGAAAAACGTTCTTTACTCGTCCTCCACTACGTAAAGCCTAAGCACTTGAGTGGGTTATCACTAAGTCAGAGAGATGGATCAAACCCAAGCGGTATAGGACGTCTACGTTCTTCACTTGTCTTCCACTTACGTAAAGCCTAAGCGCTTGAGCGGGTTATCACCAAGTCGGAGAGATGGATCAAACTCAAGCGGGATAGGATGTCTATGTTCTTCACTCGTCTTCACTTACGTAAAGCCTAAGCGCTTGAGCGGGTTATCACCAAGTTGAAGAGATGGATTAAACCCAAGCGGTATAGGACGCCTACGTTCTTTGCCCATCTTCTCCTATGTAAAGCCTAAGCGCTTGAGCGGGTTATCACCAAGTCGGAGAGATGGATCAAACCCAAGTGGTATAGGATGTCTACGTTCTTCACTTTCTTTCAAAGTACCTATTAAAAATATATATAAATATATATGTAAATATTATCATTAAAAAAAAATTGGAAGAGTAGAAGACGTGCAGCAAAAATAAAAAATAAAAAAAAGAGAAAAAAAAAATCGAGCTGCTTGGACCAGCCCATTCTGCCCACTCCTCCAAGCCCACGCCTGCAAGCTCCGGCCTAGCTAGCGCAGCACACAGCCCAGCCTCACACTCTCCTTACACCACTGTTAGTGGTTGAAAAGAAACTCAATGGAAGTGACATCTAGTTAGTGAACCCAACCAAACTAACCAAACTAGTTAGGATTAAACTTAGATTGTATCAGACCAAAAATTAATTTATACATTGTCAACCAAATGTTTTTTGGCGGGAACCCTTTATTGTGATTACTATCACCCCCTTCATAGAAACTCTCTCTCCAAAAAAAACTCACTCCTCCACAAAAACTCTCTCCCCCCATAGAATGGATTTACTAACCAAGTTTGATGTGAGCATAATGAACACCCCTGCAAACAAAGACCGCCTTCGAAACGCAAGTGAGTCACTAGACAAGCAGTGTCACATTCCTAGACAGAATGACCATTTTGTTGGAAGTTTTGAGTATGAAAGAGTTCTTGCTTTCTAGAAGGAGAGGCATCTTCAACTTGGTGATGAAATCCAAAGGGCAAGGGCATGCTTGGAATTTGCTGAAGGCCAAATTGAAGATGACAAAAGGCATGCCAATCTGGATAGGACGAAGTTGCAGCGCATGAAGCATAGACACAAACGACTTCAGAGTGTAGCTGTTAAAAAATACAAGAACTCATCTAATGCGGTGGAGTCAAAGAAGCGTGTGATGCAAGCTGGATTCGACTACTTCCGGTCCTATGCAAAACTCGTCATACCTGGGTTTGATTGGTCATCTATTACCATTTCCGACGTAAACAAATATGCTCAGCAAGGGAAGTAACCATTTTGGTTCTCATGTTTGAGCAGGTCAAATAAGTGGAATTGGAATTTTCAGTAAATTCTGCTTCAAACCTATTTTGATGCTTACTACTATGGAAGATTTCAACCTTAATATTTTGATGTCTTTAATTACGATAACACGAGATGCAAAGTGCCCATCTATTTCAGTCATATGTTGCTGCCTATCTTTAATTACGATAACACGAGATGCAAAAACCTAGGTCTAACTCTGACATAATTATTTTGCATATATGATGCCTGCAATTAGGGAGCCACCAGTTGCAATGGATTTGAATGGATTGATGTAACCTCCGCTGAAGCAGAACAGCGAGATGACACGTATGATGCTACAGTGCTGAATATGCTAAAGTCCATTAAGGACTTGGTATTAGTTTTATTAGTTGTATCAATTGTCATATTATTTGTTCTTTTAATGACCCATTAAGTGCATGGTTTCAAGGATTGTAAAAGTTCTCCCCAAAAAGACATGTTGCACACACCTCCTTTTGTTCTTGAAATAGGTGGATTGGCATTGAGTTTAAATTATTGTTTGAAAAAAAAAACATTTATTTGTCTGAAACCCAGCAAAAAATTTCCAATTTCCAACACTTACTTTAAAAAAATAAAGTCATACGAAGACAATAAAATCACAATACAGGACCAATATGATGCAATAACAAGACAATACATTTTTTTTGAAAATTGCATAATTATTCAGTGTGTGTATAGATTGTTTATTTGTGTATACTTAAAGTTTATTGATTGTTTACTGCATGTAAATCACATGATATTGAATGTTTATTGAAGGTTTATTGATTGTTTACTGCATGTATTTCGCATGTTATTGATCTGATATTGAATGTTTATTAAAGGTTTATTGATGGTTTACATGTTTATTGAAGGTTTATTGATTGTTAATTGCATGTATTTCACATGTTATTGAACCGATATTAAATGTTTATTGAAGATTTATTGATTGTTTACTGCATGTATATCGCATGTTATTACTCCAATATTGCATGTTTATTGGGGGCAAAAGTACCACTCAAGTAAGATTTAAGGACTTAGATTTAAGGGGGGAAACGGTCCTTATTCTTTCTTTTAGTAAGAAGAACAACTGTTAAGTAGAATTTCCTATTCAATACGACTTCCTTGTGGTTGGTGTAATTGGGGACTGATGTATATTGCATGTCCATTGTGTATATATTGCATGTCCATTGTGTGTATATTGTTTGTCTGTTGCGTGTATATTGCTTCTCAGTTGTGTGTATATTGCTTGTCTGTTGCCTGTGTATTGCTGTTTATTTCCTTCATGACAAGACCCACCCCGAATTTCCTTGGAAACCGAGACGGACCCCGCCTAAATACCGACATCATCCCAATGCTGGGCCCACTTATTAAAGGCCGAGACTTTCTACCAAAACAAATTTGGCGGAGTCTCCCCTGTAAATTGAACATTCCCAAACTTCAATCTGCTCAAAATTTACAGTTAATAAACCCAACCAGCAACATGCTTTAAAAGCAGTTAAATAGTTTACAACAAAGGCCTCTGGCCTCACAATTCAAACCCTAAGCGGGCGATACAGAGCATATCTAAGAAATTCAAATACAACAAAAACAGAGTTCCACTGGAAAAGAAAGATGAGGGAGTCCCTACAAAGACTCAAGGTTCGGAAACACCCGATCCGGCTCGACTGGTTGGGGGGCGCAAAACAGAAAATTGTGAGTGGACAAAAAAAATAAAGTTCAGTTAAAATAAATCAACGTAATATAACCCCACCGTTAGAAAATCATGCAAGAATTCCAAATGCATCTTAAAATCGTCATAAGTATATAAACATATACTAAAATAATATCGGATGCCAAGTCCGAAATACGTGAACAACACTTCACAAACCCACCATTCAAAACTTAAAAGTCTTGAAAGATTAAACTCTCGAAAACGTACCCACTGGCACGACCGGCGAGGAAGTATCCTTACCGAGAAACAAGAACGAATGAATATTCACATATATATATATAATAATCCAACCGGGGGATTGTTTGACTAGTGCACATGGCAAAGCCATTCCTCAATTCACCATGTGACTAGGGAACGAGCCGTCCAACTGGGGGACTAACTCTCAGCCAGCACGTACAGCCGAGACACTGAAAGCTTGTACGCCTGAAAAACCAGCCCTACGCGCACAGACTACCCCAAATCCAGGGTCTACAGCAACATCCCATCAAGGATGTCCCGGGTTCCGACGATTCCAAGTATCTCAAGTATCAGTAACCAAGTTCCAAATCCGGGGAGGTACATAGGGTAGTGCTTAAAGCACTCCAAACAGATATTTCAATACTCAACCCTTTCCCCAAACTCATTTTAACAACCCAAGTACCCCACACATAGCCAAACATATATAGAGATTCTCAAAATCCAAATATATATATACTACTCAAGATACTCAAATATATCAAAACCCAAAATACATGCCAATACTTCATAAAAATATCAATTTCCACCATTGAATAAATAATATATCCAAATATACCATTAACCATTATGCATAAATTTTCCCATCATAAAACCATGCATATTATTTAAAAACAAAGTCCACTCACAAGTAGTCCCACATTACTTGACCCTGAGAGGGTCCCGCCTGCTGCGTATGCGTGGTCAGAGTACCTATTTTAGAATACAAACACGCGATTAACATCAAGCGCTTCGAAACAAAATTTTGAATTAAAAACCTAGTTCCCTGGTTTCTAGTGAGTGTACGCAGAAAGAGACGTTCTAAGGTCCAACTACCCAAATCGGACGATGGAAAAGCCTCGGGAGACACTCGGTCAACCGGGCGGTCAAACTTCCCAAATCGGGTCAACCGGGCCCACGGGATCCACGACCTATGTTTTTCAATCCTGGAGTTCCTAAAGGTTTTACAAGGTCTAGGATGCACGTCCTGCAAGTTTGGTCCGAAACGGACAGTTAGATTGCTTACGATCGCACGATCGGATGGTTATCGTAAAACGTAAACTTTAAGTTATTGAATCGGAACATCCGGGGCTCCGATTCACGATTCGTGAATTCCTACACGATCCTAGGAAGGTTTAGAGCAACATACTTCAATTTGGAAATGATCCAACGGTCGGAATATATCGAACCCGGATAACACACAATATGCAATAATTCGTTCGATAGTCAAACGACCTCAGAATTGAGATCCGCGAAATCCCACGTGCTCGTGACATCCTAAGGATCTCATCAGGACATTTAGCAGCTCCACCACCTTTGCCCACGCTCTGCCACACGAGCCGGCAGCACGTCGGTGTGCATAGTAATTTTCGACGATGGAAAATCTCCACACCAACGCTCACCCTTCCTACCCTAGCTTTTTCTCAAGATCAGGATCACTTTAATCAACTACCACGAAGTCCAATTCGTACGAGAACTGGCCGGAATTTCAAATTGAAAACCGGCCAAAACCTAGCTTCTCAAATCGGATTCTAAACAGCAAATTGAACAATTCCTATGCAACAGCCAGCTAGAACACGTGAAAAGAGAGAGAAACCCCACCAATTTTACCTGAAATGGACGGCGGAGGCGGTGGTGCAACGATCGGAAAAGTCCAGCTCGAACCAGTCGAAACTGCCGGCGGTTCTGGAGCTTTCCGGTCGGGATTTTGGGTGGTTCAGGATCGGGGCTTCACGACGAGGCGAACGGGACCGGTCTCGAAGGCTGGGGTGGTTGGATGTGGCGGTGGGGTGGCTGTTTCCGTTCGGGTGAACAGTGACGAGGGAGAGAGTTCGCGGGAGAGAGAGAAGACGCACGGGAGAGAGAGAGAGAAAAGGTGAGGTGAAATTGAAAAATCTGATTTTTACTAATACCCTTTTTGAATTATTTATGGTTTTGCCACCGAAAATAATTTGATCGCTAAAACTTCGTTATAACTCCAATTCAAGCCTACCGTCTGTCTACGAATTCATCTCAGAGCCACCTATGCAACCAAACCACCCGTGGCCCAAAAATCCCTCGGATAAGAAAATGACCAAATTACCCTCACCTCAAGGGCAATTCCGTAAATTCACTTAATTAAATTTAAATAGGGAATAATTTGGAGTCGAGTATTACACTTCGTAAGCAATAAACAATCAATACACACGCAATAATGTAAGATATGGACGTAATATACAAGCAATATAGACGCACCAATATACATTACTTTTATGCTACTGAGCTGCCCAAAACCAATAAAATAAAGAAAATCAACGAATTTATTAACTGATTATAAAGAGGAGAAGGATTCAAACCCGAGGGGAGATATGGAACCAATAGGGAGTTTTATAGCATTGCACCTGGGGAAATTTTTTCATGTGTTTCTATAAAGAGGGCATGGTTGAATAAAACATTGGAGGCGAGGCCATAGCCGCATATTCCCCTTATAGAATTACCTTATTAAGATGTAACCCATTGCGATTAAGTCAAGGCAACGGCTTAAAGATTGGGATATGATATTTGGAATGGTGGCTTGGATAAATGATGACATATCACTTTGCAATGATGTAATACACTTAAAAAGCCATCAGTCCCCATTCACATATGCATTCTTCAAATCCCAATTCATATATGCAGTCTTCAAATCCCAATTCAATGTCGTGAAGGAGTTAGGCCAATATTACAAAGATGTTTGTTTCATTAAATCCAAAAAAACTTTACACTCGAGATGCACATTCTATGTAATGGGAATGGCATGTGTCTAACTTCAAAAACGCATCTGCCTATCCATTTAGATTGCCCACGTGCAATAGATTTACAGATCCATTTACTTTTCTCCTCACCAAGCCTCAGCATCTCCATTTCAGATTCTTCATTTTTCTGTCTATGCTCTGCATCCAGCTCCATATACATTTAGCACAATATGAGAATAAACATAGCGTAGTATCACACTAATTGAAATGAAAGCATGCATCCGCTATAATATTTGCCACTATTTGGTTCTAATTGTTATTGTCCAATAACTTAAACATAAAATTATGTACAAAAATACACTAAGATTGAGAAAGAAGAAGAAGAATTGAGGAGCAGAGGTAGAATTCGAAAAGGACCTGTGGGTCTCTATTGTGTATTTACATGAGTTTGAAATTGGACATTCCCAAAACCTATTTAATCATCACAAACCTAAACCAAGTTCAACCAATATCATGCCAATGTACCTAAACCAAGTTCCAATATCATGCCAACGTACCTAAACCAAGTTCAACCAATATCATGCCATGTAAGCATCTCCCCATAATATCTCTGCAGCCAACTTCAACCGAAAAAAGGGCATGTTCTGTGAGGTGCAAGTAGCTAATGGAATCTCAGCGCTCAAAAGCTCAATGTACTTCAACACGAACATGCCACAATCGCCTCTAAAGCAAATCAAGAACTTGATCAATTCAACTAATGACATTCTAACGTAATTGACAATTTTAAGTAATAAAATTAAATAAAAAGTTGTGCTCACTGATTAGACTGTTGAGGAACATCCACACATTCTATTGGCCACGGACACCACCAATCTCGGCTGCAATCGTTTCGTAAACACCTTCTTCATAAAAGTCGATGGTGTTGAGAAGATTTGGAATCGTAATTGAAAGCGGGGCGAGTTCTTCCTTTAAGATCTCATCTGGAATAAGTGAAACCATTGAATCGTACACTTTGATTTCACAGTTAACCATATCAATCATTACAGCCACCCAATGCTTGTACTTCGTCAACATACAACGGGCATACACCTTATACGCGTTCTGCCAATCCATCCCACACGCTGGAACCTTGCCATTTACAACGTTCATAAACTGTTTCTAATTTTCCACCCAACTTGCTCTTTTCTTCTTTTATTATCCGCAAAGCAAGTATGGATGTGATTATGTGAAATAGAAAACAATCAATGGTTAAACACCTCTGCAAAGCAAGTATGGATAATTTGTAATTATTAATTGCACTTGGTCATGGCCTATGATATACCATAAAAAATACATTGGTCGTTGTCCAGTCCGATATTTCTACTTCCTCCAACTCTGTTGTCGCTTCCGGATGAGATACAACCCCAAATCAATGTGCTGCACATGTTTTCTTGTCAATCTCATAATCTATGTACATTAAAACAAATGCATAATCAATTAAACTTACATTTCCTTTCAGCCAACCGTCAGCTTTGACGAGGGAAGCGAAGAATTCAATCTCAGTTTCCACGTTGCCAAATTGCATCACCAAACTATGAATATAAAAAAGTTTTAGAACACAACAATTAAAAATATACAAATTTATAAATAAACCCAATCCTAGACATGTATTTATAAAAAACCCAAGCACTATTTAAACATAGAAACACACCCAAAATCAACCCCAAAGTCAACTTTTTGGGTGTGTTTATAAATGGATTTTGAGTGTGTGTAATGATGGGTTTTGGGTGTGTTTATATATTTAAATAGTGCTTGGGTTTTTTTATAATTTCAACCCCCATTTTGGGTGTTTTAGTGAAACTCCCTAAAAAATATATACACTTATGCCTTTTATCTCAAAAAACAAGGGACTTACTTTGGGTTATGGCGCAATTCCCAACAAAGTTTCAGCAATTTCACCATATCATCATGCGGAATCGCCTTCATTGGGTCTAACATCCGAAGTCGGGTTGTCTCTGGCAGATTTTTTTGAACCAATTCACTAGCTTTAATGATCTTCCACATATGAATGATCCTCTTCCTTTTCCGTAATTGGACCCCCTGTTCCACAGCTTTACCTTCATTATTCAACCAAACGTTCAACTGAGATAGCACAGCTGTAGGTTGATCCAAATCAATGTCCCCGAGAGTAAACTCAACCTTTGTCCCCTCCGTCCTCGCGCCAATGTCATCTCCAAGCAACATAACTTCATCATCCTCTTTCTCACATTGGTTTCTTTGCACTTCATTTTCCTCACTTCTTTGTCTTTTCACTTCCTTGCCCTCCCTTCTTTTTCTTTGCGGATCCTCTCCCTCACTGCTTTTTATTTGCAGTTCCTCTCCCTCACTGCTTTTTTTTTCACTTCCTCTCCCTCACTGCACTTTCTTGGCGCTTCCTCTCCCTTGCTGCTTTTTATTTTCACTTGCTCTCCCTCACTTCTTTTCCTTTGAGCTTCCTCTACCTCACTTGGTTTTCTTTACACTTCACCCCCTTTAATCCCCTCCTCTTCCTTTTCCTCTCCCTCATTTGTGTTACTTGGCCCTTCACCCCCTTCAATCCCCTCCTCTTCCTTTTCCTCTCCCTCAAATATGTTACTTGGCCCTTCATCCCATCAAATGTCATCCATTTCCTCACTTCCCTTAAATAGATGTGAGATGGCACAACGATTCGTCATCTCTTTCAGTAAAGCTAGGTCCCTCCTTACTTCCTGCTCAAACTGAGGACCTAAACAGTGGTCCAAAAGTTTTTCCATCCGTATGACCTTTAACTCAAGGACATCATTTTCCCGTTTTACTTGAAACAACTCGGACCTCAACAAGCTTACCACCTTGTTCAACTCATCAAGGTCAGCACATGAAGAAGGAATTGACTTTGCCGAGACGACAACAGGGCAATCCTGTGGCCAACTCCAATATGGTTGTCTCATTTCCTCTTCACTCGGACATAGCGCCCGCAACTGAACTGACTGTTTCAGAATACAGACAAGAGTTATATTCAATCATTCTACTTCATAATTTCATTTAATCTTATAAATAGTTCCAAGGGCTGCAAACCAAACCTCTTTGCTCTGGAAAAAATAATTGTTCAACTTTCTCATCTCGGGAACAGACGTAGTAGTTCTCCATCGCAAAATACGTGGGAGAGCTGTCGGATCAACAATCTTGCAGTAATTCAGTCCACCATTCTAGGAATTAATTCATATACCCAAATCTACACAATTCACAGGACAAAAGTCATTATTTAAGTTTTAAAGTCCACAAAACATAACTGACATGAACATTATTACCATGTACCTGGAAAGCATACGTGAAACCTTTAAAACTCCAGCCACCCCTTTGCACTTCACCATGCTTATCCTTCTTGCCCTTCTCATTTCTCCGACTTGTTCCCGTTACCTTACTTTTCCCCTTCCCTCTTCCCTCTTCATTTTCAAAGCTTTTCACATACTTTGTTGGTGCAGAAAAAACATTGTCTTGGGTTTTGTCAAAGGACACCGAACCCCACGGATACCTATTGAACGCATCCAAGTCCTCTACAAGGGTCAGGTAATTTAGATTGATGTTCAAATGCTTGTCCCTTCCCAAAACCACTAACTCAGCAAAGTAAACAAGAGCTAGCTTGTAGATGTCATCTTCTTTTGTGCACCTCAGAAATGCTTCTTCTAAAGCATTACATGTAATTCCTTCGTCTATAAAATATCTTTTCTGAAGTCTAATTTCATCACTTTCTCCATTGGAAACTTCAGGCACTTCCCCAAAACAAAGCCCTGTGATCAAACAGAAATCCTGACAAGTGAACTGAGCAACATCGCACCCTATTAAGAAACTCAGTCCATCCAAGTCTTTCACACCCTGCCCTGCTACTCTACGCAACACAACCCCATGCACAATCTGCCCGCTAAACTGAATCTTATCTATATTCAGAAGATGGCGAAAGCATGATGTCTTGAATTGTTCTAATTGTTCGGCACTCAATTTCGCTCGAATTGCAGCTAGGGATGAATTTGCATGTGAGCAGTTGTTCACCCATGACGAATATGCCTCTGACTCTGGCCATACCAACTCCACGTTGGATCTCATTTCCTGAAATACAAGATGAAATAATGTGAACACATATACTACCATGTATTTGCACAATCACATTGGTATTTACACAACTAGTCAACCTGGCACATTACAAATTTTACAAAGTACATGCGCATAGGGATTACTGATCACAGGCTTTAACATCATCAAAGCAATATAACAAATTTTTTTGCAAATACCTGTTGATGCAATGATTCTGTGAATTACAAGCAATTTCATGTGTTTTATTTATGGATCCAAACTCCAATCAATGGTTGATGCATGAGTGAGTGTGAGTGCAATCTAGGCAAGTTCTGCAAGACAAAATATTGTCATCTCACATGACAATAATTGTCATCTCATACACAACACAAAATAAATAAATAAATAAGAAATATGGTGGAAGGAAGCAAAGCAAAGCATCTGCTCTGCTATCTGCTTGCTAAGCCATTGCCACAATTATTATTAACATGTTATTGAATTGATTTTCATTCGTTTTTTAACATATTCCCAAGCAAAAATTAACATGCAAGTGAAGCACAAAGAAGAGATGCCAAATCCAACAACATTGATGGTACAAACTGGGGAAAACCGTTACTCTAACCCTAAACTCAAATTCCATAAATTACTCACCAAATGCTTGTTATTGAACAATCGCAAGGTGTCTGTGCAGGGTCTTTGTGAAGCTTTGCTCCACAAATGGAACCTATCACTTCCAACGAATACGGCTTCTCTCATTCCCCTTCCACTGATTCGCCCCTTCACTGTTTCGGAATCCACACCTTTGCCCCTTCCACTCAAAATAAATACTTTTTCAGGGTTTGGAGAACGGAGTGGCATTCAACCATTGCCTTCAACCGTCGTTAACTGTTGCCTTCAACGGTTTTCAGAGCTTGGTGGTTCCTCAGAGCTATGGGTTTTAGAGCGATGGGTATTTTTTCGAACTTTTTTTTTTGGATATTAAATTTGGGTTTGGGTTCGTCACCTACCCGATTGTAAAACTTTATCTCAATTCTCCCCAGCCCTTGGATTGATCTGATGGCTATAAAGTGAACCCCTTATAACTTACCCCTCATTATAGTCTGGGCGAGCACAAGGTTGCTTTACACACAAGGCCTGACGCCTTCTTGCCTTCACCTTGAGCCCAGCGCAGGTGAACTCGAAACCTGCCAGCCCTTCCAAGTCTCCAGCCATACCTCAGGCCCTAATGCACACCCCCAGGCATGTTCCAGCCCTTCCACCCTCCAGTCTTGCTTCCACATAAAAAAAGAAAAGAAAAAAGTGGCGCAAGCACAGAACTAGAAGCAACATACCAATAGAGAACATGGTGGGAATGAAAACAAAAACAAACAAAAAGAAAGAAAAAAAACTGACGCAAGAACATGATGAAACAAAAGGTGGGTTCAATGGCTTACCACCAAATTTCTTGATAGACCAAACAGTGGGTTCTTGTTGTGAAAAAAAAAAAAAAAGATGTAAAGTCTCACCACTTTGGTTAGTGAGGATTCAAATGGTGTGAACTTCAGGTTCGTGGACGTTCTTGCGGACAAGAAGAGTTGTCTTTTTTGCTGTTCTATTTGGTTAATCTCAATATCCATGCGTGGTACAATTTAAAGAAGCTAAAGGCCATCAAAGCTCCTGATGGTGCTAGGGTTTCTTATTCCTAGTTTAGGAAAATATTGGATTTTGTATCTTGCTTCACAACATCTTACAAATATTGGATATTATTAAGCTTAATAATATCAACAACAAAAAGAAAAAAGAAAAAAAGGAAAAGGAAACCAACGTTGGAATAGAAGGATATTATTTCAATAATATCATCAACAACAAACAAAAAAAAAAAAAAAAAAAAAAAAAAAACTTGCCATCAGCTTTAACTACAGCTACAACATCATAATTGCATTGGAGTTTCTTGCCATCAACTACGTCTACAGTACCATGAATGGGGCATGGACATAACCAAAGGATGAATGCCATCTCATACATGATTCCAACATACCCAAAAAAAAAGAAAAAAAAAGAGGGTAACTTTCAAAGCTCCACGTTGGAAGCACTCCAAATTATTGGAAAGAAATGTAGAAGTAACACTTGAAGCTGCACCTCCTACATGTGACAAAGCACATGTCTACAGTGCATCATGAAGTGGGGGCAATTTTTAGACAGAGAAATTTTGGCTCAATAAATTCCATTGGATAAGAAAATAATTAGGGTTCAGTGGATTGAATTGTGGGCCCCATAATTCGCACATGTGGCGTATGACTCATCAAAAGTGACATGTGTCGACATCCGATGGAGTGCATCAAATGGTTCAAAGTGAAGACAAAATTAAAGGAAGGAATCTTCTGTGATTGACTTTGATTTAAATCAAATATTAATCAAGTCAATCATTTGGTTAAATTGCCAAATTATTGGAATTGATTTTTTTAAAATCAAATCAGAATTCCACAAAGGAAGGTTTTAAAGAGGGAAAGTTATTTAGGTCAAGCATCTTGCAGGAGCCTATAAATCGGAGGCCTCAAGACGAAAGAAAGGAAGCTTAGACAGATCAAGCATTCAGAAGAAATAGAAAACTCTCTGCATTCTTCACCCCACTTTGGAAGAGCCACCAAGCACAACAAATACGTGCACACTAAGATACGGAAAGATGAGAAGCTACAATGTTTTTCCATGTTAGGTTGGGATATGTAGGCATGAGTGCTATTACCATGTCCGATAAACTTGTGAATGTTGAGGCTTTTTCTAATACTCATGGATATTCCACTACGGTTGGATGAACAAAACTTATCTCCTTAAATAAAACAAATATTTGTGAAAATGTGAGGGAACATCACAATTTTTCTAATTCTGGCCATGAAATGCAGTCCAAACAGACCTCAATTGGGCTCTCAAATATTCACTCTCCTTTTGCAAACTGACGAAATTAGTTGATAAGCATCTTGAGCTGATCATAAATTGCACTCTACTTAGAACTTGAAGCAGTTGAAGAAGAAGTGGATGATCTTGAGGTCTCCATGCTAAGAAAAACACCTACACCATGGATTGATCTTCCCCTCCTCCCGATCTTCTCACCCATGATTCCTAACTCAGCATCCAATGGCACTTGTATAGTATCAGGTGCAGTACCCTTAGCTGCTTCTTGAATCAACTTCTCCCTAATCTCATCTTGCATTTTCTTCATCTCATCCTACAAAATAAAGTTCTGAAAAAACCACACAATTAACCAACATTACTAACTTGAGTGCACAACACATATGAACACAAATCCACACCTGGATAATTAAATTGAGCAGGCATGTGTTGAATTTACAAATCAATATAAATTATAATTAAAATTGGAGTTTTGTTTTTAGTTTATAACATCAAACAAGATAAGATGCCATCAAACCTGCATTAAAGTGAAAAAAAAATATGAATTTTAATCTCTATAATCCCCCACTAAAGTTTTTATTTTGTAGTAGACTTAATTTGTATGACTTGTCTGAAATATTGCTTTTTTGATGCCAATGAATTTTTCTTCGGAAAAAAGATTGACCACGCCAATCACCAACCTAATTCCCACAAGCAAAACTGTCCATCTTAAGGCTAGGAGACCACTCAAGTTTACATATGAAAAACCAATTTCAAAGACACCTTGGACAAGGAAGAAAATTCCAGAAATGCAGTAAATACAAATAGAAATAAAAATAGAGGTTAAAAATATCTGTTATAGTGTTTGATTGCAACCAAATTTAGAAAATAGAAAGCATGGACATCTATTATTAAAAATTTAACTAAAAATAAGGCATTGCATATTGCACATATTGTCTTCTCATATGACTACATTAATTCAATCAGCATATATTGGTATATAGGCAACTATGATACTTAATAAGTAGTTGTACACAAATAAGAAAAAGTGCCTAGAATACATACCAAAGGTCTTCAACAGTGTAAACCTTATCACACAGCTAGTGCCAATGATTTACTGGTCTCGCGTTACATAAACTACTAGGGTGTGGTAGATTCGAACGTCCTGCCTCAGGTGTTCCACATGTCTTGTAGTGTTCATGCATCCTCCACTTGAATTGAGAGTATAACTTTCCCATCTTCTTATTCACACATTCAAGAATCTTCGGATATGACAAGTCCACCTCAAACAATACCTATATCAAACATGCATAAAAATTAGTGTAGAAACCTTTTTATCTCACTATAAAAATATGGTATCTCGCATTTTCCATGCATTAGTTTTCAATATGTTTTTCATATGTATCTCAACACAATGGAGCATAACAATTTAAGGGAAGAATATTCTAGTTTAATTTCTAATGGAGAATTGTGTTTCATTTAGAAACAAGTGCAACAGTAACAGTTTTGAATTTTCCTTGGAAGAAAATACTACTATAATGGAATTTTTATTTAGAATTATCTTGTAGAAGTATAATTAGATTTTCAGTTTTCTTTTTCATTTTTGAACAAGGAACAACCAAGTTTGACAGTGGAATATTAGTAGCATAGTCAATACATAAATAGTAGTTGAATAAGGAGAGTAATAAGGAAGTGAAAGCATATTTAATGTTTGTATGTACAAAACAAGGAGAGTAAGAATAATCTGAAATAGTACAAATGTCATAACTTGAACTTAAAAATATTAGCATAGCATTCTCCCTAGAACTGAAGTTGAGCATTTACTTAATTGATAAAAATTTGATTCATCATATTATATATGAACATATCAAGACTATAAACAATTTGATTAAAATGAATATGAAATTCAAAAAAGACAAAAAATGTAGATAACCTAAAGAATCTCTTTTTATTTATTTTAAAAAAATTAACAATTTGGCACTGAATAATACCTGTCCATAGCTAAAACTATGAGTTCAACTAGTAGATTGTGTAAAAAGTCAACCTTGATCACAGTGCACGGGGTTCCCCAAGGCCACCAAGGTAAATTCAAAATTGTATCATGAAATTCATGGTCAAAATGTGAATTCAAAGAGGACAAAAGCACCATCATCAAAACAAATAGAGAGTCTGTTGATAGCGATTGCGAGAATATGATTTGGTTGTTTCATCTCTTTTCCTTTTCTATTTCTATTTCATGTTTGAGTCCAAATAGATTAGTAGATGATATAAAAAAAATGGTGACTAAATGTAGATGATTAAGCTAAAAGCATGCAATTGGGATAGAAGTGTAGGTATAAAGAAAATTGGGTTTAAACCATTATAAGGCAGAGTTATAAATCAGTTTCAAAAGGGCAAATAGAGTTGGGGTACTTTGTAATCTTCCTAGAGTGAGCCATGGATACCCAAAAATATCTACAACCACTCAACATATAAAATAATTGCAATGGACATGAATAAAAATCTATAGCTACCTCAAAATCTATGACATTTCTTAATTTTTTTCATGTAAACTTAAAACAAACTGAAATTCTAATAACGTTTACTCATCCAAACCAGAATGTGAAGAAACAAGAGTTTCTCATACATTTTATATTGAAATCCTAATAAGAAGTTAACTTTAATAAAATCTTTCTCATGATTCTTTGACTATTAATTTCTCTAATAAGAAAAACAGAGAATTAATTTTGAAAATGGTGAATGCAGAGTCCAGGGCAACAACCAATTGAACATATGACAACATTATCATATATCAAATTGAATACTTGGGATATATAAGCCAAAATCTACACCACTGTGTCAATGAACATAAGAGTATTAAGTATCGAAAAAAAATTGCCCGGATTCATAGAAGAGTCAAATTACCAAAATACAAAAGGCAAAAATTTTAGTCATTGCCATGTTCAAATTACAAATTAAAGCATGAATCAAAACAACACAAGCCAAAAAATAGAAGAAGTTTACCTTGAACAGAATGAAAACTAGCAAAATTAACAAAGAGCATTGCAACACCCAGAAGAAATTTCTATTTTACCTCAAAAACATAGAACAAAACCAACGAAAAGATGTCAAATAACAATTAACAATTGAACAGGGAAATAACAATCAACAATTTAACAATCAATGAAGAAACTTCTATGTACCTGTGGGGTTTTTAGTGTAGGGTCAAGGGGATGAGAGATTACAAGTGGAAGGTGGACTTAATTAGTTATGGTTATTGTCGGTCAGAGAGAGAGAGAGGAAGATGAGTGGTCATCGTCGCCAGGGAAAAGGAGTGGTCGTTGTCGCCAATAGTTTGTGGATGAGAGCATATCTAGTAATGACGACGAAGGAACTGAAGCATTTGACTAGGGTTGAATGAAGTGTTAGGTTTTGTTCTTTGTTTTTTTTTTCTTTTGGGCCACAAGTTGCGCTGCCAATATTCACCCAATAAAATTTTCTAGCCTCACTTTCAAGGTGTCTGACAAATGTGCATTAGTAAAAATATTGTGCACCAAGATTTCCCGCTATTTAATATGTGACGACATCGAAATTATAATGTGATGAACATGGAGTGAAAATTTTGTTACATCCCTTCAAGATGTTTAGGTGACGACTTGCAAAATTTTCTCACTTATACAAGCCAAATGTAACGAAATTTTCAGTGCCATGTAAAATTTGCTCACAGAAGGCTTGTTTTCTTGTAGTGAATGTCCGGATCAAACTCATGGCCACTTTATGACAACCCGTTGAGTTCTAAAATACTTCCCACGTCGTCCCGAGCATGATGGTATGCTCAGATTAGCGTTTGGTTTCCGTTTAACTATCGAATCGATATTGCGCCTATTATCTAATATTTGAGTTTGATAGGTTCAAACCATTCGATTGGTTCCATTTTCAATTATTATTTCTTGTACCTCTAGGATTGTGTAGGAACTTTTTGATCAACATTTGGAGAGACAGATACTTCGAATTAATGACTCTAGAGTTAGGCGAAACGATCGTTGTTCGAATGTGCAAATGGCTTAGACCCGAACACTCGATCGAGACTAAATCCTTAGGACAAGATTAGTAGACCTTGTACCTTCAAAAACTTCCTTAAAGTTCGTGCACACACTTTGAGTCCCCGGAATTAGGATTTTGAGTTAATGTTCACGGTTGGGTACTTATGTTGATTAAGTCCTCATATTTGTTCAAATAGGTACTCATGCTCCACGTACTCCACATGAGGGACCCTATCATGGTTGTAGGGGCTTTTTATTTCTGGCAGCTACTGATGCGCCTGGAATGCTGTAAAGAGCCAAATGTGTGAAATTGGTCATGAGTCTGAGTTCAAGAATTTGATCCCAAAAGTGTTCGAAAGGATAGCTAGGCCTCAAGAAACACCTTGGTCTTCTTCACCAATGAAACCAACAGTTACTTACAGATAAATTCTTGGCTTGGCTTGAGAAGCTTGTGGCATAGAAGCTAAGCATTCATGAGTTTAGCGTGAGAGGGAGAAAGACCAGACTTTCTACGAGAAACAGAGGTTTAAAGCAAAGATTTCATGAGAATTAGGAGAGAGAGAGAGAGAGAAAGACAGAGAGAGACAGAGAGAGACAGAGAGACAGAGACAGAGACAGAGATTAGGGTGGAAAAATGATGGGTAATTTGAGTAATTTTCCGACAGCTTGACGAAAGCTTCGTCAAGCTCTGGAATAGCTTGCTAGAAGGGAAAATAGGAAGGAGATGGAGGAATAGGGCTCGAAATTGCAAGGTTTCAGGGTTGAGAATTGATGCTTGCTCTCTAGATGTGGGTTGTTTTTTATGGGCAGGAGATGCCAATTTTATAGCCGCTAGAAGCTCCTCCTTCCCAAGAAACCCTAATGAGTTCGCTCCAATTTTGCCGGGTCTGCCCTTTCATTTCTCTTCTCTCCCTTTGATTCATCCCTTTTTGTGAAATATTTTCTGTCCAAACACACAAAGATAAGATTTTTGGGTGCTCTAAGGGCTTTCTGTAGTTGCTTTAGTGTTAAACTCCTATTTTTGGCTACCACCTCACCTTCTTTCCTCCCCTTTTCCATGGCAAGAGCTGGTGGGAGAAAGAAATGGGTAAGGGCATTGGTTTGAAGGGTGCCTCTTCTCCTAGCAACTTGCGCTCACTAATATCCTCTGGTTCTTTGAATGTTCTACCTTGAGGTTTGCTTTGCCCATGTGCTAGAGTCTCCCAGCAACTTACATACATGGGTATCTTTGGCTTTTATCGTGGTCCTGTCTCCAGTTAAGTGATGGAGACTGCAGATATTTTCTTGGTTGCTTGGGCCTTCCTAAGGT